CCTCCCCGCCCGGCCTCAGTTCTGTTTTGGATAATTTGGGTATGACCAAGGCCAGTTTCTGACCATCCAGGCAGGTTTCGGCAATGAAGAATGGATAATAGATCGCACTTGGCTTGTTCCTCGGCTAGAAGATCGCAGTGTCGACTCCGGTCGAGTGATCCATCCTACAGAGAACAATGGGCGAAGACTGTGGCCCCCCTTGAAGCCCGGTCGATATGCTTATGATTTCGAGCTGAGCCTCAACCAACCACTGCCCGAAACATTCAATGTGGGAGGCTGCAAGCTCCATTACAACATGCAAGCCGTTGCCGGTATTTCTGGTCTTCGTCGACAGGTCTCGCAACGTCGGGAGGTTTCTGTCGTGCATTGTCCACAGGATGAACTCTACCTCCATGAGGCGAACCAGATCAGTCTCTCGCGCATATGGAATAGGCAAATTCCTTACCATGTGGAATTGTCCAATAGAAGCGCCCCAATCGGCGGCAAAGTGCCCATAGCCGTGCGTATAGGATGTTCAGATATTTTATTCATTGCGGTGCAAATATTTTTAGCCCAAAAGATCAAGTTTCCTGGAAACCCGGCGAAGCAAACGCAAATACGCAAGAAGCTGCTGCTCAAGTCCAAGTGCAATGATCTGTCGACGGGGAAGTTTCATGATAAGCTGCCATCGCTGAATCTTGACCGGGAGCCCGGCACGACTATGATCACAGGCAGTGTGCCCTTACTGGACGAACCAAAGACAACATTAAAACTCCATCCGGACGTCAATTACAAAAAAGTCAAAGCAACTCACTCGATGCTCGTAAGTGCAGTCCGACCGATTGCGTATAGATATATATATATACTGGGCAAAACAACTAAATACATTTATCAGTTCGTTATCGACATAACTATCCCCAACTTGGATCCATCCACCTCGCAAAAAACCACCATCTGCCGACTCACAGCTGAAACACCCTTTCGCATCCGATCTCCCCGTACGCACACGTATGACATGTCTGTTCCCCAGTACACAGAAACACACAATTCCGCGATCTACGACAACATCCTGCCACCCCCATTCTCTTCTTCCCCGTCTCCTCTGCCACTTTCTCCGCGCTCATCGCACTCCTCCACAGACACGGATGATCCTGAGCTGTCGCGGCGGAAATTTTCGTCGGTTTCTTTCTCTTCTTCCTGCACTCCAGTCTGCTCCGCAACAGACCATGTATGTCCACCTCCGGCGTATGAGTCAATCTTCTAGACGACTTGCATCCCGGATCGATGTCGATCAAGGACCAATGCATGATCATAATCAATAGTCATAATCAATATACTATTGCCGTCGACGCCCCGAGCCGATATAGAAGCACATCAACTGCTCATGCAGGCAGTGTGAACATCGCGGCCACTGTCCATCACACGGCGCCTTTCGTTCGTTGCAAGCCTTGCAGGGCATTACGCCGTCAAGCTTCTTCTGCCCGAGATCTGCCGCCACTTCATTGTGGGTTTGATTGCGACGATGATGGTGGTGATGGTGAGGCAACAAAGCGGGTGGGGAGTCTTCGGCGATGATTGACTCCTCTGGAGAGGAGGACAGCCACTCTAAAACGCGCTCGATACTGGCTTTCATGGCTGCCAGATCCTAACGACTCTTAACGAGATTCCTTCATGAAGATATATATGCGGGATTTGTTTTCCGAAAATGTGCACATATGACGATATTATGTCTTAGGCTATGTATGCATCAGCGCCGTTTCCCTGTACATATTTATTTTGGTGGCGGTCGGGCTTACCTTCATTTTCTGCCTTTTGTACATAGAGTCGCATTTTTAGTCTTAATCATGCGCTATATTCGACAAAATTGTTGCCGTGTAGATAGCTGCACGCACACGTACATATATATACTTACTCGGTTCCGTCTGGAAACATCCCCCACACTAACAGGTGATTGGCGGAACCCACAGCCGCTGGCAGGTTTTACACATGCAAGCTACGTGGTAGACGATCCAGCCCTGGCGATATTATTTGATGCCCTGCTAGACTACTTCCTTGTTTCGCCAACTTGGCAAAGTATGTATACTATGTACAGTGTCTCAAGTCGAGGACCCTGCGAGCAGCATTTCAGCCATCCAAACCGCCGATGATGTTCCTCTCGTGAATGGCCGTTTTGGTATGGGTGCTTTCGTTCTCAATCTTCCACAGACATGAGCCAAAACGCGGATAGAAGCTCAATGGCCAGGCCACGGGCATACCTCGTATCGTGAACTCTCGTCCGTGGGTTGCGTGGGATCCCTCAAAACAGCCCTGATTATCCCCACGGAGGATTGGGAGCCTGCCACTGCACAAAACAAACCGAAAAGGAAATGTTGAGCCTGTCACTTTGAATATCTAATAGAAAGCGGCCTACCTCCGACTGCTTTGTATCGCACTCGCTGGCCTTCTTCATACCGCAGCGGCCCAACACGACGGCCAAGCACGCTGAGTTCTGGGGCGATGTTATTCGAGCGCATGAGTCTGCTGCCCGTAGACATTATGCATGCTAGGTATATGTCTAGACTACGCAGTGTAAGAATGTAGCTAGTTACATGTACGGTCCAGATAAAGGACGGGCTAGTCGCCATTTGCCCCATGATTCGTCGGAGCGTCTACCCCAGACATGCCCTCGCTGTCAGAGTGATGAAAAATAAAAAAAAAAATCAGGATCGCTCGCCGCCACTTGCCCAGAAGTTGCATGCCTTGTCTGTGAGGCAAACAACCGCAGCGTCTGAGTAAGCATCGGCTTTTCCACTTTCGGCAATCCAGTTTCGCGATCTACATTTCTTATGTCATTTGTTGTTCAATGCTTCGTATTCTGAAGACGCGCAGGCATTTTCATTGTGACGTCCTTCTAGGTGCGTGTAACATGGCCGTGGTCTCTCTATATATGCTCGCCGCATCGACAAGAGACATGCGTTTTCGGTACTTGTTTAGTACCTCTCACCACCTAGGTAATGGCATTTCGACTTCGGCAGTTACCTAGCTAGCTACCCCCATCCAAATCATGGCATCAAACAGAATCAATGGCAAATTCACTCCCAGTGATAAAGCACACATTCAGGAGCGTCTCCCCCCAGACTCTACGGCCACCACGCAGCAGCGATTCCGCGAATTCGACCTGCAAGGGAAAGTCTTTGTCGTCACCGGAGGTGCTCGTGGACTAGGCCTCGCCATGGCAGAGGCACTTGTTGAAGCAGGGGCACAAGGTAGGCCGCACATATATACATCGTAGATCAATGGCTCTCGCTAACATTTTTGGCTGCCAGTCCACTGTGTAGACCGTTTGCCCAAGCCAGAAGAAGAATTCATCCAAGCCCAAAAGCGTGCCAATCCGGAATTTGGAGGCTCATTGCATTACAGTCGCATCGATGTCCGGGATGCCAAAAATGTAGCCAGCACGTTTAACGAGATTGGTCAAATCAACCAGCGATTCGACGGCCTTTTGGCAGCAGCTGGCATCAATCATGTCGACAGCGCAACACACCATACACCCGAGGAGATCTATGAGATCTTGAGCATCAATTACACGGGAATCTTCATCTGTGCCACTGAGGCAGCCAAGCAGATGATGAAATACAGCTCTCGCGGCTCAATCTTACTAGTTGCCAGCATCAGTGGGCTGGTCGCTAACAAGGGGATGCTGTCGCCAGTGTACAATTCCTCCAAGGCCGCCGTAGTCCAGCTCACGCGCAGTCTAGCCATGGAATGGGGCAAAGTGAACGAAAAGGGTGAAGGCGGAATTCGCGTAAACTGCCTCTGTCCGGGCCACATAATCACCCCGATGGTCGACAAGATTCTCGAGGAGGAGCCGGAATCTAAAGAGGTCTGGGAATCCGAGAACATGCTCGGCCGTCTGGCTCGTCCAGAGGAGTTCCGAGGTGCTGCACTTTTCTTATTGAGTGAGGCTAGTAGTTATATGACGGGGGCTTCGCTCGTCATTGACGGCGGCCATACGGCCTGGTAGTAAATTTGAGTTACCCCTTAACATAACATTTTACTGCTTCACTGGACACACCGCAACGCGTGGTCTTTGTCCCCTTTTTCATGATTTACGTGTAACTGGTACGTACCTAGGTATGTAGAATGCACTATGTATGAACAAATCATATTGATGGCAATAGTTGAACAAGAACGGGAAAAAAGTGCTATATTGGCATAAATGTTGTACAAGATAATAATGATTCTATTATAATACAACGTCAAAATCTTTGGCAAATCACCCTACCAGGAGTGAAAAAGGTTCTTTGGCCATTCTAAGCCCATGGCGGACATGCATTGATACACGTCGGTCATACTTTCGCCGCTATCAAACCACACAGCCCCGATGATAGCTGAGAATGTACGCGCAATAGCCTCATTTCTAAGCGGCTTATCAATGTCATATCGGTATATGTGCCTGTGAATGTCTTTTTGAATTGCTAGCCGTGCGAGATGACGATTCGACAGTCCTGCGTTTTTTGCAACTGCCACTGCCTCTGCTCAAGTGCAAATCGTAGTTAGCACGGTGTTATATAATCAAAGCAACAAAATCATAATGATGGGCGGAAGCCGCATTACCTGTAGGGGCCATCTTCCCGTATCCCTCGATAACCATTGCCAGATGAAGCAGGCTAGAACCAACCTGAGCAAGACCTGCATTTCCACCGGTTCGTGTGGAATACGGATAAAAGTCCGGACCGGTGATATTGTAATGCTGAAGAGCTCCCCAAAGAATCATTGGATTTTTGAACTCGTATTTGATCGTTTGTTGTACGATTTTGATTGATTTATTGATGGCCATATACATGTATTCCATTTCTCTTGTCCTGTTATTGGAGAAAACTATTGTTGGTTGCCCCCGAAATCAGAAACGATGCTCATTCAATCTTCTTGGTATGTAGATTTTACTCACGCTCAAACAAATCGATGGGAGGCTCGATTGGCTGTAAATGTGTCGGGAGCACCTGAAGGTCCTGATTGTACCTCAAATCTAGCTCAAATTGCGATTTTGGCCTGTGATTCAAGTCCCATTTGCCCCATACTTCTCGTCGAATCTCCGCCACTTTCTCATCCAACGAGAGATCACCCTTCGATTTCGCATCTGGTTTTGTATCTAATTCATCGTTGGGCGACTCCAACTCCGACTCCGTCTTCTCGGCTATCAATTTCGGGGCCTTTTCCTTGTTGGTACCTGAATCTGACACCGCGCTCGACTGCTGCGGCAAAGCAATCTCGTCTCGGGGTTTGGGGACTGTATTTATCTTCTTGGCAGGGGATTTGTGAGATGATGACTGCAGGGTTCGTGGTTGAGGTGGCGTATCGGAACCTTGACTTGATGGGTACGGCGCAACTTCCACAGGAGCGGATGGCTCCGGGGTTACCGCCGGTACTGATATATACCTTGGAGAAACATGTGATAAGCCTGCTCGTGCAGTTGACGAGATCGGGGAAACGCGAGGGTACGGTCTCGTTCTAGGATGCGCAAGTTGAAAGGGGGGCTTGTATCCGCTGGACGTCGGGGCCCTGAGCTTGCAGACCGTCTTGAACATCCGCTCGATTGAAGGGCAGTGACTGGTTGATGCGATTGTTCGTAGAACCAAGCAAGCGTGCGGTGGACAGTAAGAAAATTGGAGATTTTTGGGGGGCGCAAAGAACCACCAACAATTCAATAAAGTTATGACACTAGACTTTTCCAAGGTGCCAAGTCGGAGATTGCGGGATTACCACAGCCAATCACGCGTCTCAGCATACGATCTATAAAGGTTCAGAATGCAAAGTGAGACTAATTTTACGAAATTAAGCTGCTTAGGTAGACAAATGTATAACTTTATGACTATCACTAGTTCCAGAAGCTAAATTCATAGCGAAGACCGCTGCCACTATAGGCGATGTTACCTAGGTATAATAATATATATAATTTCACCTTGCAAGTCCCTGATCTATCTTGTACTACCAGGTTATTACAATTTTTAACATTTCCGAAGGCTACCTAGGTAGTTAAAGACAAAATGAACTATGTAGATATCTACCAGTACCTCTGAAGATCTCACTTGTCTATTTGTGATAACACGAGGAATTGCCTAGAGTTGTTAGCCTTTACACCACTGGAATTACCTAGGCAAGCAGCGATATCCGTGGACGGACCCAGGGAAATTAAGTACACCTTCCTAGGTATGTTGTCTTTCCCGACCTCTATAATGTCGACAGTCAGGTAAGAACGTGAAAAGGCAACCAAATAAGGCCTGCTTTATTTCAACATGATTGGATGAGTTTCCTAGGTTCATGCGCTGATGGACTTCCCCGCAATCGCTACTCCTTAGCGCTGGCAACAACGCGAGAATGTAACCTAAATAGGTGTCCCGACTCGGAGATTTTGATATTAGCGCTCCCTGAAAGGAGGGGTTGACCATGGCCAATCCCAAATGCCGTGGCTGGGATGCATCTATGTGCAACATTGTCCTATCAGTCGATGCATTGGCACCCAGCGATAGGGACGTGACTCCTGAAACTAGAAGAAGGAATCAGAAACTCTGTCATAATCAAGTATGCGGTTCAGTATCTCGGCTTTCTTAACTGCTACATCGACTGCCCTCTGTCAATCGATCCTCGATCTAGGCAGTCAGCAATGGACGCTGTCAAGCGACAACGTGACCGTGACAGGCAAAGTGCCTTCCAATGCCCATCTAGATCTTTTTGAAGCTGGAGTGATAGGCGATCCTTTGTATGGGGCCAATGATACTGCGCTACTGTGGGTACAGCGCATGAATTGGACATATTCTACAAATATATCACTTAGGTAAGGACGTCGTTCTACAGCTTACGTTCTATCCCAACTGGTTGACAAAAGCGTCGACAGCGATCTGTCAGAAGATGCTGCCACATGGCTTGTATTTGACGGCCTTGACACCTTCGCTTACATTGAGCTGTGTAACCAGTCTGTTGGTAACACCGACAACCAGTTTCGGCAATGGTACTTTGACGTTTCGGAAATTGTGCAGTTGTGCAACACATTGTCTGCTCTTACTCTGAGTGTAAACTTCGGCTCTGCGACAAAAATTGCGGCGAATCTTGCTGAGAATGGAGATTGTAGGTTTCTATGTTTCTCTAACTGAGTTGTGTATATGGATAAGGGTAGATCTGCTAACAGCAGCCCGATGTGCCTTTCTATCGCAGCTCTTGTGAACTACTTTGATGGCGGAGTAACTGAAGAATTCTGCTGCAAAGAATTTATACGAAAACAGCAATCTGACTTTGGATGGGACTGGGCACCGCAGCTTTCTCCAGCGGGCATCTGGCAGCCTGCACGACTCGTCCAGCTGAGCAATAGGGTTGAATATAATGACGACAATGACGCTTTGATGGCTCCGATTTACGTGCGAAATACGCTGATTGATATATATCGTCAAGGCCAGATGAACAACATTCCACCAGAACAGTCTCAGCCATTCATATTTAATGCAAGTCTTGATTTCTTAGGAGTGCTCCCTGAGGGTTCATTACTGCAGTTAATTTTACACGACACACAAAAAGGAAATGAGACAATCCTGGCAACACCACTCGACGAAGTCTACAGTTCAAACGACACAATCACTGGAAGCGTCACTATCGATCCTTCTGTGGTCTCCTTATGGTGGCCTGTAGGGTTGGGTGATCAGAATCTTTACTATGCGATCATTGAAGTTGTTCATAATGATAATATCCTAGCCAAGGTCGACAAAAGAGTGGGCTTCCGGACTATAGTCTTAAATATTCTGAATGTCACTGACAGCCAGATTGCCAGCGGCGTGCTGCCTGGATGTAACTGGAATTTCGAAGTGAATGGGAATGAATTCTATGCTAAAGGATCGAATCTTGTTCCCCCAGATGTCTTTTGGCCAAGGGTAAACGAAAAGAAGATACGAAAGTTAGTAAGGTATTCTTCAACTTTGTCCTGTCTACATGCTTATAATCCACGCATATGCAGTCTATTCGAAACCGCTGTAATCGGGGTGAGTTTCCATTCTAACATTTGAATCGCCCCAGGGCTGGACTCAAGTATACATAGAATCAGAATATGCTCCGCATCTGGTCTTCAGGAGCATACCTCCCTGATTGGATCTATGACATTGCAGACGAGATGGGCATTTTGCTTTGGTCAGAGTTCGGTATGCTATATTTTTATCCCTGCTTCGGTTTCATGTCGCGAATTTCGATTTGGAACTAAAGAGAGACGTGGCTTATAGAATTCTCAGACGGAGTATATCCAACAAATAGGTCATACATTGAGCAGTATGTAGCTGAGGCCAATTATCAGGTAGTAAGTAAACAATATGTCATTCCATAACAATGAGCTATAGTGCTTGAAAAGGATGAACAGGCTCACGCATGGTCATCACTTGCAATATAGCGTCGAATCAATCACCACCCCAGCCTTGCTCTCTGGGTCGGCGGCAATGAGCTTGAGGCCATCCTACTCGCCTATTACTTCAGTGCAACGGAGCCCGGCCGTTTGCAACGCATGTACGAACAAATCCAAGAAGAACTCCTCATCCAGGCCGTATATGCCAATACTCGATCGATCAGTTACATTCCCTCCTCGTAAGCCCGTTCAAGTCTTCAAGTAAGATGCAATGATTTTATCTCACATATCTGCAGGACCTATCAGGGATTCCTCGAGCTCAATTTCTCATCCAGCATGCCTGAGCTACCGCGTTATGACAATACATCTGGTCCAAACTTTCTATACGCGGATACAGGTTTGAGATATACTATACCCAAGTGGCTTCTCGAATCAAACGCTGGAGCTTACAAGGTAATTGTTAACAGATTTCTACAACTACGATACTTACGAGGCATTTGATGTCAACAGCTACCCTATTGGGCGCTTTGCTACGGAGTTTGGATTTCAATCGATGCCTTCTATATACTCATGGCAACAAGTTGTGCCCCAGGATCAACTATCTTTCTTCTCGGATATAGTCATCCATCGTAACCGTCATTACGGAGGTGGCAACACGACGAGAGAGCAATCGATATCGGGTCTCCAGCAAATGACCACGGCGGTAGAAGCATGGTATCCCGTGCCAAATATGGCAGACCCCATTGCCAACTTCAGGTTGGTTTCGCTGCTTTCCCCGCTCAAACCATTTTTTGAGTCTAATGACTTGTTGAAAATAAATAGTGCGTGGTGTTGGTCGACTCAAGTCTTCCAAGCCGACTACTACACATCAGAGCTCGCTTTTTTCCGTCGCGGCGCTGGCGCAACAAACCGAAATATGGGATCCTTGTACTGGCAACTGGAGGATCTCTGGACAGCGCCTACATGGGCAAGTATAGAGGTAGACGGCAGATGGAAAGTCTTGATGTATCGCGCCAAGGACATCTATCAACCGGTCGTTGGCTACTCCTTCTACAACTCATCCACAGGGGAGTTGGAGATTTGGGCCATGTCGGATCTATGGTCGGTAGTTACAGGCAACTTGCAGTTGTCGTGGACACATTGGAACGGCTCGACGGCCATGTCGGTGCTTGGGAAAAATAAGACCAATTTCAGTATCCCATTCACTATCGAAGCAATTAATTCCACCCTTGTCTATCAAACCAACATCCACAGTGATCTTGCCTCCTACAACGAGACGGATGATATCATACGTGATCTCGTGCTGCGAGTAGATCTCTCCGCTAGAGGGACGCCCAACAGCGACAGGTCGTCTTCACCACAGCAGATCCCATACTCACACACCTCATATTTCCACCCAGCGACGCTCCAAGACGCGAACCTGCAAGACCCAGCATTGACTCTCGCCTACAAGTACAAACCAGGGCACCGTGAACCGCACCATTTCATAGTTACAGCGACCCGAGCCGTTGCTGCCTGGGTCTGGCTGGACCACCCCCTGGGCGTCGGGGGCTATTTCTCCGATAACGGATTCTGGTTGATGAGTGGTGAGCAAAGGATTGTTACATTCACTGTCAAGAATGACTGGACTTGGGGGCTGTGGACGGGCGATGTGGTTATCCGAAGTATGTGGAACAACACGTCTACATAATGACTACGTAGTTAGCGCATAGAAGCCGTGGAATCCTTGGAAAACTCCATCATGATCGTCATACATCCTTATCTATAGCGACTCTTTAGTTCCATGCAGTAAGCCGACGGGTCATGCACAGCTAATGGGCTGGCTGCGTCTTATCTCTAAAACCCACCATAGCATTAGACGGCGCCACCGACGCCATCTAGTCTTAATGTCGATCTGTTATGCTCTTTCCAAGATTCGACCCCTGTCATTAACGAACTTAAACTTAGGTGTTGATCAGCGAAGAAAATAACTGACTAGTTAGTTAAGTGTTGCGGGGTGTTGTCCAAGGACGGCGCTCGCCGCGGAAATGCATTATAAAAAATATGACCAAGTATTTCTATTTACACACAAGACAAGAACACGATCGCTAAACCAACCACGCACAATAGGATATATATAAAAAATGTAGACATATACCTCCACGCCTCTGCATATCATACAAATCGAGGCAGCGATAGCAGCCCCTAGGCAATTCCACGTAAAGTGACAACGTTTATCAAACCGCTCGGTTGTCTATTTTTGTATTTCAGTAGAGCCATATGCCGCTGGATGGTGTATATAATGTTATGCATAAAAAAGGAACGAGCTTCTACCGCTTCGCTTCCGATGCAGGTGATGCGACGAGATAATGATAGATGATCTATTCTGGGCTAGCGCAAGTGAACACTCCCCTAACAGAGCCACTTTTATAACTGTCGATCTGTTGTGAAGAACTGCGCGTTAGAAGAGAGCTCTCGAGGCTTAAAATGGGAGAACACAAGCGGGATGAGAGGGAAAGACTGATACTTACAATGTCCTCAATACTGGCATAGGTACCAGCACCCAAGGTAATTACGCCAATCAAAAATGTAATCGCGTTTATGATAGCCCATGGAAGGTTCTTGCGAGAGTGCCACGGGCCTTCTCGGATGAGTATGAACCACATGAGCGCTGGGAAGTAGAAAGAGAAGCCTGAAATGAACAGCGCCGACATGATAGACAAGAGATCTGAGAAGATTGGAATGACCTCCGCGATGATGAAAGCAATAACCGTGATAACGGCCAGGAGGGCGACCCACGTGATCCATCCCATCTTAGTGTTAATGTATCGGATGGGCGAGTTCTGGTAGATCCGGCCATGAATCAACCGACCGACGACAGTGCCGTTGATAGAACCACTAATGAAGATGACAGGCAGAGCAAGTCCGAAGGCCACCTTGCTGAGCAGGTTTCCAGCAGAGAGAAGGGCAGGACTCTCGACACCCTGGCCGACAAAGGCATAGACCAATGCGCCCGTCACGGTGTAAATAATGATTTCAATGATTCCCAACGCCCAAATAGATTTGACATAGTCCTTGGGCGTGTGCATTTCGTCCATAAAAGAGAACTGGCACATGGCAAAGCTGTAGGCGAAGATGATATTGGACACGGCAATGAAGGCCTCAGCGAACGTGGTGTCTGGGGCCGGCCATGCGGACCAGTTGACAGACGAAAGACCACCCGGGGACTTGCTTGCCTCCACGCCGGTACCGATGATTGTGATGCCAATTGCGATGATAATGGAAGCAAAATCAATGTATCCCAAGATGGCGGTCTCGGTGAAACTAGGGGGTAAGGCCACAAGGAACAAGATGACAGCCGACACGACGGCCCACACCACTGAACAGACGCCGCTGCTGGTGATGTTCATCCAGGCGATGGTACCGGTCAAACAGTGAGAGCCCACCAGGAACACCAGCGTCAGAATCAACATGATGTTGATCAACTCATAGCCCACACGGCCGAACATGAGCTGACCAGCGTCGGGGTAGGTGGCCACATGGGGGAATTTAATTTTCACCTGGCCGACGACATAGCTGGTATAGATGGCAACCAGCCCAAGACCGACGCAACAGATTACCCCTGCAACCATGCCGAGGGTTGCAAACGAGGAGGGAATCGACAGACTTCCCAAGGCAATGGCCTCGACAATGAGCACCACAGTCAGGCGCTTCCAGCCGAGACGGTGATACTTGGCATGGCCACGTCGTTCCTCCTCAGTCATCTCCCCGATCTCCTGGTCGTAGGGCAAGATGGCCGGAACCTGCGATTCTTCGCCGGCCTTGTCGGACCAGGGCTGCGCGGACTTGTTGACATCATAGTCCGAGGAAATGTTGTCCTGGGAAGACATGGTGATAAATTCAATCAATGGCTGACTGACTGACTGAGTGAGTGTGAGTGACGGATTGACTTCCTCGAGAACCGCAGTGCCGGACGTCGGCTGTCGAGAGGTCGAGAGGTGGAAGACGCGCGGCGACGGGGAGGAGCCCAGGGGGCTCCTTCCTGCCATATAAATCAAGAGAACCCCAACCGGCTTCGGAGCGAGCGTTCGCTGTCGAGCCCTGAACCGCAGGTGGCGATCCACAGCCTGGCAGACAAAAACGCATTCCGGCGTTGCAATGGAGCCCCGCCGTGTCCTGTACGATCTTTTGGATGGCCAATGAGGGCGCGCCCTGCAGCGGGTGGCGCCCCACCCCAGCGCCATCTTGGGCGATCCACCACACTAGCGCTGGCCGAAAGGGGAAATGCCCTAAACCCTAATGCGGAGCTGGCCACCATCGCCATTGGACGACAGATATTGACGCTGACATGATTCGTCAAGCAACTTGACAGCAGCCCATGGGAATCCTTTCAGTTTCATGAATCAGCCGGAGCACGCCGCAAGGAAAGATCGTCCGGTGTGGACACGCGACCAGCCTGAAATCACCAACCACGCATTCAGCGTTGCAGCACTTTGGGGCAAAAAAAGGAAAAGAAATTTTTGTCTTTTTCCAGAATCCTTCCTCAACTACCATCCCACAGATTTTGATCCTTTCACTCTTCTAGTGTCTGCTACATCGTATTCACTGCTGTCCCATAGGTCACAAACGCCGGCGGTGTTTTCGTAAATGATAAAAAGTCATGCCAGGGCAACAATGGAACCTCGCATGCGCCTCAATTTAAAACGCGCATCAGGTGATCTGATTATGAAGACGTTTTACGTATAAGATTTAACCTTCCTTACCCCGGACGAGCAGTGCATTGGAGTTCCGGGACAACGGTCCATCCTCCCACCTATATATATCTGCTGGACACAATGCCCTGTCTACCCCTTGCTGGCAAATTCCAATAATAAAGGAAATATGTTGCCTTCGTGACTCGCGAGTAGTATGTGAGGAAAACAACGAGCCGATCCGTGGTCCCTGTCCGCGGCTGCACGATCCGACTGCATTGAGTTTCGCTCAACCGCGAACAAATTCAATCTTATAACCATGATATTTGGCTATAAGCAATCCCGCCTCTTTCAACTTGCAGTGGTATACTCTCAGTTCCCAATGACATGGAAGGTAGTCAAGTGTTCCAATTTTATCTGATAACGACCATAGTCTACCCAATGAACCATCGTGAAGCCCTTTGATACGAACGGACAGTTTCAAACCATCGTCCGAGAACTACAGAATGGCGTCAGAATATGAAGAGAGACTTTTATCAGGGCATCACGATGTTCCATCTGGTCCGCCGTGTATGCAGTAGCTATCTTGGAACGTGGAAGGGTCGATGTTTCCCGCTACTGATTATCACGTCCTTGACACGGACGTCGCACGTCTCGTTCGATTCGCAAAGTCTTACAAATCGTGAACACGGGGGATTCCCGATCTATGCAGCCATGGTCCGACCCTTGCTTCATGTCCACGCTGTCACACTCTCCATGAGACATTCCAGGCACGTAAAGGTGATTTGTCGGTACTTGCCACTTTGTCTCTATTGGATGGCGGTCTAACCAAAACAAGCCTAGTCGCCGCGCTTTGCCAGTGTCTGATTGACCCAACACTTGGAGGATGTCCAGGGCAGCGTGCCGGTTTTCGGCCTAGCTTCTGCTTCTAGAATCGCAGCTTAATCTTATCGTTCCGCCGGCACAATCAAGGCACCAAGGCACCAACGGGCGTTCCACAAAAAAATGCTCGCTTCCCCTCCGATAACGAACGAACCCCCCTTTTTGCACCGGCTCTTCTCCTTCCAGTTTCCACCGTTGTTGCTTTGCATGTTCCAGCGTCTGCTTCCAATTCGCCGCCATCGCATTCGCTTTAGTCATCGGTCCATTTTGCCATGCTGCATTGTATCTCGCCGTCGCTTTGACTGTAGCCGCCAGAGTCGCGATTCGCGATAGCTGCCCACCACCGCGGTCACCGCTATTGCCGCTGAGCTGGCCGTGGCAGCATCTTGGGAATTTTTTTTTGCCCTTGTTTTTGATATCTTGCTATATAGGAGACTATCCCTGTTGAGTCTCGACATTTTTGTCCATCTGCTCAATTGCAGCGTGTAGAGAGCCGACGACAAAAGTAAAAGGAAGAGCAATGTCTGTCATCGATACTACCAAAGACCTGTCGGCGCTGTTCAGCGACCAAGCCCGGGCGAGTCCGCAGGCCGTCGCGCTGGAGGACGGCGACAGCGTGTACACCTATGCTGCGCTGGATGCCGCGGTAGACGCGCTGGCTGCGCGACTGCGCGGCTACGGCGTGGGCCGCAACACGCAGGTGGGAGTGCTCCTGCCGCGCTGTGCGCATTACGTGATCGGCTGTCTGGCCATCTTACGCGCCGGCGGCGCCTTCCTTTCGCTGGAGCTGGCCTACCCTCTGGGTCTGCTGGCAGAGGTCATCGACGACGCCGCCCCGGCCGTAGTCCTCACGCATGCCTCCGAGCAGTACAAGGTCGACAAGAAAACACCCGTCATTTGCCTGGACAGCCCACCAACGGATGCCAATGGCTACTCGAAGGACCCTGGGCCCCTGCCTGCAGACGACGACTTAGACCGGCTGGCGTTTGTGTCCTACTCGTCGGGCACAACGGGCAAGCCGAAGGGCATTGCCAACCCTCACCGAGCACCCGTGCTCTCATACAACCTGCGATTCCTCGTGCAAGACGTCAAGCCCGGGGACCGCGTTGCTTGCAATGTCTTCTTCATCTGGGAGATCATACGTCCGCTGCTGCGTGGAGCTACTGTTGTCGTAGTGCCTGACGAAGCCAGCTACGACCCGGACGCGCTCGTAGACCTTCTTGCCGCCAAGCGTGTCACCGAGACTCTAATGACTCCGACACTCCTTGCCACTGTACTTTCTGCCAATCCCGATATCAAAGTTCGCCTGCCGGAGCTGCGTGTCCTATGGCTAAATGGCGAAGTCGTTACTACAGATCTAGCTGCGCGAGCCATAAAGTCACTCCCGCAGACACGCCTGCTCAATTGCTACAGCGCGTGCGAGACCCATGAGATTGCATGCGGCGATATTCGCGAAATGTTCGATGAGAATTCCGTGTATTGTCCCGTTGGCCCGCCAGTTGACCCGAAATACATATACATCCTTGATGATCAAGGCCAAAGAGTTGCCGACGGCACCACTGGGCAACTCTTTGTCGGCGGGCAAATGCTGGCCTGGGGATACATAAACCGCCCTGAAACCACCGCCCAAGCTTTTGTGCCTGATACTTTTAATCCAGTCGCCGGTGCTCGCATGTATAAAACAGGGGATCGGGCACGTATTCTCGAGTCTGGCGTCCTCGAAATTAGCGGACGTGTGGGAACCATGATCAAATTGCGTGGCTATTCTGTCGTTCCTGGTAAAGTTCAGAATGAGATCGTTAAACATTTGGCCGTCAGCAGTTGCTGTGTCGTCGCTCGTGGAGATGGTCTGGAACGGCAATTAGTTGCCTATATAGTGCCTGACCGAGAGACTTCAAAGGACCGCGAGCTTGTCAAAATTGATAACTATGGCCGCAGCCCCCAAGCACGTCGCATTCTTGCGTCTTACCTTGCACATTATATGATCCCAACACTCTGGGTTGAACTGGATGCCTTACCGACCAGCGAAGTTTCCGGAAAAGTCGATCTCAAGCTTCTTCCTCCTCCACCTACTCCTGGTGCCAACGGCAATGACAGGCACGCCGTATCAGACTCAATCAACCCCAAAGATGTGGCCGCTCTGTGGGCTGCAACTCTCAAACTTCCACAGTACGGTATCCAATCTGAGGACAACTTCTTTGACCTCGGTGGACAATCTTTGTTACTTGCCGACCTGTCATCGAGACTCTCGAAAGCTTTTGGTTTCCGTGTGCCTATCGCTCGGCTGGCAGAAATTCCAACGCTTGACGGTCACCTTGCTGCAATTCTGGCGGCACGGGATGGCCACACCGCAGCTATACAGGCAGATCTTCCTGCCATTTTAAGAAATGATTCCACGCTGAAGGATGATATCAAGCCACCCAAGGCAACCATATGTCCTATCAATACGGCAGACACTGTGCTGCTAACAGGTGTTACCGGATTCCTCGGTGCGTTCCTTCTCAGCGAGTTACTTGAGAGCACCAACGCGGAGATTATTTGTCTTGTTCGTTCCAGTGACCCAGAATCTGAAAGCAGACCGCAAGCCATCTCAAGAGTTCGTAAAAACCTTCTGGATCTAGGCCTGTGGCAAGATTCAATTATGGAACGAGTAGAGATCCTGCCGGGAAATCTGTCCCAAGATCGGTTCGGTCTTCTACACGAAGAGTTTGAAAACTTAGCATCTCGCGTTCAGGTGATAGTCCATGCGGCAGCCACCGTTAACCTTGTGTACCCATATGCCGCGTTACAGAAAGCTAACGTTGAAGGAACAAGAGAGATAATTCGCCTCGCGTGCAAGCGCGGCGCTACACTGCAGTATGTGTCTACCAACGGGGTCTTGCCACCTTCTGGTGAGATAGGTTGGTCAGAGGATGCCATTCTTCCTGTGGAGGAGGTTCCCGAGAAGATTCCGGATGGCTACGGACAGACCAAATGGGTGGCCGAGCAACTCGTTTTGGAGGCCGGTCGCCGTGGACTGCCGGTGAAGATTCATCGAGCAGGTACCATCAGTGGACATAGCGTGACTGGCGCCTCTAACGCATGGGATCTAATCTCTGCAATAATCGTCGAATCGATTAAACTTGGCTATGCCCCGGATGTGGATGGCTGGCGAGCTGAGATGACACCGGTGGATTTTGTCAGCAAGTCCATTGTTCATCTTTCTTCTCAAACAGCGGGAAACCAAACGATCTTCCACCTAGGAGATCCTGACCCTATTAGTATGAAATCAGTATTCGACAAACTCGAGCAGCTCGGCTATCCAACGAAGCCACTGGTGTGGAATGAGTGGGTGGCACTTTGGAATGAAAGGCGCGGCACTGCTCAAGGTGGGGATAGTGCCTTTACAGCCGATATTCTCCGAGGCAGCATGCCAACCGTGGATTTTCTACGAGACATTATAATTTTAGACAACAGCGCAACTAGACCTTTCCGTGCTGCCGTTGAAAGACCAAAGATCGATACTCCGCTGCTTGACACTTATACTCGTCATTGGTTTGCTAGAGGCTGGTTGCAACGACTTCCTCGCAAGAGTGCCGGAAGCTTGTCCGCTAACTCCAGCAGTAAATCACCATTAAGCGGACGTGTCGCAGTGATCACCGGTGCATCATCTGGAATTGGTGCTGCTGTGGCCACTGCCTTGGTTGAGCAAGGTTGCCATGTTGCACTTGGCGCTCGGCGCTTGGATGCTCTGCAAACTGTGAAAAACAAGTTCGGTGCCAATGGTGGCAGATGCATACTACGAAAAACCGATGTAACAGACAGGAAACAGGTCGAAGAACTTGTTCGTGCGGCAAATGATGAACTTGGAGCGGTTGATATTGTTGTTGCATGTGCAGGTGTTATGTATTTCACCATGATGGCGAATGTACATGTTGAAGAGTGGGAACGCACTGTAGATGTCAATTGCAAGGGTCTCCTCCATTGCCTATCTAGTACAGTGCCGGGAATGCTTTCCCGTGGCAGCGGCCATATCGTTGCCATTTCATCAGATGCAGGCCGTAAAGTTTTCCCGGGACTGGGTGTGTATTCAGCCAGCAAGTTCTTTGTTGAGGCAACATTACAATCATTGCGTTTGGAAACAGCTGGGAAGGGCTTGCGTGTGACAAGTGTACAGCCCGGGAACACCGCTACGGACCTGCTCAATATGTCATCAGATGCCGAAGCCATCAAGCAGTATGGTGAGCCCTCAGGGGCACAGATATTAGATCCGAAGGACGTCGCAAACGCCATCGTTTATGCGCTATCTCAACCATCACATGTTGCTGTAAATGAAGTGCTGATAGAGCCTAGAGACGAGCCTATATAGATGCTCCACGACATGAAGAATTTAACTTTTAGATTCTTAAATATGTTGTCAATCGAATTTATCATATTTCTCCCTGTTCCAGATCTCGCGTTTCCAGAGGTATATTTAACGATGAATATTTAGTTTGGCATTTGTGATTTGACAGGGAAATGGAACACTTAGAACAGTCTTGAAGAAGCAAATATACACCTCTCTCTGATGGAAGAGCTGATTTTCAAAGCATCTTGTGAACTTTCCAAGGCGGGAATCTGGTTCTAGGTGCATATTTTCTAGAGAATATTAGCATAAACAACATACCGTAGTGGAATTAATCACTCTCAATCTCCTGCTTCTCCCGGGGCCAATGCTCAATTGTCACCGCGTCACCAGTCAACCTCACGTCGACCACAATCGATCGCTCCACATTCAAAGCCAATTGATAGTCACCAGGATACACAATTTTATTGCCATTCTCATCGACACGTGCCATTGCGCCAATAGGTACGGGGATAACGAGATTCACTGATTGCCCTGGCTCAATGGTGGCCAATCGATCGAATCCAACGAGCCACTTGTTGGGGTAGGGTGCAGCGCCGGCGTTGCTAGTATTTGCAAAGAGCATAGCGGAATATGGCGATGCAGTGTGTCCGGTATTCTTGATTGTCGCGGTGAAATTGAGAAATGGAACGAGCTCGCCGTGTTCGTAGCCTGCTGGACGAGGAGCAGTGAAAATATCTGAGATGTCAAAGGATGAAGATAATAAAGACCTATGCACAGTCTCCTCGAACTTTGTATAGAATAAACCGTAACCAAATTCATAGACAGGCTGGCCCGTATACCATATGTATGTCTGGCCAGGATTGGATGCACCATTTGGCCGGAGATTCATGTCTGTGGCTGGGAACTGAGTTGCATATTCAGCTGGATATTGTGTTGATACGAGACGACCCGCTGGCGCACGTTTTCCGGACAAGATATCAAAAATTGCCCGACCACCAGACTGGCCGGGATATCCACCCCAAAGGAGAGCGTCTACTTTGGAGTTCTTCTTGAGCGAGGATGAGTCAACTTGCCCACCTCCCATCTGAAGCACAACCAAGGGCTTTCCCGACTCGCCGAGTTGCCTTATAAGCTCGAGTTGGTTACCTGGCCAGGTAATATTCATACGGTCCAGGCCTTCAGCTTCTATAGTGTTGTCAATTCCCCCGAGGTAAATGACAACATCTGACCTTTTGGCTGCAGCAAGTGCATCAGCAAAGCCGGCCGTTGATGTATCTGAAATATTTGTTCCCAAGGCGTAATTGACAACATAATCGGCATCGATGGCGGCCTGCAAGGGACTGATCAAGTAAGGAGGTGTACCGTAATAATTTCCTTGAAGCTGAGTAGTAGCATTTGCCCAGGGCCCAATGAGGGCAATGCTCCTAGTATTCTTGGACAGTGGTAGGAAATTTTTTTCGTTTTTGAGCAGGACAATGCCCTCCACTGCTGCCTCATAGGAAATGTTCCACGCGTCTGTGGTCACAACATCATCCCACTCTAGATGACGATATTCGCTCTGGTTACCGTCGAAATACCCGAGCTTGACGAGATTGGAGTAGAAACGGACCAGAGAACGCTCCACTTCTCCCCTGGTAATTGACCCTTCAATAAAGGACTCATTCAAGTACCACGGGAAAGTTTGTCCGCAGTCTATGTCGGTACCCGCTCTGAGTGCATCTGCAGCAGCAGCAGATTCATTGCTGGCATAGCCGTGAGGATTGAAGACGTTGTAGACAGCGTCACAATCGGAGGAGACGTAGCCATACTCCGTGAAATCCCAACTATCTCGCAACAGAGTCTGAAGGAAGAAACTATTAGAGCAACTAGGAACTCCGTTGACGGAATTGTAAGAGCACATAACGCTGCGTGCTTTGGCATATCTTGATGCGGCCAGAAACTGAGGCGTATAGTATTCAGACAAATCCTGTTGGGTGATGATGGCGTCAAATCCTAGCCGAGAATTGCCGCCCCAACTCTCTAGGTCGTATCCTGCAAAATGCTTAGCTGTCGCGGCAATTTTGAGATGGTCCGGATCAACACCGCCTTGAAGACCTGTAATATATTCGTATGCATACGAGGCCGAAAGAAAACCCGCATCTTCGCCTGGAGTCTCTTGACCACGGCCCCAAAGCGGGGTCCTAAAGCCATTTATATTCGGAGCATAACCATCAAGTCCGTAGCGACCAACATTGCTGAAGGCACGGGCTTGAGTTGCAATGATGCTTGCAATTTGGTTGATCAGGGTGCGGTTGAGAGCTGCCGTAGACAAAATGGGCATTGGAAAGGAGGTTGCCCATGTCCATTTGTCCCCCGACGTTGCAACGTTTGCCCGGTCAAGTCCATGCAAAGCTTCGCTCCAAACCTGATACGGAGGTAAACCAAGTCGAGGAACTCCCGGGCCGCTGTTTTGTGTGTTGTTAATCAACTCTTCGAGGGTAAAGAGTGAAACGAGAGCTTCTGCACGTTCGACATAGTCCGCTGATGAGCTGCAAACTAACTTGTTCTTGAGTGGCCCATTATCACAGTCGGGAAAAGACAAGTTAAAAGTTGCCAAAGTTTCCGGAAAGAGGTCTGGCTGAGCTTGAGAGGAATAATTCACATAGGTCTGGTTGTCCTGCGCCAGTGCTAGACTGGGCAGCATTGCCCCCAGCACGGTTATGCATTGTGCAGCGTTAACCATCATGTGAATAGTTCCTGCCACCTAAAGGTAAAAAATATAGAATAGGCTGCCAACTCATAATTCATTCTTCTCTTCTACATCGGCAGAAAGAGTGGAACTTATAGGTACTTCTTCCCCAACGGTTATATCATTCTTTCTCAATTCCTGCCCACTACAACCGTATCTGGTTGTAGTCTGCAGATTCAACCCCACTACTCTACTCTGTTCTCTTAATCTTCACGGGTAATTAAAAATTCATGGCGCATGACTATCATGTCACTGCAGTGTTTTGTCAGACTGGATCCCTATGCATTTAGCCTGAATACCCCCTCAAACTCTCGTAGATCCCTGCAACTAGGGATTTAATAGAACCTTGCTTTTGATTACGAGAAATGGAGAAATCCTACCTAATCAAGAAAATGCGGGGTCAATCTAGATTGCTGGGATCTCAGGCTTACGAAAATTACCAAAAGAGGAAATTTCTGAACCCCGGGAAGGCCCCCAAGGTCTTTCTCAACGACGTCGATACGTGAGAGGGCTAATAGACGCAAAGGTCCCTAGTCAATGTTGAGTAACATTATTGTTCGGCAGGAATTTATGTTGCACTCCCTTTCCAGGTGTTGGGACGAAATGAAATCTCGGAAATGCTCCGTGTTCAAGTCAGGTTTTCCAAACCCTCGAACAGTACTGATATTATCTAGCCTAAAAGCTTCTGTATTATCGACGCAATGACCGTCAAATCCATATTACATAGTAGAGTATATGCCAGGAGTGTAGACTCTGACAAATCCATGAAGGAAATAGTTGCTATTAAATCGACCTTGGAGATGGTTAGGTGCGACTGATATGATATCGCAAAAGAACATAATTAGACATTGTGGGCCTTTGACATTGTATTGGAACGTACCAGATCCTTGGCTTAAAACAAATATAAAAATATCTATTGTACACAGAGAAGTTTTTCCCTCGATATATGCTCATATCATAAATATAGCAATACTATTTACGCGTCGTATGAACGTGATAGGCCAAGAAACTCATTGTGGTGAACCACGGAACTTGATTAATTTGGAATCTAGAAAGGGGTAAATGTCGGCATAATTCTATACGATGACTGGAGAGGGGCACGCATCCGGTCGTCTGGGTTGCGATAATTGATAGCTCGGAGATACTCCGAAGCCTTCTGGATAGAAGGCAGGAATTCAAGGAATCTATATTTATCCTCGTTAATAATCACGGTACGTGACTCATAGGTATGGCCTACATTGACTCCATCATGCCAATGGGGCCGCGTTCGGTCATCTCCCTGGAGATCGCATTGGGCAGGTATTCACAAGGCAATGGCTCTTCCGCGAAACCACTTGCGACCACAGTGCGCATTATTTGCTCTATTCCAATTTCATAAGTGAACAGAGTTGTGAATAACGAACAAGGTGATACTCACCAACTAACCGAGGATCGGCTGCTTTCGAAGCTGCCAATTCGGTTAAAGGCACTGGTCTGGTCGCCTGGGCAAGCAGAGTGAAAACGTTTAAGTCATGAGCCACTTTGACGGCCATCAAAGCACTTGGCTAGAGTTTTCCACTATCAATATCTAGATACTTATAGTCTCATCGGGATATCTATGTCTTACTAAGTATGATAGTCTCAGGATTGCCTCTCGTGGACGGGCAAGCGCCTGTGCCAAGTGTAACGCCTTCTCATGAGCGTTGGCCCGGGACTGCTCAGGCCCCGTGGATTCAAAGAGATCCAGTGACCTTTTGATTTCTCTCTGTAGATTCTGCGCCAACTGGATATTCATGGTGGGTGCCTGTAATTTAAAGAAGAATGGTTCTTTCAACAAGGAAATGAGGTAGCTAAAATGTCTACAGCCGGCAAGGGGAGTTGTTTGAATTATAATGTGTAGTTGCCCGTGGACTTTGAGAAAGGAAATATCACGCTTCTCTGTGCTACAAATCAGAATCCTGGTTCAAGTCAACCCTGTAAGGCCATTTGCCGCTTTGAGAAAGCATTGATATCATTCGTGACTCAGTTGCACCAGGATTCTTTTCTAACAAAGGTGACAGATCGACGCCTATTAGATGATTTTTCCTGTTTCTAAGAGTAGATTCAAGATTGAATGGATGAAGGATTTGCCATCTACGGTTCTGACGAAGCTTAGGTTTACTATAAGATATGAGAAAACGGTTTTTATGTATCCAGATGACGTATTCGACGACTTGAAACTGATGATCAATGTTCCACCCAGTAACACAAATTATCCAGTCAAAATAACTAAGTTAACATTGGTTGGTTATTAAGATTTTATATGTTATGTTAACCTCGGCTGTAATGAGAGTGTTGTATGTAGAGGAGCGCTCTGATTGGTCAGCTATTAATTATGTAACCAACTTGCCTAGCCCGCTTGGATTCCTTTCTGATGACACACGCGAACTGCTTGTCTCAAGGATCAAAATCTGCAAAATTACGAGATAGATCAGTTGCAGATGCGCTGGAGATGACTGACAGGTCGTCTACTAATACGGATGCTGGATCAAGCAGAGGTCCTAACCACATCTCGTGAGTTTTAGCATTCGGAGAAATGTGCGTCGATAATCTTCAATTTGTTTTGACAGAACATCTAGGTGTGAGAGATGCCGGAAAAGAAAGGTGGTTTTGCGTTCTATAATGTGCATCTCATATGAACTGACCGGTTTGTTACTGCAGGTCAAATGTGATCGCTCCCGACCATGCATGCAATGTATCTCGGCAAACGTGGAGTGTACCAATGTCGATTCCGTGAAAAAGAGGTACGACCTGACGAGTCCATTCAATAACGAGGCTTACCATAGTGCTTTTTTTTTCTAGGCCAATATCAAGATCCTACGCTAACGCGTTGGAAGAGCAAGTCGCTTCTCTCGAAGTCTTCATAATGAACCTGGCGAGTGCTAGCCACATGGAGCGAGAACAGATGCTTGCAAACTATCAGCAAGCATCGGTCGATCATCTGCCACGGCTGACTAGCAGTCCTGAGCCTTTCCAGCACTGTGGTCCGTCAAAGGGATCCTTGCTGAGAATGAAAGAAGGCACTGCGTCTCAATTCTTTGGGGAGTCAAGCTTCTATCCAATCATCCCTTCTGTCGACGAAGAAATGGACGAGGATCTACGACCTTCTCGAGAAGGCTCAAAACTAGAGGTCCAGCAAACATCATGCAACGCCGATACTAGTCCGGAACACGTAAGTGATATTGTATCATCTCGCCAGCTCACACCACAAAGTGTGGTCAGTCAGCAAGCCATGTCGGCCTTCTTTCAGCACTGTTATTATTACCATATGGTTCTCTACCGAGAATATTTTCTTCGCGATTATAAAAAGGGCAAAGGCCCATATTATTCAGACCTTCTATTTTATGCCATGGCATCAATGGGCGCCTTGACTAGTAACGATGATAGAATTCGCGATCTATCGGACATTTTCTATAATCGTGGTGAGACCCTTCTTTATGGCGGAGCACTAGATTCGCCGGATATTACCACAATTCAGGCAGTCTTACTCTTGGGGCAACGTGACGTTGGATGCGGAAAAACAACAAAGGGCTGGCTTCTGACAGGTTGGTTTTGGTTGAGCATCGTTAATGTATACTACGGCTTACCGGTAGAGATTTACAGGCCTTGCTTTCAGGATGGTACACGAGATGGGTCTTCATCTTGACCCAAACCACTGGAAAACGGCCCACGACTCCGATGTTGGAAGAGAAGTCCTTAGGCGCGTATACTGGGCATGTTTTATTGCAGACAAGTATTTCGCTATCTTTGCTCCTCCATGTCGTCCCCATTAATGCTAACTAAATACAGGCAGCTAAGTCTCTACTTTGGACGACCGCCAGCCCTCCATCAGAGTGAAGCCGACGTGCAAAACTCTGTCCGCATAGCATACCCTGTCGACTGGGACTCTCTGTTAAACGAGTTTATCGAGAAAGAAACATCTCGGACCAAGTACGAAGATGGAATAGCATTTACAAGCTGTTTTACCCAGCTAGCAAATCTGTCCAAGATCGTCCATCGCATGATTACGGAGGTCTTTGAATACCGGAAGGTTACTGATACGAGTATTTCGGCTGCGTCAAAGAAATCAATTCATGTTGCCTTAACAAAATGGTTGACTGATCTTCCAACCAAACTGCATTGGAATCAATGGCTGAAGGGTGTGGTTCCTCCATATGTACTTCATCTTCAGTAAGTTTTTCCTTGACTCCGATGGATGATAACAACATTTACAGATTTAGTATGTATTACCACACGGTTTTGATTATCTTACATCGGCCGCCACGACAACTAATGTCTGATCGTCTTGTCACCTTCCAACAGGGATTTGAGATTTGTGAACAGTCTCTAAGTTTGATTATTCAACTTCTTAAAGTTTACTCAAAGGACTACGGCTTTGATAATCTTCCCATGACATTCATACATACCGCCGCGACTGCGGCAAGCATTGTGCTGCTGAAGTTACACGTACAGGGCTTATCTAATGACCTCAACACCACGGTGCAGCAGCTCGAGCAGATATCAAAGGCTATTGACAGATTTGCTGGAACATGGACGGCAGCCTTGCCCATCCGCAGTGCGATAGATGATGCTCGACAAAAGATTAGTAGGAGCAATAATACATTGCAGGAACCGACGTCTTTCGATTGGGAAAACCTAATGACGTTGGACTGGTATGTTCAATACTGAGTGCACTTAATCAACATAACCCAAGACTCTGCCTAACGTTTGCGATAGGCAAGTCGACCCACGCCTGCAGGCAAGCTTTCACTTACCTCTAGCTGGGTCTGATAATAACATTCTATGCGATTCAACCATTTCCAATTGAAGAAAAAGAGTCGATTTGTTACTATATTTTACTTCTGTCTAGACCTACCAAACCTTGAACCTGCAGTCCCACCCATCCCATGACACCGGTCTTGGGACCGCAATTTATGTATTCAAAGTTCGCTTCTCCTTCTTTGAGAATAGCAACCTCTTGCCAAGTCATAAACCTTCTGTCATCGCCGAACCTCTTGCTGTGTTTCATAGATCCACTGAAAATCTCCAAATGTGACGGATGCCGACTCGACCACTTCTCCAGGTCTGCCCAGTTTCGATGAAAGCCCATAACGTCAGTCTCTCTTACTGGCTGCTCCTCTGCCTCGATGACCTTTCTCCCCATTCTTAGTCCGATGGAACCCGTTTCTTCAGGATTGTCCCACAGATACTTCATACCGCGCATGAGGCTTTTCTGGAGGTCGCCTTCGTAGGCTTCACGTTCCTCTGCACTGCACTCCTCCCATCGTTGGCCAGAGCGGATGTGACACATGTTGTCGTAATTTGTTCCGGAAAGGCGTTGTCCAAAGCCCACGGGTTTGGTACGAGGCATGATATGCTGAGGAGGCAACGGGAAGAGGTCATGAGAGGAGGCGGAGAGCCGATCTCTACCAGCGCCCCAGTATTCGGTGTAATCATGCGCTGGATGACTGACTCCTGGCAATGCCGCTAATCCAGGTTTGTAGTCAAGTCGAAAATAACTCGTTTGCAGCCGCTGCAATGGAACGGTGAATTGCTCACACCAAAGTCCGATATGCCGTTTGGACTCCCCCAAGCTTTGCCAGAGGCGAAGCAGATTGATCTGTTCTAATTTGGCGATGAATTCGGCGGGCTGTGTCCAATGGGCGACCCAGAGCTTGGATCCGGGCATGTCGTTTCCAGCGGTCAATCGAAAAGCTTCAGTCACAGCAGGCCGATTGGCTTCCTCATTTAGCAGCTGCTCAACATGTCGTTCTGCCGTAGTTCGCGCTTCCTCGTTTCCTCCGTGAAACTGGACTCCCACGTAAAGCGTGCACACTCGGTCCACCTCATCTGGGAATCTGACAGTCCACCGATGCTTCTTCACTTGATGGCCAGGTGGTCTTTTGGGCGAGTGGTTGCGTTTTTCATCGGCCGGTATTGACATCTTTAAACACAGTTGCTATGTCTGGTTTGAATGAGAGGCGGAGATGGACTAAAAACAAGTGGGCGGAAGTACTAAATGGCATGTATCTAGTTAGGTTCCAAAAGTAGACATGAATGAAGAGTAATTTGTATAGCTGGTTACAACTTAGTTGGCTCCTCACCAAGCCTGCTGATCCTATGTACCACAAGGTATGGTACTTGTTGACAGCGTGGTCTTTCGGAGCACACTTTCGGACTTCGCACCGTGCTGAAATAGGATGGCTAGACTGCAATCGTCGCGGTCCTTCGTTCGATCATTCCCATTATCCGCAACGGAGTCCCAACTCCGACGTCCCACTCCTAGACTGGCAAAGCACGCATTGTCTCTACAGGAGCCAGTGGTTTAAAATGCCACTATTACCATCTCGAACAAATAATTTGTTGTTCACATCCTGCAAACTATCTATTGAAGCGTTTCATATCCGGCAATTTGAACAAAAAACAAAAAAATGGCGTCAATAAAACCAGATCACACAGTAGCTTACAAGAACGTGGGCTCCCTTGAAATTCCAATGGACATTTATTTGCCGGAAAAGGCAACAAACGCACCGGTCTTGCTATGGTTTCATGGTGGTGGTTTGCTGTACGTTTGACGTTCATGCATCCTTAGATGTTATCAGTTCTTGCATTGACTTAAACAGACAAGGACGCCGCGATTTGATTGCGCCTCATATGCGGCGTGGTGTACAAACTTACGGCTTCGTTTGTGTCTCAGCTGACTATCGTCTGACACCACAAGTTAGCGTCGGAGAAGTCTTTGAAGATGTGAAAGACTGCATTCAATTCATACGTAATGATATCTCAGCCATCCTAGGAGAGGGTGTCGTTGATGGGTCTCGTATTGCCGTGTCTGGAAGCTCAGCAGGAGGATTTCTCACTCTTCTCGCTGGTCTCTACATCGATCCCAAACCGCAGGTTATCATACCCATCTACCCGATCACGGATCCTCTAGGCACTTTCTTCACAACCCCTCAGCCTGCACCAAATGGACGGTATTCTGCAACTAAAGAAGAAATGGCGCCGTATCTCGACGTCAACGCACCACCGACGGTCAACTGTGGGAAAGTCCCGGATGATCCCCAAAGCCACATGTATGTTTACATGTTGCGAACAGCGAGTCTAGCGCAGCTCTGGGGTATAGGAGAGGACGAAAGTGCTGCAGCCCCTTATCGGGTATCACGCAGAATTTATGAGCACGGCTTGCCTCCGGCGTACATTTTGCATGGAGATGCAGACACAGCCGTTGGCGTGGAGCAGTCAGATGAAGTAGCCGGTGCAATGATGGGATGTGGATTGACAGTCGAATACGAACGCCCTCATGGTGAGGACCACTTTCTGGACAATGGAGACGACTACCAAAATAAGCGTCTCTATGAATTCATCATGCGATATTTGTAAGGTTTCAGCCCCCTGATTAGGGAGCTTTTCAACAAAAGATAGGGTCTGGCATCTCATGATTTGGTCTCAGTAGGCCTCTACTTAGATAGATTTTAATATGTCTGTAAATTTATCGATAAAACAGCTACAAGGCTAGTCTCCGTGGCATTTTGCGTTTCTTCGCATTGTGTGACCACTACATATGTCACTGAAGTTGTACTTATTATTTATCTTTAAGATCATTTGAGGGCGAAAACCTCACATAATAAACGAGAAAGACTATGCTCTGTTTGAATTGTAGAAAAGCGCAGATCCATCGGTATTCAGACATATGTACACTTTGACAGTGTCTCAGGGCTAACGATAAAAACGAACATCGAGGGAATTATAGAACAGCAAACTCCTCAAATTTCTCATCAACCTTTATTAACCTCCCTCTAGAATTACAGTTGTCCACTTAAACTGACTTGGGAGTCTATAAATACCCACGCTTATTTTTCTAGTGCATCTCAACAAATCAACAAAACACCGAGATTCTCACCTGTACATCTCCTAAACACGGTATTGCTTGGTGGTAAATCAAGGAAGTCACAGAATGGCAATAGCTTCAATTTCAACATCCACATTTTTAGGCAACCCCTTCACCGCTATACAGGTCCGTGCCGGTTTTTGCAGAAACCATTTTTCGTACTCGCCATTCATTTCCGCAAAGTAGTGCATGTCTGAAAGGAAAACCTACTACTATGTCAGCTTCTAACCCAAGACTGCAAGTACTATTACTCTCGCCAAAAAAAAGAAAAGAGAAAAAAAGAGAAGATCTTACCGCCACCTTCACTACTTTATGAATCCCACTTCCAGCCTCCTCCAGAATCGTCTTGAGGTTTCTGATGCATTGTTCTGTCTTCTCGGCAATTGAACCGGAGGTTAATACTCCATTTGTATCCATCGGAAGCTGCCCTGAGCAGAAGATCTGACCAGCTGCCTGGAAGGCCTGACTGTACGGGCCAGCAGCTGATAAATTTGCTGTTAGGGCCATAAAGCTTCATGTCAAGAGATATTATGCATCTAAGACTTACGCGGACAAGCGTCTTTGGTGAATATTGGGGTCATTGAGCAGGATAAGCCTGTTTTCCCAGGGCCCTGCTCGGGGGGCGAAAGGTGTTGTTGGTGCTGTTTTAACCTGAGAACTGGGTCAGCCATAATTCAACAGAAGGCAAATCAAGCTTGGATTGCCCTCCAAAGAATTAATATTGCTTTTGGTGCACGTTCTAGGCTAACTATATTCGAGATCCCATGTACGAGGTGTATTTGCGCATAAGTGACTTGTCTTGAGTACTTAGCTGGTTTAGGAGTGTACCTTGCGGAGGTTGAACACCGAGAAATCGGAATTTTCCATACATCCATCCAGAAACCTTCTGTTGACTGTATTACAGTGCGTATAGGAGACAAACGGAGACACGGTGGATCGCTTCGGAGTTGGTCCCCCGAGCGTCTCCCACTACTAATTCACCGTCCAAGCAAAGGTTGTCTGTACCACGCGAAGATACGAGTCTGTGAGATAATGGAGAGGTCAACCAAAGTGTGCAGCATAGTTTGAAGATAACAGATGATATGATCGCCATGTATGCAAAGATAAGGCTACTACTATAAGACTCTCTCAAGTAGACCGTACAATTGCGTTTCTTAGTTAGAATGTAACAATATAGACGGCATTGAAGTTTCTCTTTACTCTGTCTGTTTCAAAATGATAGGCGAAAACAAAAGCGATGGCGAAGGAAATGCCCCCAGGCTTTCACTCGAAAATGGCGGTTCAGAAAGCTACCAGATCGACCCAACGCAGGAGAGAAAGCTCCTGAGGAAGCTCGATTTGACATTCAACCCAGTTTTTATGTTTGTCTATCTGACATGCTTTCTTGATCGTAGTAACATCGGTAATATAGTCGTCTTCCTCACCCAATAACTGCTTTAATGACTGACAAAAAAATCTGGCAGGGAACGTCAAAGTTGCCGGCATCATCCCGGATATCCACACCAATACTACGAGTTTTGCAACGGCGATTTCGATATTCTATGCAACCTACATTGTGATTGAGATTCCTACCGCAATAGCTATGAAGTTGGCAACGCCTCAACTTCTATTGTCCGGTCTCTGTGTCGTCTGGTCGGTAACTACACTTTGCACGGGGTTCATTCAGAGTATTTCTGGGCTCTATGTTGCACGCTTGGTGCTGGGTCTCTGCGAAGGCGGCCTCATGCCATGTCTGAACCTCTATTTGTCAATGGTCTATAAACGAGATGAGCTGGCAACTAGAACTGCGTACTTGTTCGGTTGCGCTGCTCTCTCCGGTGCCTTTGGTGGTCTTCTTGCCTACGGGCTGCTACAGATGGATGGGATGTCAGGATATGCTGGCTGGAGGTACGTTTGATGAAAACACACTTGAAAATATGGTGCGGATATTTACAGCTCATCCTAGATGGGTTTTCATTATTGAAGGCGTGATGAGTGTAGTCATTGTACCAATTATTTGGTTTGGACTACCAAGCGATCCCAGCAATGCGTTTTTCCTGAATTCGTCCGAGCAGGAGATAATGAGAGTGCGCGACGCGCAGAGAGCGGAATATATGGGAAGCCAGGAGTTCAGTTGGCAGGAGGTTAAACTCGCGTTTTGCGATCCACAGATATACATCAGGTACTGCCTACCATGTCATGTTCAGCTCGTGAATATCCATATAAAAAGATGGAAAAGTAACAAAGCCATAGCGGCGTTATTCAGTTCTGCCAGGATATCCTCCTTTACGGATTTTCCACCTTCCTCCCATCAATCTTAAAATCCATGGGCCACGATGAACTCCACTCAAATTATTTAACAATCCCGGTCTATATCTGGGGCGCACTTATATTTGTGGCTGTTGCTCGTATCTCAGACAGGTGTCGGGTTCACGGCGTAGTAAGCTCTTGCTCATCCTTTTTTTTGTGGTCGTTCTAATCCATATATACAGGCTATATTAAGTACCAATACCGTCGGCATTGTCGGGTATATACTCTTGCTGACAGTAAATACGGGGGGTGTGCGGTATTTTGCCACGTTTTTATGCGTTTCGGCCGTCTACGTTGGTCCTGGTCTCAATCTTGCGTGGTTAAATGCCAATAACGCACCCCACTACAAGCGAGCAGCAGCAATAGGGATCCAGCAGTCAATTGGCAACTCCGCTGGTATAGTTGCTGGCCAGATCTACCGCACTGCTCCCTATGTTCTGGGCAATGCTTTCTCCCTTGGTGCGTTATGTGTGTCGCAAGTAACGATTGTTACGCTCGTCCTTTACCTCAGGAGACAGAATACTGTCAAGCAAAAGATAGCAAGCGGCTCTATGGAAGACCCAAGCCAGGAGAGGTCTGGGGACGCTACTTTAGACTTTGTATACCATCTTTAGCGTATTATGGGAAGGGAATGACTTCGGATTTCTCTGCCATTAAACACAACTCCAGAGAGGCGCTGGACTGGGAGGATTTTGTTTTCATAGTTCATTGGCTTACCAGTACATACCTAGCTGTAGCCCAAAATCTTCCGCAGTTGAACCTTTTAGCATAAATTTGTATAATATACAATATAAATACAACCGACGATGGTTATCTTTCTTCCTGGGAAAGTATAGTCCGCACATGTACAGCCCTGGTTTCATTGATTTCACTTTTGAACCAGGTGTGAGATTGCAATGCTCATATTTATGCTCCATTATTTCGGTTTTCGTCCTCCAATTGGGCCTTCACAATGTCGAGCTTGAAATTTCGGTAAAGAATCCAGTCCTGTGCAATTTGACTTGTTAGATCTACTTGTAGGCTGCTGCGATGCAATGACTTACCAGTAGCCGTAGCGGTAGGATTGCAGCGAGCAAACGAAGAAGGCGTGCCATAGCTCCTTCCCATATCTCGGGGCTGACCTGTGGCCGCATCAACTTCGTGACGACATTTGTAGCATAGGCGCCTGGCGACATTCCATTTGCATTGCCTTGGTACTTAATATCCTCCATAATCTTCTTGATGGGAAGATAGAGGGACGTCTCCGGGGCGTGGAGTCCGTGATGCAGAATGTTGCTCTGCACATAGCCGGTGACAATCTCGATCACGTCTATACCGAGCGGCTTCAACTCCTAGTGGTCTATTAGAATAAAGCAGGGCTACCTCATCGATGGAATAAGCATACCAGTCGGAGCGTCTTAGTATACTGACTAAGAGCAGCCTTGGAGGCGTTATATGGCCCTTGCCATACGACTGGTATGTCTCGAGTTACGCTTCCAATCTGCACAATTCGCCCGCGAGGCGAACAACGGAGGAGCGGTACGAAAACCTGACAAAGCCGCATGACAGCGAACAAGTTGACTCCAAACAGCTTTATGACCTCTTCTATTTCCAGATCCATTGCGGTTGACGCGTAGTGTGTCCCCGCATTGTTGACCAGGTAATCCAAACGACCACCTGTGCGCTTAGACACAGCATCATATAGTTTTTCAATACTTTCTAGATTATCGAGATCAAGTGCAAAAGCTTCGATGTTGTCGTACTCGCGTGTTAGCTCGCTGAGGGATTCAACGCGTCGTGCTGTGGCGAGGACAGTGACTCCCCTGGCTGCAAATTCGATTGCGAGCCCTTGCCCGATCCCACTGCTGCAGCCAGTGATGAGTGCAAATGAGGTCGTCTGCATCATGAGAAAGATGAACAGGTGACCGCGGAGCAATGGCGGCTTTGCCAGATTTGATATGTTATTTAGTGTAATACACCGCCAACACGGAATTCTCGGCTAATTGGCCGGAATAGCCTCAGGATACGTGGCCTAGCGGGTGGACCCCTAAACCGCGCCCTTTTAGCCCCTACGGAGTAGTTCGATTGCAGATCGGATCATAGAGCTTTCAACTCATCAACACTTGGTCGTACAGCGTTCCAACGCAGGTTTTACAGGGATATCCTGGTCCCAAGCAATATGATATGTACTGCTATGCAGACGAACCCTGTATTCTAGTGGTGAAATGACCACCTAGGGGCCAAGGAAGTTCTCATGAGTGTGGCGTCACCCTGTATGGCGTTATTGAATCCTACCCCCAGATGGGTAGTCATCTTGCGGATCCTTTCTTTTCTTCTCGGTTATGAAGTGAATGAAGTAGGGGTGAAGGACGAGGTCTGAACAAGCTCATGCCTGCTCATGTGACCTGGCTGTCCCGTGCCTATTGCTAGCCCTAACTTTGACCGATGCAAATCAGTCAAGAATCTACTTGTATTCTGCTTGTAATGGAACGTAGTTAATATCGGTTATTCAACTAGGTAAGCTATCCAATTAGCGTGAACTAATTAAGCACAGTGTACATGCAATGCGTCGTGTGTCTATTTCAGATATTCCACAAACCAAGCGACTGCATGAGCAAAGGCCTGCTCTTTGGCCCAGTACTGGTGTCTGTTTTCCAGTTTCACCCTGACAGCAAAACCGTGGGGGACGCCACTGAACACCGTAATTTGCCAGGGCTGTCCGGTTTTGGCAAGGATTTCCTCTGATTCGTATCGCAGTTGTCGTGTGAAAACAGAGTCAATTTCTATCGTATGCATGAGTGAGAGTTTCTTAGTTATTATTGTTCATAATATGTATAACGGCATCCAGAATGGTGGCATGTGCGCGTTAAGGATGAACAAAACGTACCGGATGCACTGATGGATAATGGCTTCTGAACAGCTGCAAGTTCACCATGAGTTACAAACGAGGGGTGAGCGATGTATCCCGCGTCAAGGGTCTGGCTGCGTCCAGATTCTAAGAAGCGGACAACGTACTTTATTCATGAGCGTTCGATCAGTAAGAGCATAGAGGGGGAAGACACGCCCATGTAGCTTACCTTCGCACCGAAGCAATACCCAACGGCGCCAATGTTTTTGAACCCCTTCTCTTCCCTCAAGTAGCGGATAGTCGTTTCGATAATGGGGTCAATAGACTCTGTGCTATGACGCTTCAACCATGTGTCCAAATCAACGGATCCTTTCTTGAAAGCATCGGACGCAATTGCATCTCCATTAAATATATCCGGTATTACGACAGTAGATTTCAGTGACTCTGCAAATCTGTCGGCTTGTAGCTGGGAATTGATATAATCCATCCCAAAAACATCGGTGATGAAGATAATTGCTGTATCCGAGGAATTGCTGGGCTCTTGCTTAGGGTAAGAAAAGTACGTTCGTACTTCAAGCTAATGATTAGTATGATCCATATCATATTTTGGCTTCAAGGTAGGGGGTCATCGTACTGTTATCGATCTTTCCTGTCTCGCCTGTAGGGGTCCCTTCATGTAGAAAGCCGGTAACACAGCATTGTCCGGGAGGATTGGAGGCCATTTTCTCTGTGTCGCCAACTTTAATAAATCTTCAATGTCTACCTAGGTACTCAAGCCTGAGGGGCAGTCTTTGGGGTATAGATTGTACTTACAACGACCACTAGAAGCGGAGAAATTCCTCTTTCTTTTATATATTCAAAAACCCTATTATAATTAGTAAAAATTCCGCATGTCAGGTAACCACATACCTAATTAATAAGCGAATGTAATACAATGAAAATATTGATATGAGTTCGTGGAGTTATGTATAAACGAATAATATGCCTGTCTAAATATTGGGCGACCATTCTCTGGAACTAGTCGAAGCGTGGGAAACTGAAATTCTATCAAAGAAAGGATTTTATAATACTAGTCAATTAGCCATTAGGCAAATATCGAGATTATAGTTCTCCTTCGTATGTTCCTTGCCTTGCATACCTAGGTAGGTCCTTAATAGGCAAGCCATCCTGTATATGACAGTGAAAAATTACGATTGATTTAAAAAAAATCTAGCTCTTAATAATTGAAACTGATAATGGTGCTATTTATGATCACTCGCTCAGTTACAAGTATCATGTCTTGAAAAGTCCGCTGCAGATTGAGCAGCCGGACAGGAAAGCTTGCGGAATTGCGGAGTTGTGAATAATAACGCAGATAAGCAGAGAATCGGAATTGTGAAGCTTTGTTCTTATTTATACGCTATATATTTTTGAATAAGACCCCTTTGGCCTTAGTTATTATCCTGATCTCGTAATTGAGTGCAAACACTTTCTACCAAGCTACCTAGTAGTGAAAAATCAGAAAGATAAATAGGGTCTAGGTTAGGGCTATGGCGACGGCACTAGCATACATAGATCCTGTTTATCTACACCAGCACGTGTAAGAATTGACAGAAGTGGAGGCCAATAGAACCAGTCATACATGCAACAGAAGTTTCCATTATTGTGTGATTATCTGGGGACGTGAAATCTTAGAAGCTTGCTTCATCCGTTCATATGCATAACACTGTCTCTCATGCTGTTTGTGCTATTCATGGTAGTCGCTTATATGAAAGTATATAGCCTAAAAGATTCCAAAATAAAAATGCATGTAGGTTACCCCTTGCCAAGTTGTTGGTTTGTGTAGGATTGCTCCTAAATACTCCGTTCGCGGCTATTTTACATTCCATCAATCACAAAAGAGGAGCATCTCTGAGCAGCTGCAACTAGAGCCACAACAGTGGGGATATCACGTGTTGTAAGGAGTATCCAAGCACTGCGACCCTGACAGATGTTTATTTTAACAATTTCTCCAGCACAATGGACAGCACCTATGAGCCAGTAGCGGCAAAGTTGGATTGTCCTGCAGCAGGAACTTGCGATAATTTTCTTGAGAACTTTTATGTTAGTCCGCCATGTGGTACTGCTGAAATTCTGTGTGCAGACTTCGACCTTAGCCCAAGAGTCACATGCACATCCGGCGCATCGAGATAGTTGATACTCCAAACATATAGCAAAGGCATTGGCCATAGCATATGGTTGATGTAGAAGTCGGGATCGTAGCGCGTTGAAAGTATGCCACAGGAAATTTGCTCTAGCAGAAAGACGAAACCAAAACTTCTAGGCCATTTACGATGGTTGTCGAAAGAAACTTTCTAACAACTTAGAATGGTACTCGAGAAGATCGAATGGGACAATGAAACACCCAACTTGTTAGACGGATTACATAGATGCTGAGCAATAACCTAAGTTCGCTTGCAAATCATATTTTACATCTAAGGTAGTACTACTAGACTAGTCCCTCTTCACCTCTACTTTGTCTTGGCCAGAGGACCGCTCAGGGCTCACTTGGCCGCTGAAAACCTTGGTTGAGAGGCTTTGGCATTCATTGATGTGGCTACTCTCCAGCCCTGCGCCTTGTAGGCTAATATGGCTCCTCTCGCCCTCGAAGAATAGGGCACAAGCCTCTTCACCATGGACAGCATCGTCACCCACCATGAGTTGCTCATCGGACATGCGTAAGGAAATGCACAAAACATACTGAATGAATAGGCAACTAGTCATAAACACAATCAAGACCAATGATGAAAAGTCCGCCGACAATCTGCACCCAGACTTGTCTGCCATTTCCATCAATTGCACCACCAGGAGTCGTCAGGCCAAATGGTGCGCAACCGTCAGCAGTCGCGAATATTCCAGTCAAAAATCCACCAAGAAATCCTGCAACCGTGTGCGTGTGAATTACACCCACTTGAAAATGCGTTAGTATCCCTTCATATTTTCCCATTATCTTCACAAGTTGAAGGATAATACTCACTAACGTCGTCTACATGCTTCATCCATTTCTGTCTCCCAAGAAAATTCATGGAAATCCATGGGATGGATCCGGAACATGCGCCAATGATAATGGCGCCCCAGCCAGTAACGAGACCAGCCGCGGGGGTAATAGCGACAAGCCCAGTTATCTCACCCTGGATAGCACCAATAACGGATGGTTTCTTGAAGAAGATGTAGTCAAGCATTTTCCACACAAGAAGACTCATAGCAGTACAGATGTTTGTGTTGAGCAGAGCGACACCAGCATCAGGACTTGCAGCGTATGGGCTCGCCTCCATTAAACCCATTCCAGCATACCCAAGGAATTCCTGCACCGACTAGCATGAGAAGGATGTTGTTCGGATAGAACGAATTCCGGTCCCTTTGCAAACGTGGACCCAACCAGTACGCAGCAGTGAATCCTATATATCGGTTGTCAGAGTGGTAGGCCTCCTGGAAGTCAAATGGAGATGAACTCACCCGCACTTCCAGAGCTCTCAAGTGAATGACATATCCTCCTGAAGAGTCGAGGACTCCCAAATTGCATAAGAAACCTCCACCCAACACACTTTGCATTGCATCATCATCAGCACTCTTCTGGACAAGTAATACCACCGTTGAAAAGGGCGTTTCTCTAGCCATCATACTACGGACTACCGCAATTAAAGCCCGAAGCAGAACTTCCAATCAATTACCATACGAGCTATGACTCTAGCTCAGAGCAATTGTGACGGTTTCGTTATTACTTGCACGGAGTATTGCGTACTTATCTGTGTATCTATGTGCAGGCTTATCTGTGCCCAAGTGGCGATGATGTGATCTGTTCGCTCATAAAATTCCGAGTTAACGAAAGGCATCGAAAACACCCGCAGCCTAACGTCATTTCGACGACAGTCTATAGTACCTGGAGAAGCCAAGCCCAGCTACGGCACGTCCCGTCTCGGCGAAACTGAGTTTGCCCTATCGACTTACCTAGACCACAACACAATCACTTCAGTCATACTGCTTGCTATTCTATGGATGTGCCTGTCGTTCCAAATCTGTCATTGTATTTTCAATCAAGATTGATTCGCCGTGAATATGAAGCATTTAGGTCATTTCAAGTTTCGTGTAGCAGACCGACCCATGTGGCTGCATAGGTAGGGCCAGGTTATATATATCTCCGCAGCCATCGAACCAAGGTATGTTTAGAGACTTATCCAGAATCGGCGGTTTGGGACGCATCTAATTGATAGGGTGGGTTACATACCTTCATCCAACAGCCAATATTCCTTGCTTCCAAGATCCCGACCGACCATCCATGGTAAGCAAACCTAAGTGCGTAGGTAAGGTAAGCTCAATTGAAGGTATGTACAGTCTCATTGATTTGTAGTTACAGATGCTACTCTTTCCCTAACATCTGTCCATGTTGTTATTGATACAGAAAAATAGAACCCGTACGAATGAAATCCAAAGAACGAAGAATACGTATGCAAGTTCCCACAAGTCGAATAACGAATATAGACAAGATACCCAATCGCCAATCCCGGATCAAAGATATTCAGAAAGAAACCCGAACATAAATAAAAAATCAGCACGCAACTTGTCCAATTAATAGATCCGACAGATCTACACAGATCAGATGAGCCACAAACCAAGGGAACTAGAAATGCACAATGGAGGCGACGATCGTGATGCTGAGGAATATCCGAAGGGCAAAACGGTAAGTCCCAGGCAGTACAGATAGACCAATCAAGTCAAAGAGAACAATTCAGTTCCCTGACAATGTGAAGTAAACCGATCCAATAATGCCTGCAGCAACGACGGCAGTCAGGATGCCGGCACCAGCTTTATCACCGGTGGTGATCGTAGTCGTGGTACTGCTGCTGGTGCCGCTTGAGCCACTACCCGTTCCCGCAGAAGGATCACTAGTACTATTTCCTCCCGTGTGTGAAGTAACTGGGGCATATGAACTTGCATTATCCTTGTTGATCAGATTTGCCCAAAACACATTTAACGCACTCATTTGTTCTTCCAGTCCGATTTCGTGATCCCAGTCGCCTGTGTACCACTTGATGCCACACGTGTCATTGCCTTTACCGGTGCAAGACTCAGCTGCGCCCTGTGCAGATCGTTGAAGATGAGGGAGAATCGTGTCATAGGTGGACGGAACGATCAGTGCGATAAAGGCCAGCCATCCAGCGACAAGCCCCTTGAAGAGAATCTCATTGCGGTTGCAGATTTCCGTCGGTTCGCACGAGACTTCAGTGAGGACGCTGTTGTAGCTGGTAGGAATGAATAAGTCTATAGTGGCGTTCAACAGATTGTTGACAACATTCAACCATTCCGCGGATCCATTTGTCTGGTCAAAACATAAGCACGCAGAAAGTTGGTAGTTAAGATGCGGGGAACACTCACATAATTATACATAAACGCTGCTCCACTCAGGAATGTGCCGTAATTATAAGACCACCGTGTGGAATCGACAGTCGAGCAGTTGTTACCCATGCTGACCGAATCTCCTATTTCCCATGTCTCCGTGTCTATCAGCGGAGTGGAGATGGACCAATTCCAGATCTTAGTGGCCCACTCGGCATACGTCTCATTGTATGTATATCGAGCCAGCCGCGCGGCTAGTTGGAAGAGACCGCCATTTGAAATGGCATTCTTCATAGTATATCCTGCCTCCCAAGTCCAGATTTGCCATCGCATTCCTCCGCCGCAGGCCGACGTATCCCAGCGTGCAATCTGTGTGTTGAAGACACCCTGCGCAAGTGTCAACCACGAGTACGAGTTGGAATCTTCGGGAAATGCCAACTCGGCACCGGTCATGGCGGCAAGTCCCCAGAACATTTGATCATCGTTACCCTGAAATTGATAGGAGTACGGTTAACTATCGGGTGGGTTCTCTTCCAAAGCAGGGATAATTACATAACAACGCAGGGCGTGCGACTTACGATGTAGTTACTTTCGTTGGACGGCATGTAATTGCCATCTCCAGCTTGCCACTCCATTCCCACGATGATTTCATCGTTATATGTCGCGTCACCCGTGAAATGATAATATTCCATGAGAGCCATGAACATGGCACCGCCTTCCCACCACGTATTCAAGAGCTTTCCCGGGGTTTGCCCTGTTTCGTTGCCGGCGTACCATGTCATCATGCCCCAGGCGGCATAACTCGCTGCGCTGGCGATGGATTCTGTCGTGAACGAGCAGCAATTAGCACCGGTTGATTGTGGCAAGCATAAAGTCAGAGCATACCTTGGCTATTGAGATCCAGATCGATGGCTTGCGTGACTGGCGCCAGCAGCAGTGGCAGTAGTAACGAACGACTCCGCCATGACCCTTTTGCCGGCATCATGGCCACAAAGCAGACGGCTGCCGGATTAATGAGGGTGAAGAAAGGCAGCGCTTTCTGCTCCTTGGACGGTATTCTTTGTCGTATGACGGTGCAGGCTCCGAAGCGATGGATAACGACCGACTGCTCGAAAGAAAAGAGCCACTGACGAACGAGTGTACGTGAAGTTTGATGAGGATGGAAAGATTGTTCTAGGTCGGTTTGAGGTTAGGTGTGGGTTAGCGCCGGAGCTTTGGGGGAAAGAGAAGGGGGCGGCGCTGCTTTGAGTAAGCGTCACACGTAATCCAGCTAGCGATGTCTTACAAAGGTTTCAGAGGTGGATCTGAAACGGGATGAAGACTGTGCTGTGTGGCTGGGGTCATGGCAGGACGGTGAAGCCTTCACCAGCGGCAACACCGGAGGTCTGGGCCGGAACCAGGAGGGAAGGCAGCCTCAGGTCTGATAGGGGGGTGGCATCTTCGTCAGGGGGCTGTGCGCGCGCGAGAGATTTTCTCGAGTCGTTGCGGCCCGGGACGCTATGCCGTATATGAACTAGCGCCATGTCCAGCTGCTGCTCATTGGGCCGCGTCATCCGCTTTCCGTGGTTGGGACGCCCCCACTGCACGCTATCAACGAATCAGGCGTAGCCGTTCCGTACCGGGCCGCCCATTGGCTGCGGCTGTTGTCCTTGACTCACCCAGAAAGGACTAGCGCGCTCAGGGCTGGCGATGCTATTTTCAGCTCGGCATGCACTAAGTGTCGATCGTGTCTGTAGGGTAAACCTCAGTATAAATACGAAAAATCCGTGTCGAGTACGGAGCATGACACATGGAGTTTGTATGCCTGGACAGGTGTTTCTGCCTTGGGTATTGGGTCGAGGCGAAGACAATGCCAAGAATTGCCTTATTCGGCACTTGCGAGTCCTTAGCTGCCCACTTTTGCACGCTTACGACGTTGATTTGACAGTGAGCTCATCTGTTTGATAATGTACGAGCGACTAGTTAGTTAACTATCTTGTGGTCTAACTATTACATCAAATCTACAAAGATACCTGTCTGGCCCCCTTTCTTCAAATTATTCAGAGTTGTGCATGAATAATTGCCCACTAGACATTTGAGATGTATTCCATCATGAAGCCGACGCAATCATACCTAAGTTATCAGGTACCCTTCACATTGAACATGCGAGCCCGCGGGACTGTGTGATATATATGTTCGCCTCATGGCATGATACTCGCGTCTCGCACCCTATCAAACGCAGTGTGCCAGGAAGTAGCCGGGTCGATTTCCTCGGTAAACCCCAAATCCCTTGCCCTGCCCAAGTCAAACGGCCGATCAAAGTCCATCAGGCGCAAGCTTCCCAACCTGGCCCCTGTATTATGCATGCTTTGTTAAATGATGTCTTCTTTCAGCCCTCTGTTGCGACACAAAGTCTGAACTTGGTGGCTTCGAGCGATCTTTGGCTAGTAAACCATGGAAAAACCATAGCATAGACGATACTGGAGCATAATTTTACATGGCGCATCTCAAAATCTAGTACAATGACCTACTGGTCTTGTATCGTATAGGGATACTTGATATGGCCTCAAGAGATTCGATCTGCAAAGCCTAGGAAATAGTCCGCGCCGCACTAAATCGACCTATCCCTGGTCCCTGAAAGCTCAGTAGGGGCTTTAAGCATTTGGAAGTGTGTAATATGTCATATGTACTATGGAGGCCTGCCTTCTAAAATCGTGTGAGTGGTAATGTTCTCAGTCAGCGTTATTGGATCCATAATTGAATAGGGGACAACACAAGATTGGATCACATACGGAGAATGAACTCAATAAAGGACAATGGGCCGTACAGCCATGATTGGCATATGATGTTTCTACTGCATAAATATCATATTGCGTCGCTTTGCCGCGGCATCGATCTACTCTCTGCACTGCACAGTTTGGCTTGGTATGCTTACAATGACCGCAGGCAAATTTCTGGAATAGCCATAGAATGTTCTCGGGTTGGTCTTTATTCGTTTTTGACGGAATACAAAATGATTTAAATCACTTTTTAGTATTAGCGGCATGCTACGTTGTGAACTGAAACTAAAACTTGTAGACGATCGTTCATATATATCTGCAGAGAAATTTCTTTTCCGCAAAGACTTACAACCCTCAATTGCTGGCATCAATCATATCATACACCTACCTTGAATCAGTGAAGGTACACCGATGGCAGACGATGAGTACTCGGCGGCGACTTGGCGCATTCCAAGGTACAACCCATCGTCGTTTGCAATGCAATTCTCATTGCATCTGGTGGCTTGGGAATCAGTGTGAGACTTTTTGTGCGCTCGCGTTATCTCTCCGGTATTGGGTGGGATGATGTTTTCGTTGGGTATTCTGTAAGTTTGACTGCAACCTCACAAGGTTTGTTCTTCCTTCAAAGCTAACTAGATGGTAGTATCTTGGTGACTAGTATTTTTAGAGTAACATATCTCAATAACTTCTCCATCGACCATACATGTATGTTGCCCCGATTACTTGCCAGTTTTAATTTATCTGAGCGCATCTTATACTTATATTACCTCGAGCCTATTTACATAGCTGACACGACAACAACCCCAGGGGCTCTAGTTGGTGCTCTGAATTGGTCTTCCGTCGAAATTGGAGTCGGTTGTTTCATTGCCAGCGTGCCATCACACAAGGCGTTGATTACACTTTGCTTCCCTGCTTTGATACAGGTGCTTGGTCTCTCCAGTGGTCGCAGCTATGGACCTCAATACGAACTTTACGGGGCCTCTGGTTGTCAGGCGTGATACACGGCCATGGAACCCGAGGGCGGGGGGATCGTACAATAACGCCAAGATGACCAACACTAGGACGGATATTGAGGTTAGCAGGAATACTTCTGAAGAGCAGATTATCAGCAGGATGCTCATCGGAATCCACGTTACCACGGATGTGAGCGTGGACTAGTTGGTGAGGCCGGATCACCAATGGCAGCTCCAGGACTAGGTAGTATAGTAACATGTTTGTCTAATCAGAGAGGGTAGAGTTTCGGGAAACTGAAAAAGCAATGTATAAATTCACTTGTTCCTGTGTACAAGGAATTTTCTGGATTGTGAAGCTGTGATCGAGCCAAGATCTGCGTGAACAGAGCGCGAATTCGTAATTGAAAGCAGATTTTACTTAGTTGCTTGACCAACTAGGGTACGAATCACTGCAAACCCCGAGACCTCGATCTGGGCGGTACTCGCATAATTCCATCAGTTGACTTGGAACTCTGTAATTCTTTTATGGTTATTTAGGTCTTAACGAGAGACGGCGTCCATCAGCTAGTTATGCCTAAACGGGCCGCAGACCCTAACGCTAAACTGCAAGCGTTCCGCATGGGAGAAGAGAAGCCTGGCTTGATGTATACATCGGATTCTGGCCGATGATATTCAGATTGCTACCTTGTAAGAGGAATTTACGAATATGAAGTTTCGCTTGGTTTCTGTTTCTGCACAACCAGATTTTGTTCAGAGCAGTCTGTCTCATGATCGTTAGCTGTTCTACAGTAATCAAGGGCTCACGCTAACTTGTAACAAAAGTGGACTATTCAGGGAGCATACTCCGTAGAGTGGAGAAAATTTCACCAGTCCTTAAATCTAACCTAGTCCGTACTTAGTACAGAGTAGAGTTGCGCTGAACTAGGCTGGTAGCCTCTATAAAGATCACTTGGGTCGTAAATTACGGAACGAATCTGTGGGAGACTAATCAGTTTCTGGTTTTCACATGCATGCTTTCTCATCTTGCCTAGCTAGCCCTGGTCCATCAAATTAGAACCAATGGGCAGGCCTTTCCAAGCTCTTATTTCCGCCTATCGTCCACCCACCTTGGACCTAGATGATATGCATGATTAGTTAGCCGTATGTGCTGGAAATTTCTCCGATAAGCCAAGCTCATAATCTTTCGACCCAACGAGAAATTGCTGCTTCCACCCGATTTCCGGGCCCAGACGACTTTAAAGTGAGTTCAAACCTTCTGAACTATGACCCTTCCAGATACTAGTTTATACCACTGTAATGTAGTATTAGCATAGCTCCCAACGAAGTCGTCTTGGCCCGGCCAATGTCTATGCAAGTATGCTGTAAACAGCCGACGCAATGTCAGACAAGAAAAGCCCTTCGCCCAAAAGCACTTCGGTGGCATCTACACCGACCATGCTGTCGCATGATGTTTTGAAGCCCGACAAGCTGCCGGATGAAAAGTTGGATAATGCCGTCGCCGCAAAAGTTGTCCGGTCCTGGTGCTATCGAGGACATTGAGAAGACTACTCGTTGAGATTGGAGTGCATTATTGTTTGTGGCTATAGACTTAGATGGGTTTGCCATACTCGTTCTGCAATCAGTTCGGACTGAACTATTTAACCTTGTCCAATCCTCGGTAGTGGAAGCTCAATTTTGAGTCGATGTAGTTCAGATATTGGGCAATTTGACTACTTCCTGGGTGGAAAACATTTGAAATGGACACCTAGTCATATGTATTGCAAGGAGCTTTCCCTAGTATCTATCAATTCGTACCTTGTAACGCCTGTAAAGTTTCTGACACAGCATCGATACAAAAAAAAAGTCCACGCAGATTAGAGTGATGCACATTAAGATTTAGTAGGATCAACTACAGATTAGATAAGCCGTCAGTCCAAAGAGCAATAGTCAGTTTAGAAATGAATCTACTAAAAGATTGCATAGCGGGAAGAAAAGGATTGAGAGCAAAATACGAGGCGATCGCACAGCTACGCTGTGTCTCCCTTTGCGCGTTTTGCTATTTCCTTTCGTTAAAATTGAGAATCAGGAAGGGCAGATGGCGGGCGTTGATTGGTTGGAGGGACGATGGCGGAAATCAGTTTAGTAAGCAAGGAATATCACGTGCAAAATGCCAAGAGCCCGTCGGCTACGTACTTGCGGGCCGCACCACGTGATTTTCATGTGTTTTTATTTGTTTCTTATTTTTCTTTGGAAATTCGGTGAACGACACTTGCAAGTCGGCAAATATCCATAGCCATGTCCATCAAATTGGGCTCGCTGTCGGAGCTCGCCAATTCGCGACACGTCGTTCATATATCCGATGGCAAACGCTTGGTACTTTTCCGCCTGCCTTCAATTCAATCGTCCCATCCGAAGAAGAGCAATGAATCACCAGATGGGTGGACGTACTACGCCATGGAGGCTGAATGTCCTCATGCAGGGGGTCCCATGGCGGAATCGAGCGTTGATATTGAAGATACCGCCTATGTAGTGTCGTGCCCGTGGCATGCATACGATTTTAATGTAGAGACTGGTGAATCCAGTGTTGGAATCAAAACCTGCACCTATCCTATTGTTATCCAGGGTGAGGTCGTGTATCTCAACTATTTGCGAGACAATAGTGAGATGAGAATTGAAAAGATCGAAGCTGTTAGCGAAAAGGTGAAGTTGAAGAACAATAAGAACCCAGGATATCCCCCGGTTCAACAAAATAGTCCAAACGGTCCCCGTTATCTAGACGAGAAATCGACATTCTGTGATTGGGCGGTCCATATCCTTAATACTGCAAATCCTGAGCACAAGATTGAACTCACTCATCACCTATTCACGATTTTCACCGGTGCAGAACGCTCTTCTTCTCCAATGGAGTTGGGAAGAGGAACAGTTGCCCCCCCGGATCACCCACCACGTCAGGACTTAAAACAGATCAACCCCTGGGATACCCCCAATAACGGTCGTGCAGGCAGTCTCAAGAGTAGGATTGCAATGCTCCACGCACTAGCGAATATTGAATTATGGGCTATCGATCTTGCCATTGATATTTGTGCTCGATTTGCAACATTTCAAACACAGCCAAATGCACAAGAGCTTCCCCGAGCTTTCTTTTGCGACTGGCTGAAGGTGGCCAACGATGAGGCGAAACATTTTTCCTTGCTTCGGGCTAGAATTGAAGAGCTAGGTTCTAGTTTTGGCGCGCTGCCTGTGCACCATGGGCTATGGCAGTCGGCAATGGAGACGGCGCATGATATAAGGGCTCGTATCAGTATAATAGCTCTTGTACATGAAGCTCGTGGCCTCGACGTTAATCCGATGACTATTCGGAAATTTCGCAAGTCTGGGGATGTTGACAGTGTTAAGGCTCTAGAAGTTATTCATCACGATGAAATTACTCATGTCACCACCGGCCATCGGTGGCTGACCTGGATTTGCGACCAAGAAGGAACCGATCCTGTTCAAGTTTTTCGCAGTAATGTCAAAAGGCACTTTAAGGGCTCCCTTCGAGGACCATTTAATGAAGAAGCACGGCTGCAGGCTGGTATGGATGAGCGATGGTACAAGGACCAAGTCGCCATTGATTCTTGAGAGCGATTGTTTGCGAATTGTGTAACAAAAATCAACACGCCGTTTTACCTGATGGGGGTGTTTATATGGTGCGGTTCATTATTCGACAAACGGAATCGATCCCAATCATTATGTCCGTGTTTGCCCGAAGACGAATGAATACACGTATGCTAGTCATAGCGAGGTATCATTTAGTCCTTTCAAAGACTAATTACGTATTCTCCTTGCCACTCGTATCTTTAGCGAGACTTATACGACACCACGGCAATCCCGGATGGATGCATCCGCATTATCACCGTTGCCTCAGTATGTGATGTTGCTATTCTATGACCTGAAAATGGCATGTCTGAGCATTGCCTATACTAGTGTTGATGCTAATCAGATCCCAACTTATCTCAAATGCTGTATTATGCGTGATCAAAACACGATGTCGATTCAACATGCGTTAAACTAATTTTACAATCCCCATTTCACCTGAATTTGAATCAACACCTTGAAATCTTATCAGTACTTCACTTTCTGGCATGTACGTTAATAGCCAGACAATTAGGCCGTGCTAAGACTTTTTGTCGGTCACGCGTTAGATGATCTTTGCAGTTCCATGGCATCCCTCCTTCCTTTGATATCAATCAACTATGATAGTATCAATGTGACCATTCGAGACCCGCTACTAGACTAATGTGAGAAAGCTAGGATTAAGCAAACTGGAACTCTGGGGAGATATTGAAAATTTCCAAAAGATATTCCAATACACAACAATATCAGGGAATGCTCGTAGCCTCGTAAATTTAAAAACCTGGAGGAAAAGTACGTTTGTTACCCATTTAACTTGGAAGGTTTTGGGATTGCTCTCAACATATTGTACAATTATACCTAATCACGTAGCAATAGACGGTTAACCGATGAGCGACTGACATATTCGACAGGTCCTGCATAATGATAACGCCCGTGTACGGCATACATAACCAGACTGATGATGAGAACTCCAACAAAAATCACGACGGACCAATTGAATTCGCTGGCGTCAAATCCAGGCGAAGGGGGCCAGAAAGACCAGAACAGCGCGAAGATGACGTAGCATAGCCCGATTACATTCACGGGTACACTGAAACGACCGAGGGACCAGCGCTTCTCGGGCAGACGGCTGGGGTGCCAGATGCGGGTGTATAAAACACACGAGATGGACACCGCATATGTGGACATGAGGGCAGCAACATTTAACGAAATGATGGCATTGAAAGCCGTATCACTGCCAATGTTGATCAATGATAACAAGACGCTGATGAGGCACGAGAAGGCAATGGCGTTGATAGGAATCTTGCGTTTCCGATCAACACGCGCCAGCCACGCTCCGAATGGAAACCCCTTGTCACGCGCGAATGCATAGGTTTGGCGTGCAGTTGAAATGTTAAACAGAATGTTGCTGAATATAACCGGTATCAATATACTTGAAGTCAGACCGTTGACGCCTGCTGTCGATACGCAGTTTTGGAAAACGTAAATGAATGGAAATCCACTGGGATCATTCAGCGCGTCACTTAGTGATGGTATCGAGAACAGGTAGATGATCACTATGGCCAGCCCGAGAATTCCGTTCACAATATAACCCCAGAGAATGGCAATTGGAACATATCGACTAGCGTCTTTGACTTCTTCTGACATATGGGCGGTAGCATCGGAGCCTGTGCAAGTCAGCAATCACATATCGAACAAGCTGATCACTCGAGACATACTCAATGAACCGTAAATGGCAGAGATCTGTCCGATCATGAGCGAAACACCCAGGGTCGGCCACCCGCCACCGTTCTGAAACTCTGTGAAAACAGACTTCGCTGATCTGTGAGGGGCCAAGACAACTAACACAACCAGCACAATCACCCATGAGACAATGTGCAGCAACATCAGCAGATTCTGTATGCGGGGCAGCCAGCTAGACGCATAAACGTTGAAAACATAGATAAGCGCAACCATTGCAACGACGAACAGAGTACCCTGCCACCGTGTAGGGTTATAGCCGGGATCCCGTATGCTAATGAGGCCTTGCAGGATGGTACCTGTAAGATACGAGCCTGAGGCAGCACCGGCCTGCCAGGCCAGAACAGCCATCCAACCTGCGCAAGTCAGCTTTCGCTTGGTAGAATAGCATGCAAACCCACCTGTTGTGTAACTCAAGAACCGTTGCCAATTGGTGCCAGCAAACTCAGACACCCAGTGGTACTGCCCACCGGATGTAGGGGCCCTGCCAGTGGAAATTAGTATATTACTTCTTTCGAAAAGCAGTGGCATAGCCCGCACATAGATGCCATCTCGGCAAGAGACGCAATCACGAAACAAAACCCTATAAATGTCCATACATAGGTCCAAAAAAGGCCCGCAAGACCGCCATTCTCCAAGGCTTGGGAATTTGAACTACGGCCACTGGCGTTAACTACCATTGCGCATAGAATTTGGGCCGGGTAGGTACTTACATCAGAATAAATTCCCATGTTGCTTGTAGAACGGCAGAGAAACTGAGGGCCGCTAGGGGGCGAAAGGCACGCTATTCAGGATTAGACATACACTCTCTCACTGAAAAGGACGATTAGGTGTTTACTTTGAACTCTTGGGTCTTTCCCATGCGCGTCATGTCTTGGACATCCACACCGGATGCTCCGAGATGGTCCGCGTCATTGTATTCGCTCCATTCGGTGCGCGGGGGCTCGTCGAGTGCAGTAAGTATATCTGGTTCTGTCGGGAACTTCCTAGCGGCGGCCATCGTTAATTTGTTGTCTGCAGTCTAACAAATGACTGGGCTAGTTGAAAGGAGCGGAAAAAAAAAAGATTGTAGCTTTTTTTAACAATAGCTTTTTTCCGGAAAGAAATCCAAGAATAGGCCTGGCTTTAGTCGAAGCAAACCACGCGGTGACTAGTCCGGATCCTTCAGCACACTATGCAGTTTGGCATGGGCCATGGTAGGATGGCGCGAATTCCAGTCGATTTCTTGGCGTAAAAAATTACAAATCTCGTTGTTTTCATTCCTTCTGTGCCTCTTCCTGGCTGGCTGTGTGACCTGAGAATACCACGGGTGCAGACCTTTGCTACACAGTACCTGGACCTGTATGTCCCTAGACTTGCAGCATGCCTCGTTACAAAGCCGCGGAAAAGTCATACAATTTTGCAAAAACTCCTTACTAACTACGGAGTACACGTCGGCAGGGATGGGGGCTGTCAGACAGGGATACTCCGGGGTACATCCCGGTGCTTGCGAATTAGGGTGCAGTGCGATTTTTACTTACTGGGCCAGTTATATTTGCATATTTGTAGGCTACGCAAGGCTTCTCCACAGAAAGAGCTGAACGTGAGTCCTTGCCATTTGGTCTATGCGCATTGATCCCCTATGCACTATAATACTAGTGCTGATGATCCTACACCGTTTCATCCATATTCAGTACACCTTGCACGTAAAAATTAAATAAAATCCTTTATTTTCCCTTCCCTTTTTTCAAATTCTACACGTTTTACTGACTTGTTTCATGTTGTCCTTGAGCAATGGAAGTATCCAACTTCCCAAGTTCGCCAGTCATATCAGGGTCGTTCAGGGCAATTACAGCCTGGAAACAAGGGATGCTTCGGGGTCGGGCTCTGCGCCTCATTTCGCAGTGAGACTCTTTTCAGGCATAGAGAAAACGCATAAGGCGATATCAGCCACTCTCCACGTCGTAATACTCGAATTAGATGGATAGCTTGAGTAAACAAAAAGTTTATATTAAGGAATCTATAACATCTTAACTTCTATGCCCTTATATCCCCTAGTCAAGATACAAATCCGTGGTTTAATACCGGTATTCACAGCCAAGGCTGTGCCATGTACGGGCCATTAAAAAACGGGCGGAAATAGAAGCCTGCCGGCTATCTTTTCAAATGTAGAGCTCGCCTCAGCTGAAACCTCGGAACAGATGAGCAGGAGGGGCTTTCTCGTGTAGACGCTGTGTAACCTACTTGCATGATAGAAGTGTTGAAATGCTCAACAATGATAAACTGCCAGCACTGCTTTGCTATGCAAGAGATTAAAAATGGTGCTTTCTTCCGCTTTGTCGACGAATCCTCGGATAGTATACTGATATAGAAATGATATTTGATTGCGCACATATCAAACTTTTTCAGATGTCTGTACAGCTAACTATCTCCCTACCACTGCAGACACTTGGGTTTCCTTTCTAAACGAGGACCGGAGTTAGATTTCTCTATACACACGTTTACTCGCTATAAATTCTTTCAACTCTGTATTTATATTTGCCGCAGGCAGTCTTCGACAACGTCCTACATATTTCGGTATTCAAGATATGATAGCAGCAATGCTAAAAGCACATATCTTACCAATGTCAATTGTTACATGGACGACTACGATATAACTGCAGATTACTAAGGTCCATTATCGCCAAGGTGGTATTGATCGCATATTGGGTTTTCACAATGGCAGGAACTACACACAGCTGGCCTTCCGGAATATCACCGCCGTTGATGTACGACAATGATCTCAATCATGGAGGCCTCATTGTTGTTATCACAGTGTTTTGCTTGACTATGACCTTGTTCGGACTGACATTCAGGTTCTATGCCTGGCGTGTCAGAAGCAAGATTAGCAACAATGACATCTTTCTCGGTATAACAACGGTATGGAATCCTCCTCTGATATCGCGTTCCAACCGATACTTGAACGCAAGAAGAACTGATAACTCATTATATTTCAAAAACAGATTATTTCGTGGGTGCAGATGTCACTCGTCATTTACCAAGCCCACCTTGGTTGGGGCAAGGCTGAAGCTCTAATGGGGGGGCTCAACATATCACAGCCTCTATATAAGGCAAGATACTCAGAACATCCTTTGTGTTGTATGTCTGGACTAACTCCCATGATCTTGTGGATCGGGTACGCGGCCGATTTGTTATATATTCTCATTCTCGGCCTCTCTCGCATTACGGGCATGGTATTTTTCCATGACATTTTCAATCTTCATTCGAGCAAGACCATTTACAGCAGCATGGGAATCAGTTTATTTGGCACAGTGGCATCTCTGATACTCGGTGCCTTACGATGTGACCGCCGAGCACCATGGCAGGATATCTCGTCAGAGTGCAACTCGCTGGTTCGTTTCAACGCCTGGTATTTTATTGAGAATGCAGCTAAATAAATCAAATAGCTGAGACACTGGATAGGGATTACAGCAGTTGACATATTCAGCGAGATCGTTGTGCTGATTTACCCTATTCATATACTAAATCGACTGTACATGCCCGCTGCCAAAAAGGCTCTACTGTCGGCGGTCTTCGAGGCGCGAATTATGTAAGAACTCTCTTTTAACGAATATCAGAAACCATAAACGCCTATCTATTGACAATGAATCAAACAGATTGATACCGCTTTCCGTCATCCATTTGCTATACGTGCGCAACCAAGTCGACTCCCCAGATCCATCGCTGGCCGGAACGTATGGCACTCTCACGGCCGAGATCCACCTCACAGTCAGTCTTCTTGTACACGTATCGTCGTCGCTCAAGCCATTCCTCGCCGTGTTCGAAGATGAAAATGGGCTTGCATATACCGAGAGTGCAATTGAATTGACGGAGCGAGGTGGAAGTGGTTCCACATTTGGAAGATGGCAGCAAACCAACCACCATGTGCGGCGGTATCGCTCCACGAGGAACGCACTTGGCCATAAAAACGCGTGGCATCATGGAATACTCGCCGTCAAGGGCACGCAGGCTCGAAAACGCGGGCATGGCGAGAACAGCACTGCTGGCCTTCGCCGGCCTGAGTCGGAGAGCCCGCATCCTTCCGGGCGTTGAGCGTGTGTTTAGCTTATGTAATGCTTTCATCAACACGTATGAGTGCTAGCCTGTAATTGTACATGGATTGTTGATGTCTCCAGATGTAACTATCCCGACGAATCGAGATTAGGGTTACACCTGACGGTAACCCTACATAGCCCTATCCAGCTAAGCCCATCGGTGAAAGCTGCAGCGGCTGTCGATTAAGAAATGTTCAAGGACAAGCAACCTGCTAGCTAACGCAGTGAAAGATAGTCAACTGACTAACTAGTTAACTAGTTAGTTAACTTAATGCGCGTTATTACTAATGCAGCGCCCTTTCGCATCACCCGCGCAAGAAATGGCGTGCGCCGACAACAACAGATTGCCCATCAACCGACTGCACAAGCCAAAATGAAACACCATGGATTAATTATTCAGCACAAGCGTGGCTGGACTCGTCATCTGCAATGTGTCACATTGCACCCATCTTGGCCAGCAGTCACCTAACTGCTAACTACTGTCGTTGTCCCAGGCTAAACAAACCTCGCCAGTGACAGGCACAGGACGCTGCTCGCGTCAACTGCCTATTTACCAAGCCCAACCCCCCGAGAGTCAACTGCTGCAAGCACGGCATGGCGAGCATGGAGAGCACACCCTTGCTTTCACCAGCGTCGACGGCTTCATCCGAGACCCTGTATTCCGACCGAGCCCGCTCCGTCGAACATGATACCATTCCCGAGACTGCCACCATTGGGAGGAACCTCTCCTGGTCGAGTGCTTATATCCTGGTTATATCGCGTGTCATCGGCAGTGGCATCTTTGCAACACCGGGCGCTATCGTCAAGTCTGTTGGAAGTATCGGGCTATCTATGTCGTTATGGGTCGTTGGAACTATACTGTCAGCCTGTGGGTTGGTCGTGTCATTGGAGTATGGATGCATGCTACCTCGATCTGGAGGCGATAAAGTATATTTGGAGTTCACGTATCGCTATCCAAGATTCCTTGCATCGACCTTGATCGCTGTACAGGCGGTTCTATTAGGGTTCACAGCGAGCAATTGTATTATCTTTTCCAAGTACACGTGGTTTGCATTCAACATTGTACCAAGTGATTTCCAAAGCAAGCTTCTAGCAGTCGGATTGCTTACAATAATCACCATTATCCACGGCCGATTCATGCGCGCTGGCATCGCCATTCAGAATGCTCTGGGATGGGTCAAGATTTTTCTCGTTATTTTCATGGCCCTTAGCGGGGTCTACGTGATTTTGTTCCGCCAAAACAGCATTGCTCCTCGCACTTCGTTGATGCCTCTAGGGAGCAGTGGTCTTTGGGAGGAGCTATGGAAGGATTCGGAGTGGAGCTGGAATACAATCTCGACCTCGTTGTTCAAGGTCTTTTATTCTTACGCGGGCCTTTCCAACGTCAATAATGTCATGAACGAGGTCAAGAATCCAGTACGGACGCTGCGTAGTGTCTGCATAGCTGCTTTGATTACTGCGTGTATTCTATACGTACTCGCTAATATAGCCTATTTTTTGGTCGTACCTCTCGACGAGATAAAACAGAGCGGAGAGTTGGTTGCAGCCCTTTTCTTCGAGCATGTTTTTGGCCCAAAATGGGGAAGGACTTTCCTGCCCTTAATGATCGCGGTTTCAGCAGCAGCAAATGTAATGGTTGTGACATTCGCCCTGGTACGTAGCCATGGTGACGCCTCGCCTCAAAGGAATCATATCTAACCGGTGAAATAGGCACGCGTCAATCAAGAAGTCGCTCGGCAAGGGTTTCTTCCTTTTGCGAGAACCATTGCCTCTTCCAAACCATATAATTCGCCATTCTGGGGACTTATCATTCATTACGTGCCATCACTGCTAGTCATCACCCTCCCATCACAAGGCGCAGTATACAATTTTATTCTAGACGTGGAAGGATATCCTGGTCAAATATTGAGTCTGGCTGTGGCGGCCGGAATTGTTCTTCTTCGCCGCAGGCGTCCAGATCTCAAACGACCTTTCAAAGCCTGGCTTCCAGCTGTGTGGCTGAGAGTTGTGACAAGCGTCGCATTGCTAGCCGCGCCATTTTTCCCGCCTGCGGACTGGAAAGGTGATGTTGACTTTTTTTATGCCACTTACGCAATTGTTGGTATTGGAATGTAAGTCCTCAGATGACACGCCGAAGCTATGTTTTATTTGTGACACTAACACCAAGCACGCTAGCCTTTTGTTTGGCATCTTATATTGGTACATTTGGACGGTTTTACTTCCTAAGTTTGGGAATTATACATTGGAAGAGGAAACCGAGGTGCTCGATGATGGTACAAGCATCACAAAGCTAGTGCATAAACCAGTATCTTGAGTCCAGAAAAATTCAAGGGACTGAACCAGTGCATTTCTCTCTGCCTTTGTTTGTAAAGTCTTGTCATTCTCGTCTTCGAGAGTATCATCGTCTAAAGTTCGTTCATTCGTCAGTTTCGCTGTTTCAAGCCAGCCTACAGGAAGTGAAGAAGTAGCGACTGCCTGTCCTTCTTTCTGGCAGGCGGAGATCAACACAGTGTATTCTTGATACTTAGGTAGCCCATGAGCATGAATCCTTATTTATTATATTGAGATCCGTTGCTATCAGCCAAGGAAAGTTATATGACAATTGATCATGTCCACCTAGTCAAGCTAAGTTCGACCATGACTTTATATTTACTTCGCATCTATGTTATTGAAGCATATTACCACTAAATGGATGCGAGATAGTTAGTAAACGTCTTGTTATCTTGTCTATTCTCAACATACCTTAGTCCAACAAATGAGCCCCCAACTGTACGCTTCCGGTCTCACCATGTTGCCGCGGGCCGTGCGAGCCGCAAGTTCCGCCCGAGGAAGTAGTGCTGCTTCCAAAGGCTCGCCGTTGCCAGTATTGCTGGCCAGAAGTATATGGATATTGCACAATTAAAACCGTCAGATCATTGGGTAAACCTTGTCTTTTGATTGTGATCCTGGAATCTTTTCGCTAGGTTATATGAACAAAGGGATCTCCGGATGATTACCGGAAAGCACATATACTAGAATCCCAAACGAACAACACCTGCACTGTATATACCGACGATTAGAGGCACTTCGAACCAATTTACCTGGACATTGTTAGGGTATGCTCATCAAAATGACCGACACGACTGCCCCAAAAACCGAGAGCCAACAACACTCTACGATAATGCCTACTCCCAAAGGAGACATGAATTCGGACCAGGATCAGAAGACCAAAAGAATTAATCGGGGGCTGTTGCCTTGCGTGGTTCTTATATCAACACCGGTCACTGCTAAGGAGGTGAATCGTCGTGTAAAGCACGTTCTCACTTTAATTGTGTCTTTGGCGGGCATGGCAGCCCCCCTGGGGAGCACGATACTCATGCGTAAGTAACCTGTCCTTGCAAGAACTTGTCTGGTATAGCTTTCTTAAAGAACCTTGTTCTTTCTTCAGCTGTATTGAAAGATATTGCAAAATCTTTTGGCACGACTCCGACTGTTGTCAACCTCTCCGTTGCATTTTACTCCCTCGCGGTTGCTTTCACACCCCTATGGTGGTCGTACTTTTCTGAACGGTACGGTCGACGAGCTATCTATTTAATTTCCTTCTTCCTGCTCGCCATCTTCAATATTTTGGGAGCAGTAAGTGTTAATATCGGTACGTTTATCGCCATGCGTATTTTAGCTGGCGGTGCCTGCGCATCTGTTCAAGCCGTCGGAGCCGGAACCATAGCCGATCTATGGGAGGTCAAGGAGCGAGGAAAGGCTATGGGAATTTTCTTCCTTGGACCTATGCTTGGCCCTTTGATATCTCCCATAATTGGGGGCGCTGTTTCTATCAAATGGGGTTGGCGCAGCACACAATGGGTAATGGTCATATATGGTTTTCTGGTTTTCGTCCTTGTCCTCTTCCTACTCCCAGAAACCTCCAATATAGAAACTCGAAAAAAGAATGCCAACGAAAAAGACGTTAGTAACCAGACGAAACCCAAAGAATCTACAGTCTCAACCATCGTCAGGGTGGTGATAGCCCCCGTCAAAGTGGCTTACTTGTTGCGTTTCATGCCCATCTTGATCACTGTGTTCTGCAATGGCATTACGTTTGCAAGCTATTATCTTGTGAATATAACCATACAAACGGTTTTCTCATCTTCTCCATACTCCTTTTCTCCACTTATTGTGGGATTGACTTATATTCCTAGCGCTTTGGGGTCGATTCTCGGCTCTTTTTGTGGTGGCAGGTGGACAGACTATATCATGCATCGGGAAGCTAAAAAGGCTGGTCGGGTCGATGAGAATGGAAATCTTCAGTTCATTCCACAGGACCGTATGCGGGAGAATGTTTTGATTGCAATCCTGATGTATCCTGCGGCATTGGTGTGGTTTGGATGGGTAGCAGACAAGCATGTGTTTTGGTTTGTGCTGGTAGAGACCATGTCCAAGTTAACTCTTCGGCGGATCACTCGGCTAATATTAATTGCAGTGCTTATCAACATTCTTTTACGGCCTCGGTATGATGTTGGTTTCCAATGTTATGACCACGATGCTCACTGAGTTCGTGCCCAAACGATCAAGCACTGGCGTGGCAGTCAACAACCTTCTCCGCAATTCTTTGGCCTGCGTGGCGCTTATCGTTGCCGACCCATTAATCAATGCTATCGGAACTGGATGGCTATTGACGATAGCTGCAATCATCTGTTGGCTCAGCGGCCTTGCACTGATTCCAATGAAACAAAAGGCAGACAAATGGAGTAAAGAGATGGGTGAAAAGCTACCCAAGCTATCGCTTTAGATGGGGATGTCACGTTCACCTATAGCGCCTGTAATGTCATTCGATGCTTTTTAGACCGTTGGAATGAATCTCACAAATAAAAATGGGAATCGACAGCTAGCTGCAAACCATTGCAATTACGTATACAATAGACCTTATTTTCCCCTCCAATCACGTTAAATACCTAGGCAAGGGGTGATATAGAAATGAACTTTATCTAGGCAACGAGCTGCAACGCTGGGTTGGTTCATTGAATATTGCATTTCTAGTCGGTGAATGCCATCCTACAATACCTAGCATAACTAGGATGCCCATATATGACAGATTTAAACAGGATAGTGTTAAATGTTTGATGAAGCATAACAATGCATCAAGCGCAAGGCTAAGCTTTCTGTGCATGATGTTCAAAATGTGAATAGGGACGACCTCTAAAACCTTTAATTCGGCGACTAATATTTCTCAATTGTACCGAATCCATTGCGCTAACGTGGGTAGAGTTTAATGGTTGCTTCGAATTCATACAACTTTACATCGCATGGCCACAACTTCCACGCAGATTGTCCGTGTCTGTATGTATACAAGATTCGCAGCTCCAAGAGCATTCTGTACCCCCTAAACAACTGGCCATCCTGTGGAGAAATCAATTGTATTCCACCCAAATTGTGCTTCGTCGTCCGCATAGCCGATCGTTGTGTTGATATAATGATAGTATAACACAGGACCAAGTGTAGGATCTGTAAAGACACCCCTGCGTTGCTTTGTCAGTTCAGATGCTTGGATTGAACGACAAATAAAGCTGAATAAAGAATAATGGGGGTACATAGGATGAAGGACATACTGTCCACCAGGTCCGTAAACAGTTCCATGGCTCTCGAGGACAATAGTACCGCCGCCATCAGTACAAGCAGTGCCATCCGCGTCAACCTGTTTGAGTGTAAGTCTCTTTATAATCTATCGCTGCTCCTGATTATGAACGTACGAAAGCCCCTGATGCTGATGTAGAGCGACAGACTTTGATTTTATATTCATCTCCAGCTGCGGGCAAGGACGTGTCATACCCGCAACAGATTCCGGCGGAGTAGAACAAGTAGTAGTAATCGCCGTAGCTGTACATGTACGAACCTTCCTCGGCATGATCACCTGATGGGTCGTATGCAATGTTGTATGAATCCCCGGCGGCTTTTGTTGCTTCCGAGTTCATCTCCACTTGATAAATGTCCCCCCAGAAAGAGCCGAACTGTATGTAATATGTACTGCCTTCTAAAAAGAGATTGGGATCTATAGCATTATATGCGTTCCCTGAATATGAATCGATGCCTACTCGTCCATGGTCGGTCCACGAGTCGAGATCCATGGTAGCCGATGTTGCAAGCCCAATAGCTGATTCTTGGGAGCCAAATGTGGACACGGAATAATATACGTAGTAGACTCCATCTACGAGACTGACATCTGGTGCCTAAAATTGCAGCTCATAAGTAAAGATGACACATGAGTAACATAAATGTTGCAGAGGACGAGAATAATTGCATACCCAAAGATCGTTATATCCAGCTATGTCGATTGACGACCCACTGGGCAAAACTGATCCTAATACTGTCCAGGGTCCCTCGATTGCAGAGGCAGAAGCATACGAGATATCATTGCCGGTCGAGAAACGAAAATATGTTCCATCGGACTCTCGTCTTATCATACCCGGGTCATGGACAACGCAGGACCCTGAACATGCACCTGGGTCTGCATATCCATAAACCGTGGGTATCAACAGGGTACCTACAACGAGAAGTAATACTGAATCCATATGTTTGCTTTTATGACTGATTTTCGTTTATCGGCAGTCGATAGTTCAGAAATCCTGGCTCTAATCTACGAGCGGATTCACAGGCTGTTAGCGGTAGATATATGCATTAACCCGACAATTTAGAAATCATCGCTGAGAATACGACCTTGTTCATTGGTGGACATATTTGAAGGTTCGCTCCGGTATTGACAACGATGACCTCCAAGCTGAGCGAGCAGCGTGTGGACAATAATTATCCGTCTGGAAATATTCCACGGCTAGTGTCTGTTCTTTTCGGATTTTTTGGTCATCGTAGATATAGATTTGTCGGTCCCTAAACTCAACAAATAGATACCATGGCAAGTGATGGGGTTATAGAAGGTCTGATAGGTATATTTCCCCTTTCATATTCTCAATTATCTTGTACAATATCCAGGAAGCACCCCTGTTCTGACAAACTACCGACATGCTTGTATTGTTGAACCTGGATGAAAGAACGTAACAAGCAGATAACCATGTAACTATAAATAGAGGTTCCAATATCTCCCCCCTCCCCCAAATAGAGTAGATACATGTGATAAAGCACTGGGGGAGCCATGTCATAGTATTGCTTTTCAAGGCATCGTTTTGCCTTCATACTTCTACACGTAGTAAGTGTAAACTTTAACTAAAAATTCAATAAGAAAAGGTGTCGCAAATTACTAGATCTGTTTTAAACTTGCTTTCCAGAAATATCGCTTAGACAAGGTATTGGTTCGGTATATGCTGCGGCTAGAGTCCTCCCAGAGAGTGTCCGTTAACAACTTCTTGTCGGAGCCGTCATAGTTCATGATCATAATCTGACCGTAAGGCTGAAAAGTGTTGTCGTATAGGTGGCTCTTATCCTTGAAGCCATACATTCCCGTGTTCCACAAAATATGGCCATCATGGGACCAGACGGCATTGGACATCACTTGTTAGCCGTATAATTCTTGTTTCGAGTGAAGAGGAGGAAGGGACTGTATACTGGGCATCATTAGCCAGACTATCAGTCACACGATTAAGCTTACTAATAAGCAGACTAGGGCCATGGAAACACACCCATAGACCAGCATAAACTACAGTACACTACTAGGCTGCTTATCTTGCCAAATAAGCACCCCACAGCACAGCTGCTTCTAGTAACACTTAAAAGGAGAAATATACAGACACAACCTAATAAACAGCCACTATATAACCAAGAATAGGCAAACCTAATCCCTAACAACGCCCCTAAAGTTAGGACAGCAACTAGCCAAGAAAATTACTACCCCAATAAGCGTCCACCTACACCAAATCAAAGCCCAGGACTCTGCAGTATGCCAGGCATACCAAACACCTAAGTCCAGCACCTAACCGTCCACTGCCGTGCCCGCTACGAGGCGCAGAAATCTTATATCAATCACTGCATGGTCTAAAAATGCAACTCCCTACTGTCACTAAGAATACGACCCGCTTCTAAGACTTCAATTTATCACTAATATCAGCTCGAGGAACACGATTTTTGGCAGTAATCACAGTAATGTACAAATAAAGCTTAGCTATCACTCAGGCAGCTCGAGAACAGTAAGCTAAAACTTTATACTTCCGACGTTTTTTGCTTACGCCACAGAACATGCACCACATGCTTCCAACAACCTGATCAGTCCAACGAAAACAATGATGAAATGGATATGAACGTAATATATCTGGTGGCTCAGGGAAGCCACTAGCTCCCGGCATAAGAGGTGGTTCTTTTCCGGGTTGATATATCTGAATCGCGTCATTGGGGTGTAACAGTCTGAAGGTAAACTTCGCGCGAATTGCCTATGACAGCGAGTCTATGCGGTCATACCATAGCCTTGAAACCCCACAGGATCCATGGGCGAGGGTATTGCTATTCGAGATCTAATTCGCTGCATAATATATTGTTCTGCCCCAAAACGTCTACCAACGGGTTGCCAGCGCAAAGACCACAACCCTTTGGTTCATTCATTCATGAAACCTCGTAAGCGAGAAGGACCCAAGCCGGCTGCAAGATGCTGCGAGACAATATACGCCAAGTGTCAAATCATGGACTTTTCATATCACCGTACCCCGGATTCCTGAGGTTTCCGAGTGGTTCTGGGCCCCTATTTGCCAAACGGGCCATTTCTCCACATCGCATATCCATGAATCAGACCTTCATCGATGACGAGCAATCAATCTCCACTCAAAGGCCTTTATTTTTACCTATTTATTTTTTTCCGGCCTTAGCAATATATATACGATGTGACTTCCATCATTCAGGACCCTTATTTTTTGCTCTTCTCTGCAAAGGTTCAACTGTGAGACTTGGTTCCTGAACCTTGGTCTTCGTCCAACCATAGTTATCATTCTACCACTTAACAATGCAATCAACTCCTTCGTCAGAATTAGACTCTTCGCATGCCAAAATGCAGCAAGAACATGAGGAGCACTCTTCTAATCACTTTAATGACCCTGACCATATCGCCGTCGCCGATCTCCCTCAAGCTATCACTGAGAAAGGCCCCGAGCTTGTCGATACCCCTATACCGTTGCTGACATGGCGCTCAGCAGTGATGGGTTTGTTCGTGTCGATGGGGGGCTTCCTATTCGGTTATGATACCGGCCAGATATCTGGGTTTCTGGAAATGGAAGATTTCCTGGCTCGATTCGGCCAATTCAACGCTTCCACAGGAAAATACGAGTTCAGTAATGTGCGGAGTGGACTCATCGTCTCATTAGTTAGTTACCTCTCATGTTTCCCTCTCATCTGAATATAGGCTAACAAGTCAATGTAGCTATCGATTGGAACACTGATAGGTGCTCTAGTTGGTGCTCCCATCGCAGATCGTATTGGGAGGAAGTGGTCCATCTCAGCTTGGTGTGTCATATTATGCGTTGGAGTAACAGTGCAAATATCATCACCTTCTGGCCACTGGTACCAGGTCGCTGTCGGCCGTCTGGTCGCTGGTCTTGGTGTTGGTGCTCTCTCCTTGCTAGTCCCAATGTATCAGGGTGAGAGTGGTCCACGGCACATCCGAGGTGCCCTTATCTCTACCTATCAACTGTTTATTACACTTGGTATCTTTGTTGCCAACTGTATTAACTTCGGTACTGAGTCTAAGACAAACTCAGCATCGTGGCGTATCCCTATGGGAATCACATATCTCTGGGCTATTGTTCTCGGTGTTGGAATGGCATTCTTTCCGGAATCTCCGCGATACGATTACCGACATGGTAAACCAAATCAGGCAATAGTTACTCTTGCTAAAATTTACGGTATCCCTCAGAATCATCGTTCTCTCGCCCGGGAATTCGAGGAAATTAAGCAAAAATATGACGAGGAGTGCGCCCATGGAAAGATTACATGGGCTTTGATGCTACATGCTCCACGTATGAAGTATCGTATTATGGTTGGTGTTCTTTTACAAGCTCTTCAACAACTTACTGGTGCAAATTACTTCTTTTACTATGGTACCACAATTTTTCAGGGTGCTGGCATTTCTAACTCATTTGTAACACAAATGATCCTAGGTGGCATTAACTTTGGCAGCACATTTTTAGGCCTCTACAACATTCAGTACTTTGGCCGTCGTAAGTCCTTGATTGCAGGCGCATTATGGATGTTTATCTGCTTTATGATATTTGCATCTGTAGGCCATTTCTCACTTGACCACACTACTCCGTCTAATACTCCCTCAGCTGGGATTGCTATGGTCTGCTTTGCTTCTTTTTTTATTCTTGGATTTGCCTCGACATGGGGACCTATGGTCTGGACTATAATTGCTGAATTATATCCATCTGAGTTTCGTGCGCGTTCAATGGCACTTGCTACAGCATCAAACTGGCTATGGAATTTCTTGCTTGCGTTCTTCACACCTTTTATTACAAGCGCCATTGACTTCCGATTTGGATATGTATTTGCTGGGTGTTTATTCCTAGCAGCAGGCACAGTTTACTTTTGCGTTATCGAGGGCAAGGACCGGACACTGGAGGAGATTGATACTATGTATATTCGCAAGGTCAAGCCGTGGCAGAGCTCGAAGTATGTTTTTGAGGACGATGTCCTTGTCCGTGGTGGAGGGCCACCTCAGAAAGTCGATCATGAGCATGTGGAATAATTTTTCTTGTATCTTCATTCTGTGAGGTGATAACTAAGAGTCTGTTGTTTACCTTTTAAAATACTTCGAACATAACTTCAACAATAGCCAAAGATTAATGCCATCGAATACTTCGACAACTAGACAGCAGTGGATTAGACATTCAATATGACACCAGTATTGTATTTGTATTTTGTGACATATTCTTAAGTGTAATCAACTGCTTTTTGAAAATGAACATATAGGGTCAAGATAAGGTACCCCGGAGGAGAGTATAACCTTACTTCTACTGATGGTTTATGAAGGGGTCATCCGCCTAGCGAGCTTCTTTCAACAATCTACGGACACAGCACTATGGTCATGCGTGTCTAGGCAGCATTGAAGTATTACGCATTTTGCTATCTTACAAGAATTCACCAGTTTTTAAAGAAAGAAGGTGATTATGCCATGGTGGTTGTTGCCTAAATAGGCAATAGGAAGAATTTCGGTCGGGCAGCCTAAGAACTTCACAGTGAATATTTTTCTTCTTTTATCTTCTCATACCTCAATCTACTTATAGTGGTACATCTCGGAACGGCATCTGTTTTCACTTTTGTGATCTGAGGACACCATTAAAGCGTCTGGCTTATACTACTGGTGATTTCTCCCATTCTTCCATTATTGTGATCAATAACCAAGATGTTTGCCGCTATCAAAGCACAGAGGATTGCCGGATTATCCGAATCTTGGTCAAGCAAAGAATAAAAAAAAACAAAAAAAACAAAAAAGAAAACAAATAGAAGCAAAGGGAAAAGATCTGGGACGGCGCGCAACGAGCAAGGCGGAGGAATCGCGCGATAGGACTGGGCGAGGCAAGTCTTAGATATCTAGATTGATTGGGGACTGTCTCGCATCTTCTCTATTAGGCTTTGAAAAGAGTATATAAAGGTCAACTCAAAACATCAAGAAGAGCTTCTCTTTCCTTCTTCCTTCCTCATGTGCTATATTCTCATTTCCTAGTACGTAGACAGCATTACCAATCTATTTAGTTTGGCTGCCGTCACAAAGAATAATGATGAAGTCTGAAGACAAACAGAAGATACAAAATAAAGAGCAAAGTTGAATGGGATATTTTACTACAGCCAAGGTCCATAAAAGCCTTTTATACTCAGGTTTACGATCAGATGCTATTAGCATTTCAGCTGAAGAGGGGGTTAAAATGGCTACATTGTATGGGAATTACATGTGGCCGGTTTACTAGGGAAATACGTTAAACCAAGTTAATTAGTCTCTTCCAAAAATGTAGCCTCGCCTTCGAAACTTCAAACGCAGATAGATTCAATGCAGGACCAGGCAATGCCGCGACAGCGCGAGCCCAAACTGAAGACGTCCTGCAATAGCTGCTCCTCAGCAAAGGTCCGTTGCCAGGAGGATCTCGGCGTATCTCAATCCACCACATCATGTTTACGATGTGTCCAACTACATCTGAAATGCGTCTACGGCATTTCGCAGAGAAAAGGCAAGCCATTTCAACACAGCAAACCTCGTACTAGGTACCTGCAACATAACCCTGACTTCAGGGGAACCTATCCCTGGCCGAGCACTGGATGGAATTTATCAGATATCGGCCGACCCATTGACTTCTCCTCGGTGGAACTGGACTACTCCTCCCTCAAAGCTTTACCCTATGATACTCACGTCTAGTTGGACAGCATGGTATATGCAACATGATGGCGGATGCTAGTTCAGACATGTCTACCTTGGACACAGTGCTTGGTGGCACTTTGGAAGTCAACCAGATGATAAGTTGCAGATGCAATACTTGCGCAAGTGATCCAAGTGTCATTTTTTTGCTAACGACACTCGGCTCCAAGTTGAGTAGCAGCTATAAGGACATAGCGTGTCGCCTATCTCCGGCTTTGATCGCCTCGCGCGACCCAAGCACGCATTGGGCAGTTGAGTCGTTGCGAATTGAGATTAAAAATGTGTTCACTTATGCGCGAAAAGACTACTGGAAATGTGGAAGCCACGGCAGTGGGTGAAGCTTTTTATGACTTTCTAGTATGCCAAGTAAACACCTTGCTATGCTCGTTGGGTGATACTGTTGCAAAACAAGATCCGTGAACTAGGGTTCACATGGAGCATGCATTTTAGATCAAGTGTAATTTCAGTGTCTATGAACTTCCCATTGCCAGAGGAATTCGCTAAGCTTGCAGTCACCAAGTGAATTGTCAGATGCAATGCGGATTTAAGGACCACACATACACAAGGATGTGGACGTTAATTCCCCTGCTCTAAATTATTATGGATGTACTCCTTCCACTCCGTTGGTTTTTATCTAGGAGCTTTAGACTCCCTGACAAATCAGCTCCTGCATAGTAGCCCACGCTCTCAAATAGCATGACGGTTTCAGATATCTCCTGTGCTTTTGCCTCTGGAAGAAATGCTTTGAAGACATCTTCGGGGATTTGCAGGAAGGCCGCAGCCTTTCCAGTCGCTGCCGAAAAATCGTCGACGATCTGTTGAGGGGTGTAATATGCAGCCGATGCAAATATTCTTTGGCCAAGTAGCGACGATCGATATTTTATGGCCGCCTTGACAAATAGACCTGCAATAGACAGTCTAGTCAGCAACAGTTTCTAACGCCGGAGTCGAGCTATCACTATTGAATCTAGGAAGGTGAACAAAAGCAAACAAACCTACTAAAATCTTGACAGATATCTATAAGTGGGATTTGAGAATTACCATCCACAGGCAATGCAACCACGTAATTATCGCCGTTCCGGTTGATCAAGTGATGCGTTTCGCTCATAAAGGTACCCGCCAGTACAAAGGTTGCCGGAACGTCAGACTCACGCATGTATCGTTCAACCCCAGCCTTACCATCGAAATGATAGACATGCAAAAAGGCATTCTTGCTGGCTTCAGCCGAATTTATCAAGCTCGAGAAGATGAGATGCTGAAACCCAGCGGCCTTGCAGGCGTCGGTGACGTTCTTGCCTTGCAATACCTCCTCTGCACCGGACATACGTTGCCAGAAGTCTGTTACCAAAAATACGGTGTGAGCACCGGGGATAACCTTTTCGAGAGATTCGAATGAGGACATATTAGCCTGGTTAGGGCATACGCAATTTTCAGTTACTGCTTCATCCCAAATTCTTCGTCAACTTATGAACATATACGTACCATAACTACCTCCACCCCGCGAGCGGCTAGTTCTATTGCTGCTAGCTTTGAGTCATCACGAGTAACGGCGCGAATCTTGAATTTCGAAGAGAGGAGTGGGTTGTTAAGAATAGCCCGAACCACCGAGCCACCCTGCTTGCCAGTGGCGCCGAAAACGGTGATAATTTCGGACATGATGAATAGTCCGCTCAAGGTTGGAGATTGTGTAAGTGTGAAACTTAATGGTACTACTCATGTGCTTTCAAGGGGAAGGAAGAAAAGGGAAAAAGGGGTCTTTTTGTCATTTTATATAAATACTACATATCGAAGTTATTCAATTGACCCGATGGAAACACTCGGTTTCCGTACCGGTGCAATTGGTAATTATATATTTGCACAGCCCTATATTCCTAGATGTCGATAGCACACACGTTTTCAAGACTAGAGGCTAAAGCTAAAGTTGGACGAAAATTGGAACACTCGGTTTCCTTGTCGGTGCAATGAATGGTTCATCCGGTCCACATCTGTTGACCCAGCACTATCTTGCATACGTAGCCCTAACGGTAAATAGTTGGCAAAAGCGAGCCAGGTGGTTTTTATCTTTTCTAGACATGCAATTCCAATATCATTTATCACCGTATGTACAAGCTAAATAGAAAATGCATGTGTATCAACGAGCACCGGACAAATTTGAAGCGCGTATGAGTATATCAACCAGTCAATCTAATCTGCAAAAATGGCTCTGTGAAGTCCCAAATATAGCGCCATAAACTAATACAATGATTCCAAAATTTCTCACTCGTATTGTAGTGGTGAGATTCATGCCTCTATAACGTATTCGCCCAACTTAGCATCCCAGTGAGCACGAGCACGAGGATCCAACAGAACCGCACTTTCATTGTCCTTCTTCCAGGGGGATTCCGCCTTGGGTTTCAAAAGAGAGTTGGTCTGGATAGCTTGAATGAAGTCTAAGCCAGCACTACGCTGTCTCGATAGTGCACGAGCTTTATAGTCTTCGTATTCCTTTTCTGTAATTGCAGCAAACACGTGGTTTGGAGATACAGCAATAACAAGGCCACCCTTCTGACCAAATCCAAAAGATGTAAGCATGAATGCTTTGATCCCTGAAGTGTAAATGGTACGAGGTGGATAGACGAGATGTTCAAAGGGCTGCAAAACAGAATCAATATTATCGGCGTTTCTGTTTCCAGGAACAATGCCAGTTTGTAAAACTTGAATACCGCCGTTGAACATCCATGCACCAGCTGCACCCTTAGGATGACCGGTGAGCCATTTCTGGGAAATGGTCAGGATGGGATTGTTGAGAGACCGCCCAAGCTTGTTCATCTGCTGGTTGATGACGTTGGCTTCGTTCTTGTCGTTGGCCTTCGTAGATGTGCCGTGAAGAGATGCAACATCAATGTCATCTACTGTCAATCCCCAAACAGCGAGTGCAGCCCGCATAGGTGAAATGAGGCTATCCTGCTGCCGGAAATTGGAACCCCACAGGTTCTTAGCGTTCGAAACTTTAGAATCCCGGAGTCTCTCAAGTGATTCCAAAATGGTGTCTATGTTATCAGCTGGTAAACTCTTCACCAAATGCAGCTGATGCATCCACCACGTATCAATTTCCTTGATAGCCTCATTCAACTTCTCTCGGCGATATCCAATATCCAGCAGAGGCGAGTCTGCAGCTCCCGGCGCTTCGCGGGCAGCAGTTAAGACACCTTGACCCGGTGCTGGAATGGACCTACCGATGCGGTCGCTAGAGGTTTGAGTATGAGCCACAATGCCATATATCGGAAGTCCCATTTTCAGCGCCATCTCTGCAGTTGTAATGATTTGGATACCACATCCCGCAGATTCCATGAATCCACCGCGAGTAGTGGTGCTAGGGCGACACATTTCCTTGGGAGTGCGGCCTGCTAGAGCTTCTTCGTCTGTGTTGACGGTGGCTTTCATGTTGCCAAATTCGTAAGATGCTTCCTCTCGGAAATCATCAGCACCGCCAACGAAGGCCATTTTCGACTTGCCAAGCAGAAGGGATTCGCATCCAGTATCCATTGCTCTGATTTAGTTAGCACGTACGTTCTGAAAGAGACTTGTTACGGGAATATGTGCGTTATACAGCACAGAGGGATGATACTTACTCGATAGCAGTGGCACATGCTCCAGAATTAGTTTTGATGGGACCAGTGGAAGATAAAAGCAGGAGATTCACCCATGCACCCGGGGTGTTAAGGAATGTCTCTTGGAAAATATCGCTCTGTACAGAATGCTCCATGTATCTCTCCCGATACATTTTGCGCAAAGCAGCCAATCCACCAGCTCCAGTACCAATGCAATTGGCCAGCTCAGAAGTATTCATATGAGCGAATATTTCGAATGGATCTGTAATTCCGGCACTATACAAGGCCTCCGCAACACAACAGAGGACATATGCCGTAATTGGGTCAACTTGTGTAATAATATCATCTGGGATACCATATTTCGCAGGATTCCAGCCAGTTGGAAGCAGCCCGGCAACCGTACGGTTGAAAGCAATGGCTTTGGGAATGAGCAAACGAGTTCCCTTCTTGACTTTGACCAGGCAATCCTCCGTTTCAGCGACCGGAGAGATGGAAACATTGTCACCATGTTCCAATTGAAATGCTTCTGCAGTAGCCTTGGACGCCTGGAAAGTTGGAAGATCCTCATCTAGGACAACTTCATGGAGAAACTCTTTCTTGTTGGGATCATATCCATCCAGAACATCTGGCTCAATGGTCCTATATCCAGTATGTTCCAAGACATATTTACCAAAAGTTGAAGCGATATCACCATCTTGAATAGGCTGCTTTGTTTTGGCATCCACCCATCCGCTGTACGGTGCACCGTTGACTTGACCGTCAACATGCTCGATCAGGCCCATTATCCATGCTATCTCAACCATTCCGGCTGTTGTGAAGTCCCCACGGTACTCCATCTCCCATCTGGTGCGAGAGCTACCCCATGGACCAAGTTCAGAGAAGCCAACAACAACAACTGTCTTGCTGAGATCTACTAATCCTTGGAGGTTTGCCAAACCAGCTGTGGCAGCATTGAACTTAGGAAGTGGTGGGTAGCCAACCTTAAGATTGGCACGTTCTGTTTGGGGGGAGAGAATGGTCTTCGGAGTATCCTCTTTGGGTGCGGTCAACAATGCATTCATGCGTCTGTTTTCCTCGTTCAAAGCCTGCCGAAGCTTTGTACGATCGGACAATTGCTGACGGACTCTCGAAATAATTGCCTTGAGGTCTCGAATCTCTGACAGATTTCCACTGATGTCAGCCAAGATAGGCTCGTTTTCTGCCGCAGCCATTAACTCTGGGTGGATAAGAGCAAGAATGCTGAATGCCATCTCCGATGAGCTAAACGTAATTGATTTTTCAGCCTCAACAGCTTCAGCGAGAATGTTGTTGGTGTTCATCAACCCAGTTCCGCGTGTCCAGCCAATGACCGCGCCAACAACGGTGAGATAGTCCGACCAGCCTTCCGAATGGAAACGGTTGAAGAGAGTCTCAAGGCCAAGTTTGGACTCTGAGTACAGACCATCACCACCGAATGTTCCATGATTTGGAGAGAGGGGTAGAATCACACTGGTTGGCCGTGTGTTATATCTTCTCTTCTCCTTTTGCTGTTTGACATGTCCCAACATGCGAAGTAGATTGGTTAGCATCAACCGATGCGCAAGCTCTGATTTGGCATCTATGCCATCTATTTGTCCAGTTTCTCCAATGGCGGCAAAAGGAACTATAACATCGAGATCTCTGGCCTCCTCCTTGGTATCGTATATGTGGTTGACAAGAGCTTCACAATCTTGTTTGCTAGCCTGGTTAAATGGTATGACGGTGAGCTTGCTTCCTCTTGATCCATGTGTTTTATACATCTCATCGAAGAATTTGGTCGTTGCGGCTGGTGGTGGTCGGCTAGTTGTGACAAAGACCTGGGCTCCTCCCTCTAGCAATCCCTGAACAATTCCAGACGCAATCGACCCAGGTCCTGCTCCGGTAACGAGAGCAGTTGTTTCTGAAAATGAAAGACCGGTTGTTTCACCGAGAAGTAGGTTTTCCACGTAAATATCGGTCCAGATGCTGTTGGACTTCCATTCGTTTCCATCCTGTTGTTTAAGCTGTATAACTGGCTTGGGTAATCCAGAGGCACCCCCTTTGATCAGATGGGCATAAGTGAGACTTTGGCCCGAAGCACCTCGGGGCACCTCTTCGTAAATCGTCTTCCCAGCTTCATCAATTCTCGTCCGAGGAGCTTCGGCTGGCTTTGTATATAAGAATACTGGTGAGTTTTCGCTGGGACTGCTTGTCTGGTTTTTCAGCTGATTCACTACCGCGTGTTCCGATGACAACGATTTAAGGATGTTACCACATGACGATGTCCATCTATTGATGATCATGCGGATACGGTCCGAGATGTCGCTGGAAGTAAGCAGGCCCTTCAGGAGCTCTTGCTTCAGCTCTATAAGGTCTACTCTGACCCAGTTCCACCACGCATCATATACGCGGATCTTGCGGGCGTCAAATATTGGTTTGGTTCCCAAGTACATATCATCGCCAAATTCGGAGACCCAATGGTCGAGCTTTTCCAGTAAGCTGTTATCCGCGCTCACGGTGGCATTGTCATCTTCACCCTCGCCCATCTCCTTAACCAAATTACTGATAACCTCGTGGATTTTGAGAAGGCTTTTCTGATGGTCTTTCTTTACAGCCTGCAGAGCTTCAGAATCGACAACTGTTGCTTGTGATGACGATGCGCCACCTGATGCAGCACTTAATGTAACCCCAGCAAATGATGCATATCGTTGAGCCACGGAATCAAAAAATGCCTGAGCAGCATCTGCACTCGCCAATCGTGAAGCTGGCTCAAGGGTGATAGAGAATGTGATTACAGCGTTCTGACGTTGAGGTCCCAGACCCCATCGTGAGCCTAGGTAGCGTTGAATGGCCTGTCGGTTAAATGATGGGGGCATCTTGGATGAGACGAGCTTCGCAATCAAACTTGAAATTTGTTTCCCTGGCTCCCCTTTGAAAGAGCCTGCCAATGCAGCACCAAGAGTAGCCAATGGCAAATCCTCGCTACCATCGGGTAAGTTGCCCAGTTCGACACCAAGGTCGCCCAGGATCTCATTTTGCAACGTAGACTTTCCTATGTGAACAGTTTAGCAAACAACGTAGCTTGGCCATCTGACTCTCCAGCTTACCTCCAGAAAGTTCTTGTATGGATTTCGAAGTAGGGACTTCATCAAACCCTTTGCGCAACTTCTGTGCCGTTATGGCAATGACGGCGTCAGTGGCAGTAAGAGGGCTATCCTCCACTGCGGCGGCAGCAGCAGCAGGGGCAGATGCGACTGGTGCAGCTGGGGGAGGTGCGGGAGCAGCTGCAGTGGCTGTAGGAACAGTCTCGGAAGCTGGGGAGTTTGCAGGGGTTGGTTCACTTTCTGAAGCCTCAGGCTCGTTATCATCGTATTGGTAGAATATGTCTTTCGCATTGTCACTGGAGGACAGAAACTGTCTATTTACTAGGTGTGACTCCGGGTGCGTTTCCCTGCCGATCTGTTTGACAGCCATATTGGCCAAAATTTTGCTAGGACCGACCTCGACATATCGTTCAATGATAGGACTTTGGCGTGAGAAGGACTTCTGCGTCTCGATCCTGTTGCTTTGTAGTTAGCTTTGTGCGTACCGAAGAGGCAACAAGCAAGATCGTAGAAGGGAGGAAGAAAACGTACCATCGCACGGGAGAAGCGAGCTGATACCTGATTGCTAAGGTTAGTATGACACCCCAAACACTTTGCGCTATGACCAGATTGAAGCTCTTACGAAAGCAGCTCTACCAACAGCTCGTGGGTACGTTGCTGTTTCAGAGATTCCTGCCGGCTTTGCGCCGGAAGGACAACCTGTTGTCGAGTCATGATTGCATTACACTGCCTTCTACTTTCTGCGATGAAGAGAAACTCAAGCAGAGAGTGGGATTATAGCATCGATAAGGAGAAAGGTAGGATACGATGTATGAATATGAAATAAATGCACTACCTCCCGGTGGTATGCATCCACGGTCGTATTATTGTGCACCGCGAAGCCCAGAACCACCTGCAGCCAGTTGCGATTTTCGGCGCCCCCAAATATTCACCCCCGAAGGACCATGAAGCAACCAGCAAGCCTCAGAACTGAGGTCGGCCGGACTACGGGGATGTATGCAAGGCTTAGGGCTTGCGGCTGTCCGCGCGGCCCCTCTCCGGCCCGGGGTCCGCCGGGCTCTGTGCCTTTCTGATTGGGCAAACCACCACATGCCCCAGGAAGGGGATCATCTTCTATTAACATCCTATATCGCCACCATTACAAACGGCAAGGTGGATGTTGTGCCAGCAGCCCGCCTGTTGAATCTAGTCTCCGGTCCTGTTATCTCTCCAGTTGAGCTTGCGGTCTTTAATACCTTATGAGTCTATCAATGCCGTGCCAGAAGACTCCTGTGAATTGAAACTGTCCAGGCATTTGGATGGAGTATCCAGCGCTGGATACCACACCGCCGAATATGGATATCCCAACCCCATCCATGAAATACAGTACCCCCTCGACAGCCGGGGGGGACATTGACCTATACCCTCAAACGACCTTCACCCTCATCTACAAGAACCTTTCATACTCAACACCCTTATCGGGAAACCATGCAGTTGAACTCTCCCAGCATAAAGCAGCATTTCTTTCATCGCTAGGCACCACTCAACAAGGCGACCCTAATTCGATCGAGAGCCTTCTGCTGCGTTTCTTCCAGTTTCTTATTGACAGTCAAGTCTCGGCTGTGTTTATCACGCCGTTGGTGTCTGCTTTCCATAAGGACTTTCTGATCCTGAATGAGATACATTCAGTGATTGCTTCTCTTCCTGAACCAAAAGATGTCCAGAGGTCTATGCTTCGTACGTACTATACGACTCTGCTCGTCTGTGGTCTGTCAATAGAAGCACACAGTGGCCACAGTGCTCTGTTTAAGGAGGCCGAAAGGGAGAGCGTCAAACTTGTGGCCCTTTTCGGAGGCCAAGGAGCGTCAAACCCCCGGTGTTTCAAAGAGCTTGTTGAGATATATGAGGCTTATTCTCCACTCTTGGAAACGTTGATCCGGACGATCGATAATGTCCTTTTTGAACTCTGCGTCTCTCCTGATACCTATGATTTCTTCCGAGGACGCGAAATCCGCCTGCTTTCTTGGCTCCAGAGCCCAGAAACTGTCCCCAGTGACCAGTTCTTGGCTTCAGCCCCCGTCAGTTTCCCTATTCATGGACTTGTTGCTCTGGCGCACTGGTTTGTTGTCTGCAAACTTCTAGGGAAAACCCCTGGCGATATTCGTTCTCTTCTAGGAGGTGCAAGCGGTCACTCCCAGGGAATCATTATTGGCGCTGCCATCTCGGCATCTGAGTCCTGGTCCTCATTTTATGAGAATTCAATAACCGCCACAAAGTTGTTGTTTTGGACAGGGTACGAGAGCCACCATGCGGCACCGCGTGTAGCCCTAACCGCTGCCGCGGTCGAAGAATCAAAGAGCCATGGCGAAGGACAGCCAAGTTCCATGCTCTTTGTATCTGGGCTTTCAGGTGCAGAAGTGAGCCCTCTCCTTGCTAAATGCAACCAGGATCTCCCAGAAGATCAAAATATTTATCTCGCTCTCTCAAACGCTAAAACTAGCCACACGATTGCCGGTGCAGCATCGTCTCTCATACGCTTTACCAAGCTGCTGCGTGCAGTTGGAGTAGGGAGAGACGTAGACCAGTCTCGTATGCCGTTCGATAAGCGCAAGCCGGTTATTGAGACACAGTTTCTCCCCATCAGTGCGCCATTTCATACACCCTATCTTGCGGAGGCCGGGGCCAGGATCAAAAGTCGACTATCAAGCAGTTCCATTGACATAAAACAGCTTGCTATTCCTGTTTATGATACCCGAGATGGAACGAACCTTGCGGCTACTGTGGAAGGTGATCTAGTGCCATACCTCGTCGATGCTCTAACGGTACAGCCTGTCGATTGGGTCGCTACTTTGAGTTCTTCGCGTTACACGCACGTATTGGCCTTTGGAAAGACTGTAGCAGATATGGTCGCAAGCAACGTTACTGGGAAAGGAGTTCAAATCATCTCTGCTACCGAGCTCACAACAAGTAATCCTCAATTTGGCTCCAAGCGCGACTTGTTTAACCCACATCTAAGTGAATCCTTCTTGTCCCCTCGCAGTTGGGAAGAAGAATTCCAGCCACGACTTGTACGATCCCAAAACGGCTCTGTTAAGATCCAGACAAAATTAACAATGTTATTGGACATGCCTCCAATAATGGTTGCCGGAATGACGCCGACAACTGTCCCCTGGGATTTCGTTTCGGCTGTTATCAACGCAGGTTACCATGCTGAACTTGCTGGAGGTGGTTACTTCAATGCCGAAACCATGACTACGGCTATCAATAAGCTCATTGAGAGTGTTCAACCTGGCAAGGGTATTACTTGCAACCTCATATACGCGAGTCCGCAGGCCATGCAATGGCAGATAGCTATGCTTCGTCGCCTCGCTCGGAATGGACAACCCATAGACGGGCTGACAATTGGTGCAGGCGTTCCGAGCCTTGACGTTGTGAAAGAATGGATTACGACTCTGGGATTAAGGCATATATCATTCAAACCCGGTTCGGAAGATGCCATTCAACGCGTTTTGGAAATTGCGAAGGCGCACCCAGACTTCCCCATCATTATCCAGTGGACTGGAGGCAGAGGTGGTGGCCACCATTCCTACGAGGACTTCCATGCACCCATACTACGACTCTATGGTAAGATCCGTCAGCATCCCAACACAGTACTTGTTGCAGGAAGTGGTTTTGGAGATGGTGAAGGATCTTACCCTTACCTGACAGGCTCGTGGTCATTAAAATATGGCTATGCCAAAATGCCTTTCGATGGTATTCTTGTAGGAAGTCGAGTCATGGCAGCTAAAGAAGCCCACACATCTCTCCCTGTCAAGCAGCTCATCTGCGATATTCCTGGGACCCACGACGGCAAATGGACTGATAGCTACAAGCGTCCAGTTGGAGGAATTGTAACGGTACAGTCGGAGATGGGCCAGCCCATCCATAAGATTGCAAGCCGGGGCGTACTTCTTTGGAAAGAGATGGATGACACGGTTTTCAGCCTCCCGCGTGCAAAACAACAGGAAGCCATCCAGAAACGCAAAGCTCACATCATACGCAAACTAAACGACGATTTTGCGAAGCCATGGTTTGGCCAGAATTCCAAGGGAGAGGTAGTTGAATTGTCGGAAATGACTTACATGGAAGTTATCTCTCGCTTGATCAATCTCATGTACCTCCCACAAAACAGTCGGTGGATCGATTCATCCTACGCGGCCCTCGTAGGTGATGTCGCTATTCGGAGTCTAGAACGCCTAGGTGTCTTTAGCGAGATCGACACGAGCAAGCCAGAACAGATCAAGGACATATTCAGTCGTAAATTTCCCCAGGCAAAGGACACGATTATCCATCCAGAAGATGTTTCTTGGTTCTTGGAGCGATGCAGGCGTCGCGGCCAGAAGCCTACAAACTTTATTCCAGTTCTGGACGAGAATCTCTCTACTTGGTTTAAGAAAGACTCTCTGTGGCAGTCCGAAAATATCGAATCCGTCATCGACCAGGATCCTGGTCGTATTTGTATCTTGCATGGACCAGTTGCTGCTCAATATTCTCAACAGGTCGACGAACCTGTAGGCGAGATCCTGGGCGGAATCAATAACTCCTGGATTTCCTTGCTTACTGATGAGTTCTATGGGCATAAAGAGGTTCCTGTCGAAGAACCTTTGGAGTCATTGTTCGCACTCAGCCCGGCTAATCTAGACGTGGTTGAACACGATCAACGAACCACGATACGAGCCTCTACGGGTGCAATCTCGCCTACTAACGTGGAAGTTCTGCAATATCTTGCCAGCAGAACCGAAGGCTGGATGCGTTCTATTTTCCTGTCCGAGTCTATTCTGCAAGGGCGGACAAAGCGTTCGAATTTTTTTAAAGCATCATTTCAACTCGACGGTGACAAATCGGTACATATTGACAGGGCTAACTCCGAAATAATCTTAGAGACAGCGAAAGGAGAGAAACGTAAGACGTTGATTTCACTTTCGAGTCCAGATGGGGTCTCTATCAACGCTCAAATTATCCACCACGTCCCAGTGAGTGACGTTCCTGTGCCGCTTCATTTCAAGTTCAACTATGACCGGAACAATACCTTATTCCCACTCAGCGAGGAACTCCAGGACAGAGACCGGCAAATAAAATCATTTTACAGCCGACTCTGGCTGGGATCTGATGTGAAGAACTCACTGGGACTTTATTCCACATTCGGCGGCTACCGCACGGTGCTATCCCATGAGGTGCTGCAGCAATGGACAACTTCTGTTGGACTATCGCACTCCAACGACCGTCTTGTAGCTTCGAACACCGGATCTTTTCCACTGAATGCCACAATTATCCCGGCATGGGAAGCCTTGGTTCAGCCTCTGATGGTGCCGGAAATCGATGGCGATCTTTTGAGATTAGTTCATCTATCTATTGAGTTTCAACTCCTGGCAGGATCCAAGCCATTGCAGGTTGGAGAGACTGTTGAGGTTACGTCCACCATAGAGTCGATTGTTATTGATGACCCAGGCAAGGTTGTAACAGTTCGTGCAGTAATTTCACGAGACAATCAACATGCTGTGGCCATTATCTCCAAATTCCTGATTCGAGGCTCCTTCCCGGACTTCACCGGAACATTTGAACGCAGCACACAGCCAGACCTGCTCTTTACAGTATCGTCGTCTATAGACAATGCTGTCCTTCGTAGCAGACCGTGGCTGAAGTTGGACAACGAGGATGTGAATTTAGTTGGCGAAACTCTACTATTCCGGGTTCTCTCATTCTCTACCTACAAGTCCGAGAAGGTCTTTGGAACGCTGCGTACAACTGGAGACGTATTTATTCAGCATCCACGTCAGGGGCTGCGACGTATTGGTCATGTCAACTTCGATGCAACTGATGCACATGGAAATCCTGTTATTGATTTCCTCACTCGTAAAGGCACTCTATCAGCTAAGCGTCACGCGCTCGAGAATCCCGGATGGTCAGGCCCTTCAACTCAGACACTCAAGATGCCATTCGAAATGGAGGTATATGCAAGGGTTTCTAAGGATTATAATCCTATCCATGTCTCTCCAATCTTCGCTGCAGTGGCCAATCTTCCAGGAACTATAGTCCACGGCATGTACACGTCGGCTGTGGCGAGTGCCGCACTTGATCAAGTTAGCAACGATTTCTATCACCTCCGCACACGGCGCTACACGGTTTCATTTGTTGACATGGTTTTACCGGGTGAAGAGGTGCGCTTCAAGTATCGTCATATCGCTATGCTTGAAGGCAAGATGGTTGTCCAGATTCAAGCATTCAAGATTGCCACGGGTGACCGGGTTTTGGAAGGGGAAGCTGAACTGGAGCAAGTGCCAACAGCTTATGTTTTTACAGGCCAGGGAAGTCAGTTCCAAGGAATGGGAATGGATCTCTACAAATCCAGCCCTGTTGCAAGAAAGATATGGGACGATATTGATCGATATCTTCTTAACAGCTACGGTGAGGCTCAACTCCCTTTCTTGATTTTGCTACTTCATTCTTGATGCTAATATTGTTATAACTTTAGGATGGTCTGTTTTCAACATTGTTCAAGAGAATCCAAAATCCATCACCATACACTTTTCTGGAAAACGAGGCCGTGCGATTCGCGATCGATACCTAGCGATGACAGTCAATGGAGTTGGGCCAGATGGCCAGAAAGTCAGCATCCCCTTGCTGTCTGGTCTAACCCCCAGTACTCGGTTCATCACGTTTAAGGAGCCTCGAGGTCTTCTATATGCCACCCAGTTCGCACAACCTATCATTGCGCTCCTAGAGAAGGCAACATTTGAAGATATGAAAGCCAATGGCTTTGTGCAGCAAGGTGCTATGTTCGCCGGACATTCTCTAGGAGAATTTGGAGCTCTTTCCTGTCTAGCTGAATATCTCCCATTCGAGCATCAAATGGATGTTGCTTTTTACCGTGGACTAACAATGCAGAACGCCGTGAAAAGAGATGAAAGAGGAGCATCTGACTTTTCCATGGTTGCTGTCAACCCTGGGCGAGTGAAGAAAGGTACGGGTTTTGCTAAGTCTGACATTTTGCTCACCGTAAGCTAACAATATTTTTACTTTTAGACGCCTTCAATGATGCCGCACTACGCCAGCTTGTCGATATAATTGCTAGTGAGAGCCAGAAACTACTGGAGATCGTTAACCTTAATGTTGAAGGAGAACAATACGTCTGCACTGGCCATGTGAGTTTACTTTGTATTTTCTATCGTGTCTTGTCATTCCTCACTGACAGATTTTGATGACAGAATGCCAATCTACATGCCCTTGGCGAGATTCTGAATGCGCTCTCACGAAGTGCCAATAATGACATTGCTTTGTGGGCACAGGAAAGCGCCTTGTCTGGAAACGAACCCAGTCCATCCACAATTACGATCAATTCACTGGTCAAAACCGCCATCCACACGGCACACGCTCTTCCAACTCCTATTACTCTTTCTCGCGGTCAGGCCACTATTCCCCTTCAAGGAATAGACGTTCCATTCCACTCCTCGCACCTTCGTCCAGGTGTTGCTGAGTGGCGTGAGTTCTTGCTGAGGCGTATCCGAGTCGAGAATGTTCGGCCAGACGACTTGCTTGGCAAATTCGTGCCAAATCTCATGGGACGGCCCTTCTCTTTGGAACGTGAATATATTGCCGAGGCAAAGAAATTGACCGGGAGTGACATTCTACAGCGAAGATTGGACGAGGGGGTTGCATTTTAGTTAGATACAGATAACCCCTAGATACTTCTTTTTCTTTTGTGTGTACATAAATGACTAAATGAGGGAACAGCTGATCATATGAAGATGAATTTCATTACTTTATTTATCCAGGTCTTACAGATTAATCTAGAAGTGACAAATACCTTTGGGCAAAAGTGTAGCTAATTACACGTATAATTATTGGATATAATCTCTCGATGAACGAGTCTTGTACTCTACGTATGCTTGAAATCTTTACCATGACGTGTCAGCTCTCTCAGGCAAAATGCCATGACCAGCTAAAAGTACTTATTACGTGGAAGCGATCTAAGGAAACAAAGCGAATGTTAAATGTTAAAGATGAAGAATTTGGAATGGTACGAAGAATGAGTTCCGAGCCGTAAAAATCCGGCGAAAGTGAACAAAACCCTTATCTCCACCTCTGTCATATTCTACGCCTCGCGGTACGTAAAATTGGAACACACCGTGCTTCGCCAGCTGCACTGGACGATATATCGGAGTGAGCAGCTGCCGATCACGTACATGCCATGTAAAGCTATACGGGGAAAAAGTAAGCATCAAGTAACATCAGATATAGAGCATTCCGTATGAGACAATTCCTGATATGGACCATGAAATATGCTCTCCGAGCTGAAGCAATTTCCCGAAAGCGAAACGGCCACTAGCGTTCGATAGCTGTTTTGTGCATATGGCTCGTATTGGAAACAAAGCCTAGCCCCAGCTGCTACTATGAGCGAGCAGCGAGAATGAAGAGGATATTGGGGCTGTGATTCCCATTGCGGACCCATATAGTCAGTCCAGTGGGAATTCCAGAACCACGAAACACTCCCTGTAATACCTAGAGCATGCATACTTCATTCACTCACTAATCTCGCAACTATGGGGGCCGAGGACACATACTACATGCGGATGGCATACTGTGGTAACGCCGGAGATGCTACGGGCCGCAGGGAACTCGGCGCCCGTTGGTGCCTCTGCCCTTACCAACCCTAAGTTCAACATTCGAGAGACATGCTGTCTCGGCCCCTGGTAGCTAAGACGCGGGGTTCCAAGTATAGTTGTCGTACATAAACAATATAAGTCTTCTAATTTTGTTGAGGACTAGCCGCCAGAGGGATAATAACAAAACTCTTGCGTGAAACCACAGTCCTTTCGAAGTCACATCCCACCGCAGTCATGTCCGAGGGTACACTCTTTGTCAAAGACTCTCGTACTTCCAAGGAGTACGAGATTCCAATCACTCGGAACAGCGTGAAAGCCGCCGATTTCAAGAAGATCGTTGGTCCTGCTGAGGGCACCAACCCCGCTGACCACGTAGCAAAGGGTCTCCGATTGTTCGATCCTGGTGTTCAGCACACAGCAACCCACGAATCGAAAATCACTTGGGTGTATGTTTTCCACCTTGCCGTTGAGGAACTACTCTAAGAAACCGGCTAACAAGTTCAATTAAACAGTGATGGCAACAAGGGAGTTCTGCTGTTTAGAGGCCACAATTTCCAGCAACTATGGGATAACGACTTCGAGGATATGCTCCACCTGATGGTTTGGGAGACTCTCCCAACACCTGAGCAGAAGGAGTCTCTTCGCAAGGAAATTGCTGAGGTATCATACAACGTCGCTGACTCGGTTGCCCAGACTATTCGCTCATTCCCGTGAGTTTCCCGTCTTTCTCATCATCCATACGCTGAATCGTATTCTGAAGATAATACATAGTCAGAACGGGCCTGCCGTGCCCATGGCTCTAGCCGGTCTTGCAGCTTACGCCGCTGCAAACCCAGACATTCTCCCGGCCTACAACGCTGGCACCACGTTGCATAGAAACCCGGAAGCTATTCGTTCAGCTATCGTCAAGGCCGTCGGTGCCTACATCACTGTTATCGCGATAGCTGACTGCCACCGAAAAGGCATCAAATTTACCTCGCCCTCACTAGATAAGACAGTCTACGAGAACTTGCTGATAATGCTGGGACGAGTGGATGCAGATGGCAACCCGGACACTTTGTTGTTGAACAGCTACCGCCATTCTGGAGCGATGGGAGCCGACCACGAGATCACCAACTCGACATTCGCCCTCCTTGTAGCTGCATCATCGCTTGGTGACCCCGTCTCCTCTTTGATTAGCGCCATTTCCACCTGTTATGGACCACTGCACATGGGTGCTTGCGAATCGGCCTTCAAGTCGATGCAGAAAGTTGGCAGTGTTGAAAACGCAAGGCTCCTAATCGAGTCCGTCAAGAGAGGCGAGCGCCGTCTATACGGCTATGGACACCGTATGTATCGGACTGTCGACCCACGTATTGCCCGTGTCAGGGGAATTGTAAAGGATTTAGGCAATGACTCCCATCCCGTCCTCCCTATCGCTATGGAGATTGACCGCCTCGCGAGCACCGATGAGTACTTCGTTAAGCGTGACTTGCACGCTAACGTTGATCTCTTTGTTGTGTTTGTTGGTATTGGATTGTGCGTATTGTCTTTTTGAATTTGCATTTGCTTCTCTGTGTTTGTGACGCTGATGTTTTTCACCAGGGGCTGGCATGCGGATTTCGTTCCCCTATTCATTGTCCTACTCCGTTTGCCAGGATACATGGCCCATTGGAATGAAGCTATGCGTGAGTGAAGACAAATAATCCACATGATAAGTCTAGTAGGATATTTGTACTGACTGATTTACCTTCAATTGAAATTCAGACCGTGACATCAAATTAATGCGTCCGGCTGGGTTCTATACTGGCCCAACTGAGGCAGTCGATGACGAGCCTGCCGTCACAACAGAGACGACTTTTGCAGCCCCGGAGACCCCTGCTGCCATCCCAGAGACTGCTGTGCCTGTTCCGGCAGCTGCCGCGCCCGCCGCTGTTGAGCCAACAGCTGTTCCTGCTAATTGAAGTGTAGACGTCACTAACGTGTTTAATGAGAAACAAGGTTCACAGAAAGTGTCAAAAGATCAACGGGTGGCAAGTGAATCGCGGGCATATATGTCTGCATCGAAAGGATTCCTCTTCTTATCATGTTGTACCAGAAACACCATTTGAATTTGTTCGGCAGCAAATTGTGATATCGCATGTTCGTTCATGAATTTGGGAAGAAATGGGTCACATATAGACAAGAATAATCAAGGGACACATCGGCTATTTACACCATATTCTCTTAACTAGTTCTGTTCCGGGTATATACCTAGATATGTAACTAAGGAGGCCATGCATAACTCAACAACAAGCTAAAAACAACCATATAAGCACCTTGGCAATTAATTAAAATACAATTAAGCCGTTTATTTAACTCCACAAGTCCGAGTTAGACAAGGTTTGATCACAATTGTATCCAATCAATTCCATAACCTCAGAAAATAATGCCCCCATGCTCCCAACAATTACAGCAAGGGGTGGAGATAATACAACGTTGAATAGATATTTGAACTTCTTATCGGTGGACCTAAGTCAATCACGCACCTTGGCAAAAAGGATTCACACCCTATTATTTTTGAGGAAATAAATTTTTATTGAGCCAGTTCTAAAGGGGATAAGAAGGAAAAAAGTGACAGAAAAGAAACAGACAACATCCATGGATAGCTCAAGCAGTGGCCGCTTCATAGAGATCATTCAACTCAGTTTTAAATAATTCGACCGTTGCGGTAATCTGAACTGTTCCTTTACTCGCTCGAGGAAATGGTTTGGTGGGAGGCGCGATTAAAATCAGAGACTTCCAGATCTGGCCTTGAATTGGGCTAGTCTCGTTAACCTTCAAGACGATGTTCCAGATTTCTTCCAAAATTTCTTCTCTTTTGCCATAGTTTATCTCGCTGTCCCTCAATTCGATGATCAAGGATGCACGAACACGGGTTGAACCGGCTGTCACAACAGCAGACCAGACATCTGGATGCTCCTGGACAAGAGACTGAAGTCTGGCCGGATTAAACTTGGATCCATTTGCGAAAACCATGAGATCGTCAATTCTTGACTCGTGTCGCCAGTGGTAGGGCTTCGTTGGGTGCTTGGAATACAAGTCCTTTGTCGACCATTCCTGTAGCTTCGGGTGTATCTTGAAAGGTCCTTGGAACAATGATAGCTTAAGATCTTTGACTACAACCATCTCGTATAAGCCATCTCCGTGGTCACGCCATTCTATTCCATTAGAGTACGGACAGTAGCAGATGTACTCCCAATCCTCTGGATCAGTCCGGTACGTAACATATGCACCGCCATCACTGCTGCCAAGACTGTTGTGGAAGACTGTATTCTTGCAACCCCAGGACAAAATTTCGCCAGTGGATTTTGATATCGGCCCTAGACGAGAATAAGTTAGCCCTGCTGCTGTACTCGGACTCTCGGAGCCATTTTGATGTCCACTTTTTGGGCATACCTCCTCCCCAGCCTATGAATCCTAGCTTAGATAACCGTCTTAGGTGATGCGAATCCCTGCTCAGAAGTTCCAGAATTCCAGGAACAAAATGCGCGGCATCAACATTTCCGTAGTCTAGGACATCGGCCACAATTGCAATGGACTCCGGATCAGTACCAATAGCGCGGCCCGGTAGAACCACGAACGTGACTCCCAGAAGTAAGCATCTCAAAAACCGCACAAAGGAGGAGCTATGCGCAACCGGCATTGTACTGAAGCTATTTTCAAATGCATAATACGTTAGATGCGCTCTTATCATACCCTGAAAAGCGAAAGGCCATTGTGATTGGCACGTACTGTCTTTTGCATCTTCCCATCGGCGCATATATATTTTCCCGACCACCAAGGGTTTCTGGAATGCTTTGGGCATCGACTGTCGCGTAAATGCTGTGAGACCACACAATTGGCCTCGGCTTCCCAGTAGTCCCCGATGTATGTATAATCATAAATGGGTCAAACTGTGCTTCCTCGAAGGACTTGTCATATGGGTACCTGGGGGCATCTTTTTCGGCAAGAAGCTCCTCTAGCTCAGGAATCTTGAAGGCGATTAAATCCGGCTTGGCGTCGATTAACTCATCGACGTTGGGTCCACTCGAGTAGAGAAATTTTGTACAATCAGTCTGCCATAGTTACAGAAAAGTAAGTGAGCTAATTCTACCAATATCGAGAAATCACTGCATAGGCGAGATAATCGGACCTGGTTCAGAAGCTCCAAATGCCCGCCGATAGTATTCCTAGAAGTCATTGATAGCATCTGCTATGGTTAGCACGAATGCGAGCATTTGCGGATCCACAATTTCTTGCCTTGTAGCCGGTTTTGATCAACGCAATCATCATAATGTTGTATCTCAGATCCGAAGCTCTAAATATAGAATGAAAATCAGCCAACGACCGCCATTGATTTGTCTAAATTCTAAACCATCGCGGAAAAAAGACGTGTGGAGAATCTTACCCCAGGTACGCCGCTGGCTCGAACGTGCTGCTTCGACCGATGCGGGATTCTATCCACCATGCCAGTGCATCGATTACCTTCGCTAGCTGCCGGAACGAGATATCCTTGAAGCCGGCCTTGATGTCCGCGGATAAGGGGATGGAAGCCCATGCCTTTTCCGGGACATCGCTGGCCAATTGCTCGATTACTGAAGGTAGTAGCCTCTGACCTCGACTGTCGAGGCGGACATCGGATGTTTCTTTCTCGGAACTAATAGCAGGCATCATGAGATTTGTGGCGTTGACTTCTGCAAGGAACTCCTATATTTTCTTATCTCTAGCCAACGAGCTCTCGTATACCAATCGACTTTATTGTCCTAAAATGACACCCAAGAATTTTGGTTATCTCTGGCCAACGGGCTATTGCATATATATTATTGAGCGTCCTAGGACGCTATAGAAGGATGCAAGCTAAAAACGGAATGGTGCAATGACAGCAAACCTGAGAAGACGGGATAGATTCGGGCCGATAGCATATTATCGCCCTTCCTCTTTTCTCAGAAAAATTAAACGCTTCCTAGATTCGAGTGATCATGCATTTCGAAATTACAATATGAAAGCATCTTCTAGATATTATTCGCCAATAGAACGTTCTATTCGTGTAGCTTTTTCGTGTAATCATCTTTCCTTTTGAAAGTACTGAGGGCCAACGGAGTTTATGTGATTAGCATGTGCAGCTGTTGTCATACGATGTAGTATTCTGTACGTAATTTTTACTTGCCGGCCCATGCTGCCTCCGGAAAATCGAATCGAGCCCAACCCTGATCGTGAGACCGGCCCGCTGTGGAGCCCGCCGGCGGGTCGGCTCGCTTGCCTTCTAGAAGGCTGAAGCCGCGTGGGGCGGGTGGTCCCACAGTAGTTTAATTTGTTACCCCTAGTACGTAGTGTCATTACATTACGAAGTGCCCCTTACAACGGGGGTTAGAAATAGTCTTCTAAGGCAACTGGCCCCATAATTGGCCCCAAAAGCCCCGATGACATCCGAATTCGCCAAATAAGCGATATCGCTTGTTTTATTGCGGTATAATTTTCTTATGCACAATTAGGAAAACGGCCGCAAAACAGCTAACTTCTTGGCTGTTCAACTGCCGTAGATTGAATAAACACTGTATATCTTGCCTTAAAGAAAGCTTGGCTCCTGAAATTCTTGCTAAACTCATGTACGACTGCTCTAGATTAAATCTATTTCAATATATGATCCTCATAAGAGAACTGTACCAGTCAAACTTGTAGCCTCTTCAACTTCCAGCATTGACCACACAGTCAGTATGGGCGACGTCGAAAAAGCCGCGGCCGCTAGTCTAAAGCCTCCCGCAGTTTCTACTACAGACGACAACTTGGTAAGTGACGCACAAACCTTCGTCTTCGTTCAAGCATGGCTCTCTATGTGCTAATCATGGTCGTAACAGGTGGACTGGGATGGACCCAATGATCCCACAAATCCGGTGAACTGGCCGTTTCGCAGACGATGGCTGGTCACAATCAGTGTAGCTGGGTTCAGCTTCATATCCCCAACATCAACTTCAATGACAGCTCCAGCCTTATCTTCAATTGGCGAGGATCTGAACATTACTTCATCATTCATGCTTAACTTGACATTGTCGAGTTTCATCTTAGCATACGCATTTGGCCCATTTGCAGTAGCGCCTCTTTCCGAAGTCTATGGACGAGTAAAAGTTTTGCAAGTATCCAATATAATGTACCTATTTTTCAATCTCGGTTGTGGATTTGCTCAAAACTCGGCTCAACTCATTGTCTGTCGGTTTTTTGCCGGATTGGGTGGAAGTGCTCCTCTTGTGATTGGAGCCGGTGTCCTCGCAGACTGCTGGAGACCAGAGGAGCGTGGTACCGCGATCAGCCTATTCACTATGGTGACCCTGCTTGGCCCAACCATAGGCCCCATCGTGGGTGGATTTATCACGCAGTACAGCAATTGGCGCTGGATATTTTACTCCCTCACGATTGCCGATGCAGTCATCCAAGTGTTTGGTTTCCTTGTCCTTAGGGAGACGTATGCACCGAAGCTTCTTGGTGACAAAGCACGAGCGTTACGAGCGGAAACGGGAAATGATGCATTATACACAAAGTGGGAAAAGGGGGGCCGCAGTATGAAAATAATTTTGAGAACAGCACTTGCAAGGCCATTCATCTTCCTATTCACCCAGCCAATCTGCCAGATGCTCACGTTATACGTCGCCTACCTATATGGTCTTACTTACTTGATGTTGACTACATTCCCCTCCCTCTGGACCGGCGTTTACGGTGAGAGTATAAGTATTGGCGGATTGAACTATCTTTCACTTGGAATCGGATATGCCATCGGTACACAAGGTACCGCACGAATCAACGACATCATCTATCGGCGCTTATCGGCAAAAAGTGGCACGGGTGCGGGACAGCCAGAATATCGTCTACCCATGCTGCTCGTCTCAGCCATCTTGGTTCCAATTGGTCTCTTCTGGTACGGATGGAGTGCGCAGGCTCAGATTCAGTGGATTATGCCAGATATTGGGGCCGCAATCTTTGGAATCGGAGTAAGAATTGGATATCAATGCTGCCAGGTCTATGTCGTCGATACATACAGAACGTATGCCGCATCAGCAGGAGCTGTCCTGGTCTTTTTGCGGTCTCTCGCTGGTTTTGGATTTCCACTGTTTGCGCCCTACATGTTTGAGGCACTGGATTATGGATGGGGAAATAGTGTCCTTGCCTTCATTGCCATTTTTATCGGTATTCCAGCGCCTTTCATTTTGTGGAAATGGGGCCCGACATTACGGGAGAGGAGCCGTTACCAGATTTTATAACGAGTAATGCCTTCAAAAAGGAAAGGGGGGGGGGGGGGGGGGCAAACAAAATATCAAGGCTTTTCCATCATTGTCAATACTAAGCTTATGAAGCGGTATCTTATGCAAATAGACATATAGAATGGCGAAAACATAGATTGTTATTCATGAGGTATGGAATTACGGCCTGTCTCATGTGTTAAGTTGCCAACGTTTGTGTTTAGTAGCTACTACTTATGTAGCCCATCCCAGGGAATCTCAAGCATTATTCGATTAGCTTATGTAGTAAGGATAGTTTGAACTATGTCAACTCCTGTTATAAGTATTTCGAACTTCGTTCTAACTTCTAACTTAGACAATTAACCTGTGAGAAAAAACAATAAATGGATATCTAGTGCAGCGAGTAACTGAATAATTCTATACGCAAAAACAAAAAAAGAGTTGTCACAACCCAAGCACACTCATGAAAGAAAAGGAAATGTTGCCGTTGACGGGACTATCGTCTGGGTTGAGGGGTCATAAGTCATATCGAAATCATCAAACATGTCGTAAATGTTATTCGAATTAAAGGTTTCCAGTGGCTTGACCATCTGGGGTTCGAATTTCTGTTTTCTGTTCTTGGGGGTGACCACTTCAGTGGTACTGCCAATTGCCATCGTTGATCGCGATTCTGCATAGCTGACAATATTTGATACAAGATCCAAGCAGCGTGACGCAGTACTATGAAGTTTGAAACCGTAAGTATTTGGTGATTCAGGGCTGGTGATATTCTCGATGATCTCAACAGCGCTTCTCAGCAGATCACAGTCACTTTTCAGGCTTGTGATTGGCGCGTCCTGCTGTCCCACAGAGTTCAAAATGCTCTGTACGAGCTCTGTAAATCCTGCGAATGGAACAAGTTGTAGGCCACTATAGATACCCACGCGTTAGCTACTGTTCCAACTGCGTCGGCTCACAATAATTATAAAAGGAAGAATATATACCGGTGAAGAGCAGAGTGCTTTTCGATGCCTCGTGATTGGTTCAAATTTTGGAGAATCATAATGCTTTCTCTGGACAAATTCACGCAAGCCGCCCGGCAAGACCATTCATCGACACAACTAAGAACCAGTATTCTTGAGTTTTGGTAATGGAATAGAATTTCCAAGGCCAGTGCAGATTGAGGGCCATTCAATAATGATACATCCAGAAGTGCAGTGTGCTCTTTGTACCATTGCTGTAGCAAATTATCCAAGACCGTAATGGTGTCAAGGGTATGTTGCCGCCTTTTCCCTTGACTAGAATACAGATCTAGATAGATTTGCTCTTGAATCATAGCAAGACGGATCCGCACCAAGAAGTACTTCTCGAGTACATTATCGGCTTCATTTGTTGTATCTGGCGTCAGGAAAGGAATAGAGCAAGTCTGTAGAGGAATGAAAGGGTTGCGGCCTTTGATCAGAGACCAGTTCTTATCCAGAACGAACAGAGTCCAAAACAGCCCTCGACGTTCCTTAATCTCGGCTGGGGAGTAGATGAACGTTCCGTTATTTTCATGATGGATGCCAGCATCAAGTGCAAGTCGACAGGCCTGCTCGAGGAGAACATCTGCTGTTTCCATTTGAAAATGGTCCATCGCAATCAAGAACTATTTATGGTTCATAGGGCGTTAGACTAGTGCAGGCCTCGTGAGAGAAACACATTAGGAATAACTCACAAGTGAAGTTATGGCTTGCACGTTGATTAAGCGCGGACTATGCAAAGATTTGATATGTGCGAATGCTCTTCGGGCATTCTCTAGGAACGGCTGTACAACTTCCTTGTGCATTGCCATCGGCACAAGTTGTTCAGATCCTTGCACTGCTAAGCGAACTACTTGATATAGGCTTTGAATGGTAAGGTTGTTCGAAATGATAACCCAGGCAGAGTCATCCTGTATTTCGGAAATGCTGTATAAATGTCCATAAAAGCGCTCGCGTGATAGAACCGGCAGTATGGTATTCACTTGTCGAAAGTAAACATCGGTCAAAGAATCGAGCAGTTCCTATGAGTGTTATTAGATTCGTGACTTTAAAAAAGGGAAATAAGATCATATTCGAATGGGACACCAACCTTTGAAGGAGGAGTTGGAGGTAGCCCATCATCGGAAAGGTCGGCAGTCAACGATTTATCGTTGAATTGGTCCATCCACAGTTGGTTGGTCTTAAGCAATTCATTATAAATATGATCTTCCATAGGATCGGTCGACTGTGTATAACATTTCAAGCACTTATCAATACTATTGTGGATGCTGCTGAACAGAGATTCCATGGAAGTAGCTCGATAATGCCTAGTACCAAGTCAGTCTACAATACCAATGGCATGTTGGTACTTGATTTCCTCTTACCGTTTCCTGTCATCCTTGTTCTGACTGCGATAGCCACCATCCGTATCCACTATTCGTTCTTCGTCAGTGGTGAGAGCGCCGTTCTGAATGGTATGCACCGCTTGCATGTCTTCCTCATCACGCTCAAACCCAACTGCGCTATCAGGCGTTGGAGTTGAAGACATTGTAGTCTTATTGGACAGAGCTGTGAGTACCGATGTACAGCGGTCTACTGCGTTCTCTAATCGTTCTAGGCGTGCGGCCAGCTCGCCGATATCCAGCATCCTGTAGCCAACGACAATGTCAACTTTCACATATCTTAAGAGAGAGTACGAAGCACAGAGTCAGTCGTAGACCACTTACAGCTTCTTTGTATAGTTAGTTCGTTTGGTCCGCTCGGAATATATACATTGGAGTCCTGCTCGCACACAGGTGCCGCATTGCGGTGACCTCCTGTCACATTTTGTCTTCTTGATTCGACATTGATCGCATGCCGGCTCATGTGTAGAGAAGCCTCTGTTCATGTCTGGATGCTCACCATCCGCCATCCTGGTTACTGTCATGGGTGCTGCTGGTTCGGTCGGAAGGTCGTTCGTTGCAGGCTGTATCAAAAGCTTAACAATAGGTATGTCTACCATTCGCAAGACGTGTGACTGGTACATTTATTTATACCAACGGAGAACTACGTACGCAGGCTTGTTTGTAATTTACGGACGTATTCCCTACTTGGAACATACCTGTCTGCAAGAACACGAGGTGGGGCCTGTGGATATGCCAGATTAGCAACAGTCCAATTGACCGTGCTACGGAAGATTTTCGTGTTAGCTAACGGCTCAGCTGTAACCACAAACCATATCATAAGATATGTTTCAATATAGACGATCTACCGTCCAGCGTTGGATGAAACCTTGGGAGACTAGGGCCACGCCGAAGCTTGTTTAAGGCAAGCCCGTAGCTGAGGCCCTATTTCTGCAAGTCTGCAAACTGAGCACTAGCTAACTAAGCATTGGAGGGATCGACTAGCCTGTCGGGTGGCGTTCGTAGCCTTTTCTCAGTCTCCAATATTGTTCACAATTGTCACACCGGCCGGCGGAGCTAAACTGCTCTAGCGGTACGTATATAATCAGATATGAGCGATTACGGGATTGCTTACCTAGCATGCAATGCTCTCTGACTACTGATTAACCAGGGTTAACTGTTACCATCGTTTCTAGCCCATTACAAGTGTTGGGAGCTACGAAGACGTGGGGGCCAAGGCGAAGGCGTGCCTTATGCCTACCAACCATAACTCAATATTTGTGTCTATACGATGTAGCTCACTAATACGCATGTACGTATGAATTCCTCGCCCCAAACCACAAGTCTCGGTGGGAGGGGCTTCGTACAGCATTAGGTAATAGGCTTTCGCCCAATTTCCAGCTAGCAATTAAACGAAGATAACAAGAACAGCATGGCACAAGCAATTGCATGCATGTACAGCTGTGCTGGCGGGTCTGAATTCGGATGAGATGATTGCTCGGGATAGGGCTATATGGATGGTTATCGATACACGTTCCGTGATGCCTCGCAGAAGGTGGTGTATCGACGCCTTCCTACATACTTATTCTAGAATAGGTGTGAATGTAACCTGCATATTCTGTCTTTCACTTGCGTTAGTCCACAGCCTATAATCCGAACAAGTAGACATAGACATATATCTTGCTTCCAGGTAGTTAACTAATGCCTGCTATCATATCCGACTAATATAGCATCACTGAAATAGCCCTCCGTCACCGTAGATTGCTCGTTTAGCCTTCGGTCTGGGAAGAAGATTGGCCCGCTGCTTACTTATTCGGCTGCGACGTGAGTAATCCAGTAGCTACTAGTTATAAGTAGCTGCCCCTTGTCTATAATTCATAACGCGTATTGCTGTCAGATTAAATCATTACAATATAGGGCCCCCGTTAATCTTCACAAGAGTTGGCTATATCACTGCTCGCTAGCTGTATTTAAATTACGGCTTAGCCCGCTATTCCTGGTGGGCCTAAGGGTTGGCCAAGCTTCACTGAATCTCTAGATTTTCGAGGCTTTCAGTGGTCTCTCCGTCCCTGGTGGCCTCCACCGCGAGGAGGGATGCAGAGCTATGCAGCATCCTCCTCCGAGTTGATCCCGATTTCTAGGACATTGCGACGCCCAGAGTGCTAGTACTGTTGGTTGAAAATAAAAATAACAGTCACTAACAATGCTCGTAATCTTGCTCATCAATTTGCCTACACATTAGGAAGGAGATGGTTTTGTCTGTACGCAGGTGTATATGGCCTGGGGCCGCGGGATGTAACAATCGTTCCATGCTGTGCATCCATCGATATCACAGGCCACCTAGGCAGCGATATCTTTCTATAATCTGAACTTTCTTGATCTACCTCGTATAACTTGATACATAACGATTTTCTGGGGTGGCGCAAGGTATACTTTTCGGAAAAATGGAGCCCGTGAATCTAGACACAAGACTGATTTCGAACAGCGCTAGCTGCTGATCTAGTGATCTTCCCGACGCCACTAGAGCATTCCAGTTCCTAAGAGAGAGAGAGAGAAGGAGGGAGAGACGCTGTATGTGAAATTTGGAGCTACCAACAAATGAGCATTTTCCGTCCTTTTCCAGTAGCCGGCCCACGTTGCATAGATAACAAACCGGAAATGCATGGCATGGATGCCCCAGGGTTTACTGGCGAGCTCTTCAGCAGAGACATGGTACGGTTGTTGGATGCCAAGTGGAGGATTTTCTGGCGCTTACTCTGCAAATAAATTTACTCATTCTCACCCCGAAACTCGGAGAAAGTGATAATGAATCCCGCTAATGCGGCGTCATCCCGTAAATCTGAACAAGCCATATCACATTGGCTAGTGCTGAGTATGAGGGCATGTCAGCATGAAGTGACGTGGTGGGAAGAAACTCGACGATGTCTCGAACCGACAAACCCCGTACGCATTAGCGCGCGAAGGTTGTGTGCTCTAGTACATTCATACTATAAATAACAAGTATCACTATATCAACTGGGCCTCGGAGATGCTAGCTAATCCTGATCGTGCTTTGATAGCACTCGAAAGATCGCAGTGGATAAATAGTTCGCTATGTTAGTTACGAGCACCTATGCGATCAGTGCTTTTCGGTCTTACAGCGTCTCTGCGCTTGAGATGAGAAGAGCTCTAAACATCCATAATTGTGTGCATGGTTGTTGAATGATGCTACAAAAAGCTTCCCAGGGTCATTCATTGGCGCTCTCTAAGCTAGCCCTACTAGCGTGCCTAATCCGGCAGCCGTCTCCGTCCACCAAGCAGTCAATAGGCAATCTGTAGCAGGAAAACCGAAGAGAAAGCCGTCCGGGGAACGTTGCCCCAGTTCCCGCCTTGCGATGCGGAATTGGGCACTCTATCCAAGTTATCCACTACGTGGAGCTTGGATCTCCCGAGCATGGAACGAGAATGGAAGATTCGAGGGCTACACTTTAGCAGGTACGGTTGTGTATAAGATCTGGTTACACGTCCCAGACATGTTTCCGGAATCCTCACTCATACACACACGCGTGGAACTAATTCCAGTACTCATCCGCCAATTCAAGCAATACACAACCCTCATGGTACAGCTAGTCACTGGTCGGCAGTGTCGGCAGACTGAAATGATAAGACGAACTTTGAACGAGTGCCTCCGAGCATTCCAGCCGTACAAACCAGCACGTCTCGAATTTGGAAGGGTCTATGCCAAGATGCCTTGCCTATAGTGTTTCGCTTAGAGGAAACTACTGCAGCCATTTCCTCCACTAACCGATGGCGTTGCAACTTATACGCCTATAATATGTTATGCCTTATGATATTCGATGTGCGGGTGGTGGCGAGGTTCGTTAAATCTTTTGCCAATTACGGAAGTAGATGATGATATGCAACGGCAAGCTTCACATGCAAAACATAATTCTTAATAATTACAGAGTCGATAGCTCCACATGCCAGATGTGAAATGAGCACTAGTTTCACTTTGAAGGTTTATCTTTTCGTCGTATCAAAGGATGAAACCATTGACAGTGGTGATATCGTCATATCAAGAGGATAGTTAGGTATTTACTTATACACCCACGGTTAAGGCTGACCAATCATGCATGAAGTGGCGTGATAAGGGTATTATACGAATATCCCTCATCTGTCCCTTTCGGTATTATCCGTATACTTACCTAGACAGCCAACACCTAGCGGCATGGTGTGTGAACCCGACTCCGAATGCCTTGCAGAGGTCGGTTACGCACGGTCCCGAGAGACCTTGCAACGGTCGGTTAGTTATACCGAATTGGATGGGTGAATATCGTGAAGTGCCAATGGTTGTTGCTAAAGCGTGTAAATCCATACTCTACCCAAGCTCCAAAAGGGCAGCTTTGTCAGCATGAGCTGCATGGTTGTTAGTTATTAAAAATTGCCTCGGTCTTTGTAAAATTGCTCTATGTAACTCAAGACTAGGATGCAGATATTAGTTTACATTAGTACTGATCTAAGTGCCGTGTTAATTAATGTCTTGGTGGCTGTTTTGGATTGTTATGCATGGTCAGCCCCGAAGCCATGAAATGGCATACTAAACCATGCGGCTGCAATTGATAGGAACGTGCACAAATTTCATGGTCGATGCATATTTTATATAGGATAAAGTTATGCTACGCTAAAAACACATGGACCAGTTACACCGCTCGACATAACAACGGGCAGGCCGGGACGCCTAATTTCCTATCGTGGGTACGTACCTAGCGGAGTAGAAAGATAAGAGGATGCGCTGTTCAGGAAGACGGCGTTCGGGACGCGGAGAAAGGAGAGATAACGTGGAGAGAAACAATGCTGTGTATTGTCGCGAGCGAGAGAGGATTCGTTCTATGTATGTATTTGCCCCGCGCCTTGAGTTATATGCCTGGATGCATGTGTATCTCCGCGACGCTTTACCGAACGCTAGGCACCTAGATGCACAGCTAGGTAGCATCTTGTCAAAGAAACGTGGATGGCCTCTTTAATCAGCGTTTAAAGCGGAATGCAGAATTTGATATTCAACGTCCTCTACAGCCAATTGAGAGAAAAAGGTCAACAAAAATAGAATTCTCCATAAAAATGATCAGTTCTCGTCCGGGGAGATAGTATCACTTGCATTGGCTATACTATTATGGAGATCAGTGCATAACTAGCTAAACTAGCCGTCTGCCAGCGGTGCGCGAGTCTACGTTGTTATATCGTTATACAACCTTGAAAATAGTCCGAATTGGGTAGTATTCCAGGAACACACCATGACAGACCACAACGTCGCTATCCGCATCTTCTTATCCTGGCTTTTGCCAGAAAAGTGATTCCGACTATTTCGCATTATACACCTCGCCGCGATGAGCGATGACCGATATCATCCCCACTCCCCAAACAGGAAGCTGTTGTTGTGATCTAGATAGGTAATTTTCAATGGTCGTGTAATAACGGTCTGGGATTTCATGCCAAAGTCTCAATTTTGAGCTTTCTCGACATGCAGGTTGCATCGAGCCTTGAATTGACTTAAATTAATTGATTCTCCCTCTTGTCTTCACAAGATAGTCAAGCTTTCTCTCGGTTTCCATCGGTATCTCAGCGTTTCGCTTATAGATAGTTTTGATGTGAAAAAGCCAGTCACGCGAGCTCCTTCCTTTCATGGTAAGTTGTAGTTGTGTACAGATCTAAGATTTTTTCCCTCGTAACTCGAAATAGGAGGTGTTGGAGATTGTCCCTGGTAATTCTGTCAACAGGGAAAGGAGATGTTGGAATAGACTTTGAGTAAAAATGAAGCTCCAATCTTACAAAGCCCTAGGCCAGAATCTGTGATCTGAACATTACTCTTATTCTTGAAAGATATTCCAAAAAGTGCGTACGTTCGATGGTGGAAAGAACTATATATCTTGATCTTAAGGGTTTATTTCATGTTATTTGCTATATATGTAAGATATGCCTATGTAAATAAATCTGTTCCAACATGTGTGAGTATGGTCACGAATAGATAGAATCACACCTCTTTACGGGTCTCGTTACCATATCTAGGTTATAACTAGGGCTACGAAGCCCCAATGAGTTCCTAGATACGATTCAACACACCTCCAGCAACTTAACAAGATGGATTTCAAGGATAGGACTGATCAAGATATGTATCCATTAATGCCTTAATACCTAGGTAATATATAACGAATCGGTATATAGTTCCTAAACGCACCTAGGTATTCACATGATTCCACCACTTGACTCAAATCCGATATCAAAGTTACAATGAACACATGCGATGCCGGAGTTTGAACAGCTGTTGTCCAGAACCATTGACCTTCCTAACGGCGGCTATTAAGGCGGCACTTTTACTATTCCCAAGTCCTTTGCGGCGTCTATCGCCTGCTGGAAAATTTTCTTCTCTGAATCGGTGAAACCAATTAATTCCCGTCCCTCCAGGCACCCCTTGAAGCCTTCAAGCCAACTCCACGGATTATTGCCGTTGGTTACCTGGCCCTCGACCATATAATGTTCAAATTCCCAAACATTTCCCATCTGTAGCGTCGACTTCTTCTGGTCGGATATCCATCCGTTATACCATAAGGGAGACTGATCGCGGTCCATATGAAGTATCTGGTAAGAGCACACTTTCACGTCACGGTCAAAAGTAGAGATAGTTCGTCCGAGATGGGGATCCTCTTTCAGGATACCAATGCCATGGAATGAGTTGTATGCATGTTCGTCAAGCTTTATAGCGTTCTTCGTATTCTGATCTCCCGTGTATTGAAAGATTTTGGAGAGATTACCTGTAGAAGCCAAGGGACCAGTACTGAAGGAGTAGTCTGAACTTCCTGCAAGCTCCATGCCAAACCAGTAACTATCCTTGTCACCATAGAAAACATCATAAAACCCCTTGGTCGAGATACCTTCGGGGCTCCCATGTCTGTTTGGACCGTTAAGCCAGGCAATCAGAAACAGCGGTATGAAATGCTTCGACTTGTCGAACAAAACCACTCCGCTCTCTTGGTCCTCTCTCGTTACACCAAGTTCTTCGCTTAGTTTCAACTTCTTATCAACCTTGTCACTGAAGGGCTCTGGCATCGCTATTCGCACCCAATCATTACGACCATCGTTCTTGCTGTGGACCCGGTCATAGAAGAACAACGTGCCAGTTTCCACATACCCAGAATCGAGAAACAAAGATTCTGGATTCTTGAGAAAGCCGACGTCTGCATCGACTAGTATCACTTCTCGAAATGATGAAACTAGGACTGCAAACGGTTTCATATCGAATCCTTCGAGTTTCCATCCATTCCCAGTCTGTATCATGTGTTCCAAGTTCCGAGTTACAACACCAGAATAGGACTCAATCTTCTGTCGCATGTTGGGACTCAAATCCGAAGCACCGAGATACATGACCTCGATTGGCAAGGTACATCCTAACTTCCGTATAGTGATAATAGAAGTTAATATGAAGGACACTTGGTTATTCCCGGCCGTAAAGACTATTCCCCGTCCCCCGTTGTTCGTTTGGGTATACAATGAAAGATGGTCTGGAAAATACGGCGCTGTCCAAGGAAAAAGCTTTTGCCCCATATTCGTAACGAGTGATCTATATGCATCATATAGCTGAATAGTGTGTAGAACATGGGACTGGTTCATGCTAGCAGCGTCGGCTTGGCAGTGAAGGTACTCCACAACATCTTCCCGTGAGTAGAATGTGTGGTCAGCGAGTGAAATGTGTAGTTTAGCCCATGGCTCGAAAAGGTCGGAGTATTTGCGCGTCTGCACGGCCATATCATGCGTCAGCAATGCGCCAGTTGTATCCGCCTGTTTCAACAATTTATCCCATTGGTCGTCGGGTGGAAGATGCTTTGAAAGTGTTGAGAAGATCATGTTAGCGCCGATGGTCTGTCCGCTGTATTTCTTACAATATTCTTGGTTATTTATTGCATGAGACTGGCCCTGTGTTGAAGCCCGATATGGTGTGAAAGAGTTCAAAACGTAGAACATTACTGCCATTGTTATTGCTAAAGCCAAACATCCAATAATTGTGGCCTGTCGCATAGTCCGTACGCCAAAAATCTTAGCAGAAGTCCATGGCGGCGATAGGAAAGATGGCATTTCTGACATCATGGTTGGAAGTTTATCATATCCATGGAGAAAAAAGTTTGAATGCCATGTTTCACGAATCCTGGACGACCCTGTAGCCAGTATCAAATTTCTGCTCAACGATCCTTTTAAGAGAAAATGCAATAGAACACGGATAGCGCTTACAGTGAGTGAAGTCAATCATATCGATTTGCGTTCTGTTTTCCTGTATAAATATTTTGACCAAGGCCAATGGGAGAAACAAGCAGGGCTTCCTGACCGGGCGTACTTGCTCGGTATCCCTAAGCCATTCCTCTGCGGGAAGCGAAGCAATTCATTGCCAATGGAGAAAAAAGTGGTGGGAAAATGTAAGTTTCAAAGAGTAGATCAGGAGGATAGTTAAGATGTTTCTTGGCTTTAGGTTCATGCGGAAACGTGTGGGCCACAAGGAAACTTGAAAGGTTTTAACGCTCTTAGGGCTTGGTATAGCTGTATAGCTTCCCACCACTATTCTTAGGCGCGAGAAGCTGTCACCTCTAGCTCTAGTTCTTGGAGCATGATTCTCGTAAGTATAATCTGCTCGTCGCTCGCCACGTAGCCATTTGGCATTGCGTGTGCATGTTGATCTTGTACCTATAAATAACACCAAAAAAGGCCGCGTAATCCTCAATATAGTTAGTTCATTTGCGGATACGAGGATGTAAAAAAGACTCAAAATGCGACAGGCAGCGAGTTGGTATGTTCGAGACAAAAAAAAAAGCATGAATAGATGCATCAAAGAGAGAGACTTGCCAGCGTCGAGCGAACAAATGAGAGCAAACCAGCGCAAACAATGGACAGCTATTCCATGCTGACAGTGTCCAAAGAAATCTAGCTTGGGAATCAAGCTTTGCTTACTTTCGCCCGGGCTAGTGGTCTAGGGCGCCAAATAGCAGCCGAGCTAGAGACAACGTTGCTGCCTAGAATTAAATTAAGAGCAGCCTTTCTCGCCTTTCTTATGTGTCGATCGAGACAACCTAAATCGGAGTATTCTGTGTCTTTGATGCTTGCACACAACCGGACAGTTACGGTTGGCAGCTAAAACCGTATTCGGCTTCTATTTTCTGTTCCTAGCTGTTCCCATATTCCTGACCGTATCGCTTCTGGAAACATGTTCGCCAAATATGCCCATATAAGCCTCTTATTAGGTTCCAGCTTTCTAAGCCTTTCATCGTCCACACATTCGGCTGCGCGCACGGAGCCCTAAACTCGGCTTGCCGATGCCGAAACGCCAATCTTATTTGAGCAACAGTACAACAGATTGTTCGGTTTCACTGCACCTGAACCAAGTCATCATTTTTCGAGGGAATCAAGGTTTAATTAGCTCTGTGATTTTAACCCTGCCTATTGGAGACTACATCCTAGCAGTAGCGTCCATGTCCCTGCGATTTCTAGAGGGGACCTGCTGTCAGCATATTAATACTAGCCTCAATCTACTGGTCTGTGCAGATTCTGCTACCTAGTGCCAGCAGAGCCGTTCCTAGAATGATCAACTAAATACTGATCGCAACCAACGCTTCAGCTTTTTCTTTCGGGTTTGTTGGCGCTAGCTAGTCTCGCCGCGGCGAACTACTCGCAGCAGCAGCCTTTCCAATATGATCTTCACCTTGTCGGACAACAAGGACGCTCATGTCGGGTCTCTGTAATTCAAGCCACTTGTTAGGGGCAAAGGATTTTCTTCTAGATCCGTTCGCATATGACTATCTCAATGGCACGTTCCAGCGAGTCCGTGAAGCACCCGCAGAGCTACGAAGAGAGCACAGCACCACTGTCCTCGCACAGAATGCATTGTCTTCTTGACGAGGCTGACCATGCTCAGAAGCCTTTTTCCCTCCTGATTGCCGTCAGGATCACTCAGTACACTCTACACAGGCACCACACCACATGTGTTCAAATTTATCCATCAACCATTTGTCTCTATGCGAATGTCCGCCAGGAAGTCAACCGAGCTAAGCTAGGAGATGTTGCCCGCAGTCCAAATCGACCCATATAGACATCGCACATGGGAAGATAGTGATGTACAAGCCTTAGCCTTCACACTGGGGCTTACTCCAATGCGCGATATAGACAGCCAGAAACATCTGATCGAGGAAGGATCAGGTAGCCGTCGGCTAATAGCACACATGTTGCGACTATCGAGATACTAACTAGTGCATGTATCGTACCTAGTTCGCTTCGAGGGTGCCAAGGGTGCTGTACTTGTCCGAATGCTGTGGCTTGCCATCATCGACAGCTTACTGGTATTCCGTCGAATCTGGCGATGGCTGGCGGCACGTGAGCGGATTGCCCTAAAACATCAAGACATAGTCTAGTCATGCCATGCATAGAGTTCGCCCCCATCAGCGCAGCCCCAAGGACCACGTGTTTTTCAAGAGCTCCTGGAAGGGAAGCTCCGAGAAGGCTCGTGTCAGTATGTATACAGTCCCTTGGTAGCCAACTGTAGTTACCCACTCAGTTCAGAGTAAAAGAACCGACGTCCTTGGTGGAAAATCACGTGCGCGAGCATGGCCAAGCTTTCTCCGACAGCCAATCGTTCAGGCACGAGGTGAAGAAGGCGCTCCCGGTCCGGCATTTTGGGAAGGAGCCCACCGCCCAAGCTGGGCTGGGCACGCGCTAACGCCGCTTCAACCTCTGCGCTAAGCCTTAGCTGGTCTAGCGCACCCCCCGTAGCCGCTCGAGACGATCTGGAAGCCCCGCGCCCTTTGTGGGGCCTCTGCGCGCCAATCGCAGCGCTGGACGCCCTAACCGTCTTTGGCGTGTTCCTGCCAAACGCTGCGCTGAACCATGCAAGAATGCCCCTCCTCGCACGCTCAGGGAGCGCTGGTGGCTTTTTACGCTGTCTCCCATGCCCTCGGCCAAGGTGCTGTGCAAACAAAACAAGTGCCATAATGCCAAACACGAGCTGATTCGTGGCCGAGTGGCTTCTCTTGCCTTTTCTCTTCGTGTCCACATCTGCCTTGACTTGCAGCCATATATGGGGTGCGGTCCTTCGCTGCGCCGAGTGCAAGAGTCATGAGTAGTACAGTGACCACTCATGATTTCGAAGATTGGCCCGACTGGCCTCTCCGGGATACGCGATACATGAGTTGCGCTTCCACCGCCACGGAAGACTCTGAGGCCAGCCTCTTGTCCATCAGCAGATTCCAGCCACCACCCAGTCCGACCACCTCAGTCTCCCCCACGGTGAGTGACAAGGGAAAGAGTCCTGTCGCGCCCGCTGTCAATGTTGTGCGTCTACAGCTGAGTCCTCTGGTGACCATGTATGTTCTGCTCTTTCCGTCCGTCCAGGTCTTCCTCGGAGAGTGAGAAAATAATAACCCGCTGTGCGGCACAGATCGTTTGTTCGCAAGACTCGCCTGTTTCGTATGCAGTATTCCTTTATCGATATTGTAAAAGAACCTACTGGAGCCCTGAGACAATTGGTGCTGGGCGGCTCCAACGGATCCCACAGTACTTTTGTGCATGATTGTGAGTGCCAAAACGCAGGCAAAGATGACACAATGCAGATGGTGATGCTAACCATCAACAGTCACAGCCACTCGACTGCCGATCCCGCATCTAGAGTACCCGCGTCTTTCGGCAGACACTCCGCACCGCGTGTCGTTTCTCGACGAGCAGACCGTTCAGACCGCCAATACCACGTTCAACACACAACTAGCTTATACATTTGATCACTGGGATGGTGAGTCTACTTGTCAGGCCATAGAGAGCTTGGGAATAATATATCTAGAACTCATTATAGCTAACAAGCATTTCTATTAGATTGCGTGAGGTTTCAGGAACTACTCCTTTCTTCCCAGCTCGTCTTCATAGCCGGCATATCAGAGGCCAAGTCCAAGGGCCGTGGTGAGGAATGCATCAGCCAAAACCTGCGTCTACTGCGAGGACGTCATGATAGGTTCACTCTGTTGTTCTTTGCCAATTCACAACGCAAAGAAAGGAAGCGATACGTGTCGGTGCCCTGTGAGTGAATGCATGTCTTTGGTCTTTACGGATTACCTATCGAAACTAAACAAAATAACACGAACAGTGAATTGCATCGACCGAGTCGAGATACCCAAAAAGTCCAGCCGGCCGATTCTGCTGCACTTGCGGCCCAACTTTGAGATTCTAGCCGAGATGAAGGTGCTGCATTTTCACTTTCTAGATGACGATGGTAGGGAAACAAGCTGTTCGTATGATTGCGATCTAGGGCTGATTTACCATTTGACAGAACGAAGACGGTTTGGGGAGATCATGTCTCACCATATTGAACAATAGTAGTACTGTTGCGTTAGGGCTTGGATGGCGTTCGGGAGCGGTCTGGCATGCATCATGGCGTCTGTGTTGGGTGCTTTCTTTTGTTGCTTTTTTTCTTTTTCGTGCTGTCCTGTCCCTACAGAGACTAAATACCCATTTTGCGAGCTGCTTACGAGTACGGCATCTCACCGGAGAGTAATATGCAATAATAACAACAACCGTAGTCAATAAATACCGCGTGGTAGTAACCAAGTGCAGCAATTCCCCCGCCACATCCATGCCCATGCGTGGCAGATGCTCGGAAATTGCAGCATCACAGCATACGGAGACATGGACAGGCTAGCGCAGGGCGCAGGCTCTAGCGCGAGCCTGTGGGACATGCAAATAATGATTGTGATTGCGTCGACAAATGAGGGTTAGCCGGAGCACGTGCGGCCAGGCCGGCATCTGTTTTGCTCCATTTCGCCCACTCGTGCTATATCACTAGTATGAGCATGGCCCCATGCTCGTCTAGTATGTACGTGCCCTGGTTGGATCATTTGGCTTCGACTGCTATGCCATTATATAACTAGTCTTGGGTAGATTTTGCGTGGTATACCGGCTGTGGCGATTTGCTCTCCTTTCATATTCCTTCCTCAATACCATGTTTTAGACTGCTTGTCAATTAATTCAACACATCATGGGCCGTGTAACGCATCGGTGGTATAAAACCGATCGAGCCCGCGATTTCGACCATGAAACGGTACGTTCACAGCCTAGATGACTGATTGTCTACATACTAACGCAGAAAAGGACCGCTATGTGCGCATGCAGCAGATCTACCAGACCATCGATCGTCAAAGGTATCAATGGGTGGTGGTTCTCGTGGCTGGTGTCGGCTTTTTCCTGGATGGATATACAGTGAGCGTTCTCCGTCACCTGCTCACTCACTGAAGACGCATGGGCTGATCTCTCCCTCCTATCCAGCTGTTTGCTAGCAACATCGCGCTACCCATGATTGCGTACGTTTATTGGCAGGATGAGACCAGCTCGAGAAGGACGACGTTCATTAACATCGCCACACTGGCAGGCACATTTCTGGGCCAGATTACGTTCGGGTTTTTGGCGGATAGAAATGGCAGGAAAAAGATGTACGGGGCTGAATTGGTGCTGTTGATTGTGTCCACACTCGGCGTGACCATGGCCTCTACCGGTGCCAATAATAGCATGAGCATCTATGCCTGGTTGATTTGGTGGCGTATCATCACCGGCATTGGAGTTGGGGCTGATTACCCATTGAGCGCTGTGATTACGTCGGAGTAAGCTTCTATCGTTATATGAATACCTACATGCCAAACAGTACACTGACACGAACCAGATTCGCGCCGACAAAACACCGCGCTCGAATGTTGGCCTCGGTTTTCTTCATGCAGCCGCTGGGCCAGCTAGCCGGTAATCTGGTTGCCCTCATTGTCGTCGCCGTTACCAAAAACCACAACAACGAGGATTCAGTGCGGGCAGTGGATATCATGTGGCGATGGCTCATTGGTATTGGCGTTGTGCCTGGCGTGATAGCATCCTTGTTCCGGTTCGCCATTCCGGAGACTCCTCGCTATCTACTCGATATCGACAATGATCCCATCAAAGCCGAATTCGATGCTACAACTCTCTTCGGTACTGAAGAACAAACCGCCAACATTGACCTGGATCTCGACCGCCCCTGGGATGGCACCACGCTGCCCAAGTCATCGTCCTTCTCCTCGTACGCAAGTGGTGGCGCTGGCGGCTCCATTGACTCCGGAAGTATTGCGCCCAACACAGAATACACGCTGCACCCGCCCACGTTCCAGTCGCACTGGCGTAACGTCTGGGACGATGTGATATACTACTTTTGGAAGGAAGGCAACTGGCGTACTCTCCTCGGAACCTGCATCGCATGGATGCTCCTCGATTTTGGATTCTATGGCATCCAGCTCTCCAGTCCGCAGTTTCTGGCCAAAACCTGGGGCACGCTAAATCTGAACGGTCCTGCACCATCTTGGGAGACCACAGATAACCCAAATGAATCCATCTATACCATGTTCCTGTACACTTCGGTCGAGGCCATGGTCATCTTGAATGTCGGCAGCGTCGTTGGTGGCTTGCTGTTTATCGCTTTTGCGCCGAAAATTAATCGCGTCCATCTGCAGAAATATGGGTTTCTGGCCCTGGCTGCGTTGTTCATTGCAATGGGTGTGATGTTTATCACTGTCCACCGCGAGGGACCAGTAGCTATTGTGCTGTACGTCATTGGGCAGATGTTTTTTAATTTTGGTAAGCTTCTCTCAAATATCTTGATCTACCCATCTATCTATGTGCTCCATGATTCTAACGTATATAGGCCCCAACGCAACCACATACATGCTCCCTGCTGAACTCTACCCAACGCGCTACCGAGCAACATGTCACGGCTTGAGTGCGGCATCCGGCAAACTAGGCTCCATCCTCGTCGAACTGCTGACAGTCTACTACAATATCGGCAGCACATCAGCCGATGTGAGCAGCACAAGACGCTACGGCTGGATCCTGGTAGTGTTCAGCGCTGCTATGATTGTCGGGTCCATTGTGACACACTTCCTGATCCCGTCCGTGCAGCAGGGTAGGAGAGCCGGAAAGTGGAGCTGCAGTAGAGAGTGTTCAAGCTTCTGGTTTGATGAAAAGGAGAAAAGTTTGGAGAGCCTTGGGTTGGGAAGACTTGGTGAGAGCAGTAGGTATGCGGTACGAAGGACGAGATCGGTCCATCGATTACCTACGACTCCAAGGAGGTTCTTTGAGTGACCATTTTCTTAACTTTCCTTTTTTTCTACCTTCTTTACAGGGGTATAATTTCTTTGAATTATAATTCGTTGTATATATTGAAGCCTCGTTGAGGACTACATCACTAACTCTTTATTTTATTACTTTTTGCTCATTTAAAATATTAACGAGCACAATTCATATACTCTACGTAGCTAGTTGAACTTTTTGCCTTCATCTTACAGAGTGGCCATTTTTTTCAATCGACAAGCTCATTGGATTTTTTACAACCTAACGCTACAACAGCCAGGAAGGAGAAATTAGCAGCCGGACTCGGTGAGGGAGAGAGGTGGTGCAATGCCCGTACTGAGAAACAGCTGAATGTTGTCAGAATCAAGCTGGGCCCATCCACTGACGAGACCTGTAGGATCCTGTGGCAGGTAAGTCTAGGTGTCCGAGCTAGCTATTACATAGTAATTGTATATCTAGTAATGAATGGACGAAGACTATAAACAATTGAGACATTCAACAATTGAAAACTAGGATCTTTTTCCCCCTTGTTAAAAAGAAGGCAAAAAGAAAAAAGAGGCTAGGGCTAAACCACTAACTATCTATAACCCTAAGCCTCTCATTGCAAGGACCGACCTGTTTATCAATCTGATAATGAGCGAACCCTATTACACGACCATTTTCACTTTTAATTTGTTCCCCTCGATAATCTCGTCTTTTCGAGCAAACAACTCCGGCATGTCCCAAGTGACGCTGAGATAACGGCCATTGAGCCACTGCTGCTGCTCCTGAGTCAACCACGCAACAGTGTCAGCAGCCAATTCCGGCTTGTCTATCAGCGCCCCATGCATGTGATCCGGCATATTGGTGGCGAGTTCGGTAGGGACACCGCCGGGGTGAATGACAAATGCAACGACGCCTTTATCGCCGTATTCAGCTGCAATGAATTCAGTGAATCGTATCACAGCAAGTTTTGAGGACTGGTAAGCCGAAGCGCCAAAGAACGTTACATGAGCGCCGATGGAGCTGACGTTGACAATGGTTTTCAGGTCACTTTGCTGTATCAAAGGGAGGAATGCGCGGGTCATGAGATATGTTCCCTTGAGATTGATTTCCCATGTCTTCCACCACTCCATCGGGTCAGACTCGCTTACTTCCGTCCATTTTTCGAGATATCCCGCGTTGTTCAGGAGGATATCAAGTTTTCCGAACTTCTGTTGCACCTGGACGGCAGCCTCTGCAACCCCCTTGGGATCTGTCACGTCGAGATGCAGTTTCAGCACTTGCGGTGAGGTGCCTGCTGTCGCTGCTGCTGCAAGGATCTCCTTTTCGACCTCGTTTAGATTACTCCTTGCAGCGATGATGATGGCATGTGCACCAGCCTTGGCGAACGAAATGGCCGTGACTAGTCCAATACCCTTGGATGCGCCTGTTATGAGAACGACCCGTCCCTGGTGCGAGTATTTGGCGATAGCAGGGTAAGTGTCATGGTGATCAGAGGTGGTAAAGGCGTAAACTTTGGGGTCAGCCATTTTTTCCAGGCAAGTTTAGTGAATAACTGATGATTCTGTTCGACTGGTAGAGGCGCGAAACGTCCGGAGATAGAATCAGCGAAGGCAATGCTAGAGGAAATAAGAAATCTAGAATTTGAAGAAGAGCCCCCCATATTTATAGATTTCCATCGCCATCTGATACAGACATTCATAACCACCTTGCTGGTAGGTATTGCTCGGAGATACGCAACCGGCGATAGCATATATGCGTGCGGGCGGAGGCTTAAGCCTTAAGCATTCTGTAACCACACAATCGTTCCATCTCCGGGGGTATCGCTTTTCGGATCGTTCCAACTTCGGAGTTGTCGCCATTTCGGATTAATACGCTAGACATTTCGTTAGATATCTAGGTAGAATTTTCATTTTTTAGTCTGTGCATGAAAGAAAAACACGAGCCAACACATGAGAACAACTCATCATCATGACACAGACTTCTCCAGCCTTTCCCAATCATTTCAGAGTATTTTGATATGGGAGATATATGGAAACATAAAATAATTCTATTATTCCGATCCCCATTACCAAAGATATTTGCCAGCAAGACTCGTAAGATGTCAGAGGATTCATACATACAATGTCATACATACAATGTCTTGACATACATGGTACCGGTGCTGCAAATTGACGATATGGATTCATAGTATACGCCTTAAGGCCGGGATTATAGCTTTTTGGAGTAAAGAACTCTACTCTGTCTCGATTCTCTGTCTAAAAAGCACGCATAGTTAGCTAGGTCTGTTCAACGGATATAGAGGATTAAGCGTTGACCAACGTAGCACTACCGTTTCCTAACAGTCTAGGCGTCACAGACCTCTTAGCAAAGAGAGTATCCTCGCGAGTGACCATCATGGCACTCGTCAAAGTCAAGGTAAATACGGCATAGGTCGCCTCTATTCAGTACCTGGTCGAGTTTCACGCGGCGACTTGCAAAATGAGGTTGCATGCCATAACCTCCTAGAGATATATTCAGCCCTGCATTGGCCTCGGCTATCCACATCCGAATACTCAGTCCCGACTCCTATTTTCTAGACATAAGTAGCATCTCCCAATGTTGAGGCTTATTTTTAACCGCACTAGTCCCGATTAAGCTGAGGCGACAGCGATTGGCTGATGCTATCAGTAGTTGGCGGTCTGTCATTGGCCGGTTCGCTTTATGACATCATATCTTCGTAAGCTATTCCTATCTTGGACCACGCTTGCCGTATTAGGAAAGGCCCGCGTGTGCCTTTTCATACCCTAATTTCTCCTCGCGATTGGCTTTTTGGGCATTTTGCCCATAACAACACCGACATTTTCCAGTCAATTCCACTTTTCAGCACGCAAAATTGTCTATGTCGCCTTTTATATGCCTTGGCGCCCCATATCGCGTCTACTTAATTCGTGTATAATGTGGCTCTGTCGTTTTCTGATTGGGTTGCTTGAGAGTCTGGCCATAAGAACGGACTCATAGTGCTGCATCGGTGAAACAAGCCGTGGGAAGGGAATGGTAGATACAGAGTTTATAGTCTAAATATAAGTCAAGTAGTCTTTTTGGCGCGCGCAGGGATTATTAATAAGTAGTTGGCTGATTCCTGTTCATTCTTCTAAGTCTGATTCTTTCCTTGCTACTCCTTCGTTCTGAGGTTTCAGTCCTATTACGATCAAGACCGTCACGATTTGTCTTTCCTTCTCTCAACATAGTATACATTCGCTAAAGATAACCTGCGTTCCTGTCTTTCACTTTTTTTTCTCGACAACTCTGGCAAAGAATCCCAGTACCCCTTCTCTTCTCATTTCCTTTTCATTTTCCTCGTACGAAGGTATCAAATCTATCAACTACAAGGTATCTACAATCTCAAAGCCTCTAAGCAAAAGCAAATAGTGTTACTCACAAATTCCTTTTTTTGCAGCCGCTCGCTCGAGATATCAACCTCTCACTAAACTTCTCTGTTCAAAGTATTGTATAAACAAAGACAAGAGCGAAATACGCGAATAGGAACAACAGAAAAGAAACACGCCCTTCATACTCAACAAGAACACTCACAACAACCGCCAAAATGTCGAACATCGGAGGCCTCAGCGAAGGCATGATCAATTTGATCGTGTTCCTGGTCATTATAGGAGCCGGATTCATGGCCGCTATGGGCTGGGGTTTTGCTCGTTTGTTCAATGCTGGGGGGATGGAGGGCATCAACCCACACGAACCTGGGCAAGATCAGTTAAACTATATGCGGCAGGTACGATACCGGACCAGACTAGGCATGTTTGTTGCTGGTCAAGAGGCAATGAAGGCGCACAGAGATTCTAGGGCGACGGAGGAGGGTTCTATGGTCTAGCAGTGATCGTCGGAGGCTGATGCGATTTAATTGCTGAAGTGGACTTGTTGAGGATACTGTCAAATACCCTGGCAATGCTTATTGTGGCAAACCTCCTGGGTAATATGAGTACGTTATTTTGATCATCCTTGAGCCGGTGATCACATTTATTTGGCATCGATCCTATCTGCGCTGAGGATCAAATTCTACTACATCGTGGTGTTTCGGGAGTTATGTTGGGAGAACCACCGGATATCAGGGCTATATGACATTGGGGGATAAACTTATCGACTTGTTAAATTTGTATTCAACCAGACATACCAAAATTTTGAATGGTACTATTCATGTAGTATACTACTTATACAAGAAGCATATGTAAACAGCTATATAAAGCATTCTCTTGAAGTCGACGGCGTTTACAAACATGGTTACTTGAGTTATCAAATCTACACGCAGATTAATGTAGCTCTTGCAGTTCTTGTATAAATTCTCCTTCTTTGAAACCTTTTTATATTAGAATGTTAGAATGTAGATGCCATCTATACCGATTTCAACCAATTATCGGACGGTATTTGGTGTTTCACCGCCTTCATACCAATCTCCACCAAGACCATTTTCTGCCGCTAGAAGTTTCTCGACTCGCAGGTCGTAATTTTTCGAAGACGATGCGCCAATTTACCACAATTGTATATTGAGAGGCTCATTCTGAGCTTTATGAAAGCACAATGTCTCTATATTATGATGCATCGACACTTCTGAGCTCTTCTTCAACTCAGGGCGGATCGTTCAAATCGCGCATTTACAATTCCAAATCACTGAAAGCTTCCCCTGCGCAGATATATGCCCTTGTCACAGAGGCTTCAAAATGGGACATACTACTCAGGGAGGTCATTGAAAACGCCGGTGTGCTCCTATTAGAGCCAAAGGTATGAGCGAGCATGAAAATTCAATGCTCTTTTGGAAGGATGCTAACTAACACGAAAGAGGGACGTCTCCTGATAGTTAACGCCCTTATTATGGTTATTACTTGTTCATGACCATCTGCTCAGCAAAAATGGAATTGCCGCACCTGCATCACATCCCCTTCGTCAAGCGGTTGAAAGGCATAAAGCTCGGTTGAAAGCGGAACTCACGAAATCGCGGGTGCGCCGCGGTTGTGCCTCTATCCAAGATCTACAAGCTGCCGTTTTATCAGAAAAGAAAGCACTGCTTGGTCCGGAAGGGATAACGGAAAGTATGTACCCTCGTTGGGTGCGTATCAATAACATAAAGAGCACGCTCAAGGGGCAGATGGAGGCTACCTTTTCAGACCACTGCAAAGTGGACGACCTAAGTGAACTGAAAAGTGCGAAGCAAATTTATGTCGATCATCACATACCTGATTTGGTAGCTCTCGCGGCAGGCAGCGTCGACTTCTCGTCATCAAAGGCATACAAGGATGGAGAAATCATACTGCAGGACAAAGCATCCTGTTTCCCTGCCTACCTACTTTTGGGCGATGCAAATGGGACATGGGAGGGCGGAGATCTAGTCGATGGTTGCGCTGCTCCTGGAAATAAAACTACGCATCTAGCTTCTCTTCTCGCAGCACGACAAAACTTGTTGCGCTCCAAGAAGCAGCATGGCAGGTCTAAGATAATTTCAATGGATGCATCGGCTGTCCGTTCAAAAACCCTTCAAAAGATGGTTTCTGTTGCTGGAGCAGATAAGCTAGTCAATGTCCTCGCAGGGCAGGATTTTCTAGCTTTAGACCCAGAGGATGAACGATTTGAAGGTGTGACGGGCTTACTTCTTGATCCAAGTTGTTCAGGCAGTGGCATTATCGGTCGTGATGACGTGCCCAAGTTGGTTCTTCCGGGACAAGATAAACAGCCTAAATCCACGAACAGAGGCACCAAGCGCAAACGGCCTGCAGAGAACGATGCTGCCAAGCCAAGTCAGAAGCAAAATGAAGCCCAAAATAAAGACAGCATGGATTCAGAACGCTTACTTAAGCTGTCTAATCTTCAAACACATATCGTGGAACATGCGCTCAAATTCCCAGCCGCTTCTAAGGTTACGTATAGTACCTGCTCAATCCACATGCTCGAGAATGAATGCGTAGTTGAAAGGGTCCTCGCGTCTGAGATTGCGAGAAAGAGAGGCTGGAGAATTATGCGTCGCCATGAACAACCAGAAGGTTTACAGAAGTGGAGACATCGAGGGATCAGTGTTGACCCCGGTAGCAAATCAGCTGGTGGTGAACGGAAAAGTGGTATAAGTGTGAATTTGACAGATGAACAGTTGGATGCTTGTCTGCGGTGCTGGCCAGGTGATGAAGAGTGTACCGGAGGCTTTTTTGTTGCTGGTTTTGTACGAGATGAAGCTCTGGCAGAAGGGCCATTGGACTTGGAAGGAAAAAGGGCTCTGGATCATGACAAGGGACGCGATAATGAAAGCGAGTCTGACTGGGAAGGATTCTCAGACTAGAGTGCCATTCATTGGACGCAGAGGCAATATTAATACTGCCATGTCTAGCCACGTATTGAAGATATCCCGTCTCAAATCCCGACTAGCCCTAACCACCGAGTCCTAACTAAACTTTCTCTTCTTCTCAACTCGTAATAGATACTCCCTCTGTCAAAGCAGCGTGGTGTATATGAAACATGCGAGTATAAAAGAGATGGTGATCGACAAAGAACCTTCTGAAAGCCGTGCATGACAAAAATATTACACTCGTTTCCTTTTCTCACTTCCAAGGTTGTCATAAGTTGAGAGTGCTTTGTGGGCAAATTCGGCATTTTGTCCTTTTGTTGAAGTCATCAAAAAATCCCCGAATGATCATTGTTCGTCCGGTAAAGCGAACATTAGAGAATGAATTTAGCTTCATTGATTCGTACACGAAGTAGAAAGGCATTCCCTTTGAATATACCGAGATTCGAAGGCTCGGAATCATTTTGGAAAGAAATATAAATAGTATCTATATAATAAGATAGCCACCCTCACCGTATTTCGGCATCAATATCATTGTTGACTATCCCAAAAGGGTAATAAAGACTACGCATGGAATGAGACAAAATAACAAATAATCCTGCTTTTGTTCTAATTTGAGAAAATCGGACATGGACGCATTTTTTCGACATTCATCGACTTATAAGTATGGCTCATTGCGGCAACATGCAGTCAGGATGTGATGCGATACATAAAATAATTGTCCATTATAAACTGCACAAAGAGAACATATAAAATGTCGTGTCATTCTTAAGTTAATATATACAAGAAGTGCATATAATTCGCCGGTTGCGTTCTCACTTTCTGCTTTCCGAATATAGATCCAAAGCAGTCTCGTCGAAACAAAAGGGCACCCAGGTACATGAAAATTGTTTTGACTGCGCTTCCTTTGGTTTTGCCTTCTATGAGTTTCCTAATAAACAAGGTGGCTGCAGTCATGAAAAGGGATTCATATCAAAAATCGAGCCAAAGACGTTTCCCGAATCTTTTTGACCGGCTCTCTCACTCTTCGCATACAACCATGTCGAAACTCACACCAAGCGAGATTAAGGAACTGGCTTCCTGCTTACGTCTCAGGGTAGACTCACCAGGTGCGGATTGCTCACGAGTCCGCTACGCCATCGATCACATTCCTCATCATCTCCGCGCGTCGAAAATGATCAATCTCTTTGTCAAAGCTGGTCTATTCAATAAGTTGTGCTGCGTCCACGAAGGCTTGGATTCAAGTACTGTCTCGTCAATATTTGACTCCTTGCGAGCAGAGGTAATAGACTCAGTCCAGTCTCTGAGACAATATGCATATCTGCTTGGGCCAGATGAGAATATGGCCCTGGACCGTACCGCAGGTATCGAGGGAATGTGGAGGGAGTCCATAGACAAAGATCGATCCACACATTCTATGCACTGGAAATATCAAGCCGATCAATGCCAGGCCTGCATGCTTTCCAGGGTCGCCTCAAAGCCGGCGGTGCTACGAGAATTGCGAACCCTAATTTTGGGAAAAGTGACAAGCACAGGCAGTACGATTCTGATTCTTTCATTCATTAATGAATGGATCATGCTTACGGATCAAAAGGATGAGTTGTTCTACTTGTCTGGACAACGGGCTGCTGTTATCAAAAATGCGAAGCAGGAATGGAGGAAAATGAAGGCTATGACGGAACACCACAATACACAGCAACAGCGTGTTAGCTCTCATAAGGCTCACATTCTCACCGAAAGGATACTTGAAAATTCCAAGCCGCGTCCTTCTGTGGCATCATTATCTCGCCCACCTAGTCGAAATGCTCACGAGTTTGCGGAAATTGAATCTATTCTGCGAAGTTACGGGTCGGACATAGAGACAGATGCCTCTCATCTACCTCCTTCTGAAGAAAGCTATTCGTCTTCGACTATCAGTGACTACTCCCATGGTGACAGCATGACGACGATGAACAGTTTGCATAATGAAGGAAATATTTCCGATCATTTTCATCCAGATGGTGCTCTATCATACTGTATGCATGGCCCCTGGCCATCCACAGAAGGATTGCAAGATCCGCGTCCCCGAGTCTCAGTCACTCCTGACTCATCAGCGGGGACACTTGTTACATCGTTTGTAACATACCCCGAGTTCCACGGATTGCACAGGTCTTCAGAGTCAGAGGCTGAGTTGCCTAACAGACTCACCATTCCTCCGCTTCGCTCACACTCTCCCTTTGCTGTTCCACATCTTATTCCTTCACGCCGTCCGTCTATGTCTTCTCCATATCGTTCTGTACCAGGATTGAATACTACTGCCCAGGATAGACAGTGGCCAGAGTCACGATGAGAGACTGGTCGACGACTTGTGAGGTGGGCATGATAGGCCGTTGAGGGAAAAAGAAGCTATGAACCCATTTTCAGTGGATCGAGATATGAAAATGGCGAAACAATGGGACCTCCAAGGATTTCCAGGGACTATTTCTATGTTTTTAGATGAGTTGTATATAAGAATCCAGTTTTAAGTGTTCAGAACAAAGTACCTCATCATCTACACTATCCAAGCCACATATCATCGATAATCCTTTGGGATGATATTTTTCATCAGCTCGTGACTCTTGCTGTAGTCAATCCTCACATCAACAACAGCTACACCCTGGAACTCGAGTGCCTCCTTCATAACACTCTTCAACTCCCCAGTCGTAGTAACCCTATATCCCTTCGCGCCTTCAAATGCCTCTGCGAACTTGACAAAATCGATGCCTCCCAGCTTGATTCCCGAGCTACGGCCATATTTGGCTTCCTCCTGGAATTCAACCATATTATACGCCGAATCGTTCCAAATGAAATGCGTGATGTTGCACTTTTGTTGCACCGCTGTGGCCAGTTCCTGGGAGCTGAACATAAATCCGCCATCCCCGCTAATGCTAACGACCTTTTTTGAACATGGTTTTGGTTCTTGCGTTAGACTCGCTGCGATTGCCCACGGGAGACCGACGCCGAGTGTCTGTTGGCCATTGGAGCAGAGCAAGTGGCGTGGTGAGTAAATCTGGAAGTACCGCATCATGTATATGTAAACAGTGCCAACATCAACAGCAACAACGGTATCCTTGGGAAGATAATGGCGCAATTGGTAGACGAAATGGGTTGGCTGCACTGGTCCATCTAATATGATATTTGCTGTCGCAGTTGACTGCCACTTGTCAATCTCCTGACGAATATTCTCCAGCGCATCCTCCGCACCAGACCAGAACTTGGGCTTGAAAGCTTGAATGCTAGAGGCCATTTCGTCGATAATATCTGCAGGATTACCAACGAGCTCAACCTGCGGCATGTAATGCTGCGATACCCTGGCATCGGTATAATCGACGTGGATAATATTATGGATGGTGGTTGGATTGTCTACGTTCCATGTTTCTGCGTCATATTCGTAGGGATCGTAGCCCACGGTGATAATGAGGTCGGCTCTAGCTAGTATTTTATCGCCCGGCTGGTTTCTGAACAGTCCTACGCGACCGTAATAGCGATTCAGGAGATCCTCGCTGATTGCGCCTGCGGCCTGAAACGTCTCAACAACCGGCAGTGTGTGGTTCATGATCATTCGGCGGACCGCATGCACAACAGATGGATCCGCTGATCTCATACCTAGCAAGATGACTGGGTATTTGGAACCCAAGAGCTTGTCGACTGCAATCTTGCCGAGTTTCGCATTGCTTGATCCGTAGCCGGGAGACTCGAAGCTAAGCGCAGGGAATGGAGGGACCCCGACTGAAGTACTCTTGATAATATCCATGGGCAAAGCCACCGCAGTTGCACCCTGTGGGAATCTCCGTGCCTGGCGAAAGGCATTTGCAATGACCTCGCTCACTTGATCTTCGACTCCCACTTGGATCACTGACTTGCACACGCCTTCTAAAACCTTGTTCACATCGAGAGACTGGTGGGTATGCCGGGCTGCTTGCAATCGCGATACTGTGCCTGCAATTGCAAGGACTGGATCTCCCTCGGTTGTTGCTGTGGCCAGTCCAGTGACAAGATTACTTGTTCCAGGCCCCGAAGTGACCAAACAGACGCCTGGCAGACCAGTCAATCGGCCGACTGCTGCGGCCATGAAAGCGGCATTTTGTTCGTGGCGACAAACTATGAGCTTGATGCTGGGATGGTCTCTCAGCGCGTCGAATACCCCATCCACCTTGGCTCCGGGGATGCCAAAGACGATCTTGACGCCGGCGTTGGCCAGCGAATCGACGATCACGTGGGCCAAGTTGCGATTCGACATAGTTTCTGCTGGGAATACTAGATATATGTCACAGTAGAGAATATGCCCAGGAAGAATGATCACCACGTCTTTGAGGCGGCTGGCTTGGTTAGGTACTAGTGGCGCGGTAATTGCGTACAAGGGCCATTTTTGCACAAAATTTGCAATGACACTCGGCATAGATTATTCGATTCTCTGATAGCATAGGATTATACGCCTACTTCTATGCCTTTGTCCGTTTTCTATCTAGGTAGGCTTTTGATCGATATACGCCTCGTAATTGCAAATGCAAAGAAATTGTCGAACAAACAGGGCGTATTTTTGCTTGTAATTACAGTACCGTGTTTGCTGCCAGAAACGTGGGGTATCAACTTTCCGGTGACGTATGCGCTGCGCCGTCAATTCCGGGCGGTTGAGAGCCGATAACTATTCATTGCTCTGATAAGAATGAATGAAAGGCGCGCGCATGCTACATACTTACGCACCTACGATTTGACCACAATGCCGGACAGGATCTATCAATACTCGACGGCGTCTGCGCTCATGGCAGGGGTTGCGTCAAGAGGCATCCGGCTGTCAGAACTACTCTCTCACGGCACTCATGGACTGGGAACAATGGCATCCATCAACGGCGAGGTTGTCATGCTCGACTCTAAAACTTACCACTTGCAATCCACCGGCGCTGTGCGACTGGTCCAGGAGCACGAAGAGCTCCCCTTCGCCATGGTCACGTCGTTCAGGGAATGCAACACGCGAAAACAGTCGGCGTTTCCCAACCTTCCCGGTAAACAGGCTATCCTCCAGTATCTACAGAAGCTATACGGCAACATCAACAACCGGTTCGCGTTTTTCCTCATCCCGCGCATCTCTCTTGACACGATCACGGCCCGCGTGGTTCGCGGTCAGCAGTATCCCTTCCAGCCGCTGTCGGAACTTGGAGAGGCACAGAAGGTGACTACGTACCAGTCGGTGACGGGTTGCATTGTCGGATTTTGGTCGCCTGGGTACATGCACGGGGTGTCGGTGAGTGGGTTACACATGCATTTCTTGTCGGAGGATAGATCGTACGGAGGACATGTGTTGGAGCTGGAGTCCGGGTGCGAGTTCGTTCTGGAGGCCGCGCTGCTGAATCAGTTTGATCTAGAGCTTCCTGAAGACGAGGCCTTTGGCGGCACAAAGCTGGAGGCCGGTGGAGAGGCGCTGAAGAAAGTCGAGGGCTGAATTTTGAATCCGTTTCAGTATTTATCTCTCTCTCTCTCTCTCTCTCTCTCCGTGTAACTAGCCATGTAGGGGCGTAAGGGCGTAAGGCGCTGTTATCGCGGGCCGCTATTCCCGATCGGGACGTGGGTCCTTATCAAGGGCTTCACCGACTCCGATAATCGCTGCGGATGTTTTTTGTCTTTTGACTCACCGTTCCGTGCTCAAATCACAGTTGAATAGTAACAATATACAGCCACCCGCTGCTGTTGTTGCTCGGACGCAATGTCCTCCTCTCTGCCTGGCAGTCGGGAACTTCCCCGATCCCAGTATGACCTGAACACCTACTGGGGTCGTGTGCGCGAGTGTGCGGGCATTTCTGATCCACGGTCAGTCTTCGAGTCCATTGAATTGCAATTGAAGAGAGCAAACTCAGAAAACTAAATAACCAATTCCATAGAATGCTGTTTACCTCCTCATCCGGGCTGGAAAATGCAAAGAAGTTGATTGTTTCGTACAAGAACGGCGAAACAAAAGAAATGACCTCCGAGCTGTGGCGCGCAAAGCAGGTTGTCGATTCAACATTGCACCCTGGTATGGTTTATTCCTCTCGCGAGAAGATACACAATACACACTGGTCTTTGCGGCTATTCATGTTAACACAATCAACCACACAGATACCGGCCAACCAGTCTTTCTCCCATTCCGAATGTCTTCGTTTGTTCTCTCCAACCTCGTCGTCACAGCAGGCATGCTCACGCCTGGTCTGCAGGTACGAATTGACACTGGCCCAATATCTTGTCTAGTTCTCAATTGCTCATTGCAACTTAACACAAACAGACCACTGGCACCCTCCTTTGGCAAATCGCCAATCAATCCCTCAACGTAGCCATCAACTCATCCAACGCCAACAAATCAACCCCCCTCACAACCTCCATGCTAGCCAAATCCTACTGTCTCGCGGTCTCGGCATCCTGCTCCGTAGCCCTAGGGCTCAACGCCATCGTCCCCCGCCTCAAGAACGTAACCCCAAACACCAAACTCATTCTCAGTCGCCTTGTCCCTTTCGCAGCCGTATCCAGCGCCACTGCGCTCAACGTGTTCCTCATGCGCAGCGAAGAAATCCGCCGCGGCATCGACGTCTACCCCGTGCTCTCCGAGGAGGAAAAACGGAAACGCGAAGCCACCGGCGAGCCCATTGAAAGTCTCGGCAAGAGCAAAATCGCGGCCAAAATCGCCGTCGGCGAAACGGCCGTTAGCCGTGTTCTGAACGCAACCCCCATCATGGTTCTGCCGCCTTTGATTCTCGTCAGGCTCGAGAAGATGCAGTGGCTCATGTCGAGACCGAGACTCGTTTTGCCCGTGAATCTGGGCTTGATTCTGACCACGTCTATCTTTGCGTTGCCCTTGGCGCTGGGCGCTTTCCCCTCTCGCCAGGCTATCAATGTGAAGAATTTGGAGGAGGAATTCTGGGATAAGGGCGGAGAGAGTGGGAATGTAGAATTCAATCGGGGGATGTAGACTGACATGTTGATGCATCTTATATATAGCCGGGTGGTTTTTGGGAGTTGTAAAGATTAAACATTTGATAGATCGATCTTTTTCTTCTTTTTTTTCCTTCAATTTTCATTATTGAAAAGATACGCTTGTCTACAAATTTTATTTAAAAAGCTGTCAAATGCATGATATGATCACTGTCCCATAATAAATCATTGCGACTAAATACATCCCGATTTCAATCATCCGTTAAATATAGCAGCAATCCGTGAACGTAACACCACGAAAAGCGACAGAAAACAAGAAAAAGGCCGTCATCAGAAACCTCCGAGTATATAACAGATAATCACTCAAGTATATCGAGACATATACCTACCTCATCAATCAGCCGATAGATAGTGATAGGTAAAGCGGCCCCATTGTGAGCTAGTACGGTAGGCAAAAAATAATAGGCTCCGAGACTCCTGCGATAAGTTTTTTCTTTTCTTTCAGCACTTGTCCAGCACTTACTCAAAAAAAAAAAAAAGGCCCACTCCCAATTGATATCTCTCATGCGTTATAGACAGAGACGCCCTCAACACCGTCACCATAAAATTATACCCTTTTGTCCGACAAATTCGCCATTTAATTTACTTTTTGCTGGCGACCCGAGTATTTCAACTATACATATGTATAAGTGGTTAAGATCTTAGGATCCCATCAGAGTAAACGAGAATGGAGTTTGGCAAGCCGTACAGCTTCAGTTCCATCATCAACTATAGTCTCCTTGAACCACGGATGCTTGAGGGCTTGTTTAGCCGTCAGCCGTTGTTTGGGATCGTAGACGAAGATCTTTTGCAGTAGATCTAGGAATTGCTTGTTGAATGCATGATTTTGGGGAATAAATTCCTACATTGTGTTAGCAATTGTTACGGTGTTGATAAGAATTAGTGCAAGTACTCACATGCAATTGCTTCATTGCTCTCACGTATTTGCGAGAAGGTCGTGTCGTCTCTTCATTCGGATAGTCGAGCTTGTTCCGGTTGAAATACCTGTTGATATGTATCAATATGTGCACTGCGAGCAGGACGAGCAAAAAATAAACATACTTTGCAGCCTGGTTTTGACTGTTTCCCCGACCTTGCATCACCTGCTTCACCATTTTTGAATCGATTCTGCTCCCAATCACGCTCTCCATCATTGCAAGGTGTTCGAGGTTATCATGAGTCTGGAACAGTGCATCTCCCGTGAAAAACTCCACAAGAATGCAACCGATACTCCAGATATCGCATGGAAAGCTCCATCCCAGATTCAAAATGATTTCCGGCGCTCGGTAATGACGAGTCGAAACGACAGACGAATGATATTCGTCATCAAAGGTTGCCGAGCCAAAGTCAATCAATCGAATCTCACTGTCCAGCAGTACGCGACGGTGGCGAGCATTGCGTGACGTTGTATGGGAGGATGAGGGAATAGTGCGGTTGTAGGTGAATGTCTGGTAGTTGTTGCTCACGAGAAGGATATTCTCCGGCTTGAGGTCGGTGTGAATAAGATTGAGGTCATGTAGGACTGTGCAAGGGTTAGTAAGTATAATAATAGTTTTCCAGGAAAGAGATACTGACAGGCTACACTGGTGAATAGCTGGCGAGCAAAATTCTGAATTTGGCTGCTGGGAAACGGGACAAAAGAATTGCTTTTCAAAAAATCGAACACACTTTGCCCTAGGAGGTCTGTGACGATGCAAATGTGGTTTCGGAAGTCAAAGCAATCTCGCAAGTGAATGCACTTATTTCGATTCGTCTTATCATTGGACGCCAGAGTAGACAATACTCGTAGCTCGATTTTCGATGCGTCACGATATTTTTGTACTGAACGAATTATTTTAACTGCACATCGTGTCTTGCGTTGTTTGTCATATGCTTCCACGACCTTGCCAAAGGTGCCTTGACCGAGCAACCGTATAATGGAATCTGATCATTCTTCGTCAGTAATATCTCTGCGAGACCCGTGAGAAATAATCTTACATCGATCCGTCAGCGGCGTTTCCGCTTGGACTATATAGTGGCCGTCTTCGTCATCCACCTTTTCGTGTCTCGAGTATGAGTACTGGAAAGAAGAAAAAAAAAAATTAGTCAACCATCTGAATTTGGCAAGGATGAGTGAATGGTTCTCACATCACGAATGACTGGCACGGGAACATCCTTGGCCTTGATCGGAGGCTGGGGTGGTGGAATATAGCTGAGGAAAGCATCGCTAACAGCCTCGAGTTCCCGACGTTTGGCCTCTTGCCGAGTCGAGGTCCTCGTATTGCGCTTCCGCTTCTGGCCAATGTTTGCATCTTCGTAGTGAACGCCGTTGTTCGTCCCTACACTGCCGGCCGACCCAAGCGAGGTTGGAGCGGTGGTGTGCAAAGATGTAGTGCGATCAGTCGACAGCGAATTGTGAGAAGAGTTCTCCCAATACGGCTGTGGGTTCGTCGAGAAAGACGGTCGGTCGTGGTAGGTCACGTCGTAGGCAGACTGCAGTCCTGTTCGTCTCTTCTTCCCAGCAGGCTGGCCATTGACAGCAGCCGCTGCGGTTGAACGAGCACCGGCGGCTTGATCCGGGGGCGGCGTGTCATCGATGATGATGATTTCCTTGGGCAGCCCGTTCTTATAAAACTCCTTCCAATCGGGCTTCCGGCGGCGGCTCGAAGTGCCGGACGACATTGAAGCGCTGTTGGCAGTATTTGGGAGTGCTGAAACGGAGTTCGCGGGGGCTGGTGCGGTTTGGGGGGGAACAGGCGGAAGGGGGTGAGCCTCTGTGGTGGTGGTGGTGGTGGTGGTTGCAGTGGGAGTATTGGCGGAAAAGGCGTAGTTGTTTGCTAGACGAGCAGATCCAGCGGCCGTACTCGCGGGATAGGCACTACTTGTCTGATATGCCAGTGGATGGTGGGAGTAGCCATAATGCGGATGGTGCGAAGGGTGCGTTGCGGTGGCCGTGGAGGGAGTCGACATGGTGAAAGAATATCGTCGTAATGGCGGGCGCACGGGAAGGGCGATGCAGGGGAATTCTCGTCCTGGGCTGGCAGCAGGCTCTCTCCAGACTCTCTTCGATGGGCGTTCGTTTCACGCAACAAGAAGCATCTGGACCGAGGCGACGACGAGCTGCGTGCGTTGAAGAGCGTGGAGGAATGGCTGTGCTGAGCTGCGCTGCGTACCGGAAATACGACGAGACGATGATCGGAGCGGGCGGGCTAGGGGGGCAACAGATGCAGTGTCCACGAGGAATCGTGGGCTCACGAAAGAAAGAGTATATAGATGGCCATTGCCTGCAGGAAGGGAATCACTGAGATGATCGGACGGTGAGGAGGGCGAAGCGCCGCTGTTGGCGGGCGAAGAACACGACCAGAGCGTCGCCGGCCGGAATAACGATTATCACTCGGTTCGAGCATTCCAGCGACGTTACCTTGCTCGCTGGCCCAGACTGCGCTACGACGGCCTCGTATTCAGCATTTACTGTCTACTATTTGCCTCTGGGCCTTTGCCGTCTGCATCTGGCATTTCGCCGTTGCTGGCGGAGTAGTTATACACCAGAGAGACTGACAAAAATTGTGCCGGTGGCGACGTCACCCTCTGTGAGTGTGCCGAGTCTCGTCTCGACGCTTCCCTCCACCACAGCCAACTTATCAATAGATAGTAGTCCTGGTAGATATGTACTTGTATTTCTGTGGATGAATGCATTCTCTAGAAGAATAGAAAAGGTGTGCAGAAAGAAAAATGCATCCAGAGGATTGACGCTAGCCCTCGTATAGATAGACAGATCATGGTTAAGGGGATAAATCGATAATAAATGGTTAAATGGCCATGGTGATACAGCAAGCGAACAAAAGAGAATCGCGCGCGTGTGTAGAAAATAAAAAGTATTACTATCCTGCGTGCTTACGAGAGCCGCTCTTCTTGCAGGTCCTTGCTGTAAGCTTTTTGAATGTGCCTCGAGCCTCCGCCATCCTGCTCGAGCATAAACAGTATGTCTCGCACTTGGATCCCCGCCGCCCGATCTTCGCGCCAGTCTCCTAGTCGAGATGCTACTGCGGTGGTTGCGCCGTCGCTTCGTTTTTTCTGATTCCTATCAACCCCGCCGCCAGCTCCTCCGAGGCTGCTGCCAAGGGCAGGCGAGAGAGGCCGAGGCGATGAGACGCTGTTCAAACCAGAACCCTTGTTCAACCACGCGTAATTTCGCTTCTTGGACCCTGGGAACAGTGTACTGGACAACGCTTTACGCGCCGTCTCCACAGACTGTTGGTGCTGCTGAGCTTCACTCGCCCGGGCATCCAACTGTTTCTTGGCTTCTTTCTTCGTTACTCCCTTTCCAAGTCCCAAAGCTGCCTGCGACGTGGGCGTTGCCACACCAGAACCTAAATCAAGCGAAGGTGTCCTGCTGCCGGAATTGGTCTCGTTGATGATAGCGTTGGCGTTGCGTTTCGCTCGTTTGGCGGCACGGGCTTGTTCATCAGACATATCCTTAGTGGACAAAACAAGGTACCTGTCGGCCAACGGTTTGGAGAGTGTGTTATCGATTGCAGAATGGGGTCCTGGAGAATCATGAGCATTCAAGAACAGGCTTTTCCATTGATCAGTATCAAAGATGTCTTCCTTACGTTTGAATGATGGATCAGTAATAGCCCCCGAACCTGAGTTGGCAGCGGTTAAATCTTGCCATTCCGCAGGAACAACCCCATGAGAGTGCAAGCGCCGACTCTTTGATAGACTGGCAGAGTATTCGACAACGCCTCTCAACCGTTCCTCACAGCAGAGCGACATGAGTGAAATAATATCAACAAGAGGCGCTCCCTCTTGATTGATTATAGTGTGTCCCCTCCGAACGATAGAGGACCCGTCAGGGCCTGTCACTTCTATCGGTTGTCGTGATCCCGGCATGGGATGATATAGACCTTCGGTGGGAAGCCGGACACCCAGTTCGTAAGCCCGTTTCTGCATTTTTTGCTCGAGTACTTTTGTAAGCAAAAAGGGGTCTTGTAAATGGTATTGAGATCTCCTTGCTGCTCGTGTTTCCTCGTATGTCGGCTGGTTATAGGGCGCATCCTCAGAATATGGAGGCACAGCTTGTTGTTCTTGTGTAGGAGGAAGCCTTCCCTGGGACATGTCAAAGCTGGCGTTCGCTGAGGCTGTTCCTGGAGTCGACGGCGTAGACGCGAAAGATGTGCTTGGCCCAGCAAGTGGAGGCCGCTGCACTGTCTGAGGCGCTGCATAACTCTGTGTGAGATAGGCTTCTTCTTCCCTGACATCGATTCCTGATTGTGCCAAAACATCGCTCAGATCCGCAGCATCAGTCGGTTTCTCTGCTGGCCGCGATGGAGGGCCCATAGAGCCTGGAGGTGGAGGCGGAGGAGCCGGCGCCACATGTGCAGCAGGCGCAATGGAAACAGGAGACATGTTGGGAACGGAGACAGAAGTTGCACTGGGAAGAGGGCTCGGCGTCGAAAAGGCATTCACGTTAGACCCATTCAGGCCTAGAGGCTGATTTTGTGGGAGCTGCGATGTGCCAAAGCTGGGAGATCCGTAAGGTGACTGTGATTGTGGAAGGGGAGAGAGGCGTTGGCGTTTAGGAGGAGGGGGGTTCACACCAATGTTCGCTGGTGGAGTGGCGCCATGGGGAGTCGTAACAGGAGGTGAGAATGGCTGGCTCGGGGGGTACTGCGGAGGATGGTGAGGAGGAGGCTGTTGAGGTTGTGTCTGCGCCATGATTGATTACTGAGTATCGCGACGTCAGAGAAAAATAAGTTACTTCGTGAGACAGCTCTGAGCGGCCAGTATCTGATTGCGAGCAAAGCGCTCAGGCGTGGCTTGTAGATGAGCCGTAATCATCTCAGAACAGCTCAGTAGGACCTCATTTGGAAGATAGTATCGGCAGTCCAAGAGTCGTGACGGCAAACGCGGCCTCAATAGCGGCGATGGACAATGACCTGGCGAGAGGGATTGCGCTGAGTGAAAGCAGAAGAAGCTTGCGAACGAGTCCACCCGCCGGATCGTCTTCGGAAAAGCGCGTCTCAGAGAGTCACGTGACCGAAGCGCGGCTATCTTAGCTTCTGCTTGTACGATTGCCCATTTCAACAGTACGGAGCACGTCTTGTTATTCTTATTCTCTCATCATACTTTTTGCCCCCCTCGGATCAAATTCCCTGTGCACTGACAATCTCTGTTTCCCAGTCATCCACCAGCCGACTCTGCATGACCCGGGGTTGATTGGTCCTGAGCCTCTTTAGAGAAGCGCTCTGCGATGGCTTCGGCATTGTAAATTCATTTCTCTAAATATTTTCTCCAACTTATCCCTTCAAGACGCCGAACCAGCTAGGCCAAGCCGCTGAACTGATATAGCATCATGGCTGCAAAGCGCAAGGCATCTGCCATGGCCGCGACGGTGGACGACGAGCCTGTCGATCCATCCGACGAGCTCGCCTTCTACTGTTTAGGAGGAGGCAATGAAGTTGGACGCTCGTGTCACATCATCCAGTACAAAGGCAAGACTGTCATGGTAAGTATCAACCTGACGCGTATACGATGGCTTTCGCTAAAGATCAAGTACGATAGCTGGACGCCGGTATGCATCCTGCCAAAGATGGCTTCGCCGCTCTACCTTTCTTCGACGAATTCGACTTGAGCACTGTGGACATACTTCTACTCAGCCAGTACGTCATCCCCGAGTTCTTCTGGTCGTTTATATCAGCCCTTCCTTCATTATATAAGAATCTGCCTACTTTGTACGAGGAAATTGGCCGTCTACAGTTCGCTGTGAAACCAATAGAGGTCCCGCGCGTACGCAAGTCTCGTGCAATTTGTTTTGTGTATATCAGAAATGAATGCAAATTATTTGATTGCTTTCCGCTTGCCAGTCTCGTACTATTGCGTATCCCTTCCTCCCAACTACTGAGATTTGCACACCCAATTTGTTGTCACTAGTATCATTTGGTAGCAATAAATCAGCTAATGACAGATGTGCTCATGCAGTTTTCACGTCGACCATTCATCCGCACTTCCCTATGTCTTGAGCAAAACCAATTTCAAAGGCCGCGTCTTGACAACGCATGCAACGAAAGCTATCTATAAATGGCTAATACAAGATAATGTCCGTGTCAGCAATACCTCGTCCTCGTCGGACCAAAGAACGACCCTATACACGGAACATGACCATCTCTCTACACTCCCACTCATTGAAACGATTGACTTCTACACAACACATACAATCAACAGTATCCGTGTCACACCGTACCCTGCTGGGCATGTCCTCGGGGCAGCCATGTTCCTCGTTTCCATTGCGGGACTCAATATTCTTTTTACGGGTGATTACTCACGCGAAGAAGATAGACATCTGATCCCCGCAGAAGTTCCAAGGGGAATCAAGATCGATGTTCTCATCACGGAATCTACTTTTGGCATCTCTTCAAATCCGCCTCGTTTGGAGCGAGAAGCAGCTCTCATGAAGTCAGTTACCGGGGTTCTCAATCGCGGCGGCAGAGTCCTAATGCCCGTATTCGCTCTGGGTCGAGCTCAGGAACTTCTTTTAATTCTAGAAGAGTATTGGGAGCGGCATCCTGAGTTGCAAAAGATTCCCATCTATTACATAGGAAATATGGCCCGTCGCTGTATGGTTGTGTACCAAACCTATATTGGAGCCATGAATGATAATATTAAGCGCCTTTTCCGTCAGCGAATGGCCGAAGCAGAGGCCAGTGGGAACAAGAACGTTGGGGCAGGACCCTGGGATTTTCGGTTTGTACGAAGCTTGAGGAGTCTTGAGCGCTTTGACGATGTCGGCGGCTGTGTCATGCTTGCCTCGCCTGGTATGCTCCAGACTGGCACTAGCAGGGAGCTTCTCGAACGGTGGGCACCAAGTGAACGAAACGGAGTAGTCATGACGGGCTACAGTGTCGAGGGAACTATGGCCAAACAGCTACTCAACGAACCAGAGCAGATTCCTGCCACTATGTCAAAGGTTTCTACAGGCCCTGGCAGCCGTGCCAATCCAATAGGCGACGAAGACCAGAAAGTCATGATTCCAAGACGCTGCACTATTGATGAAATCAGCTTTGCCGCGCATGTGGACGGTGTTGAGAATAGGAACTTTATTGAGGAAGTGGGAGCTCCCGTCGTGGTATGTATAACAATGTTCTACTAGTCTAAGTGTCGAGCTAATCATATTTAGATCCTTGTGCACGGAGAAAAACATCAAATGATGCGCCTCAAGTCTAAGCTACTTAGCTTAAATGCCGACAAAACAGTTAAAGTGAAGGTTTACACGCCTGCCAACTGCGATGAGATTCGCATCCCATTCAGAAAAGATAAGATTGCAAAAGTCGTTGGCAAGCTTGCAGAAGACGCGCAGCCAACGGAACTAGACGAAAGCAAGCTCATGGCCGGAGTCCTTGTGCAAAACGGATTTGATTTGTCTTTAATGGCGCCAGATGATCTGCGCGAATATGCCGGTCTCACGACGACAACTATCACTTGCAAACAACTTATAACTTTGAGTTCTGCCAGTATGGAGCTGATCAAGTGGGCGTTGGAAAGTGCCTTTGGGATTATCGAGAAGATCGGTTCCAACGGAGAGAACAAAACGGTCGATGAACAGAATGGGGACAACAACAAGACATTGGAAGCGGCGGACGAAGAGATTGAGTACGCGGAGAATGAGAAGTATCTGGTCATGGGGAGCGTAATTGTGAAGTATATCGCTCGCACACGCGAGGTTGAGCTGGAATGGGAGGGCAACATGATGAATGATGGTGTTGCCGATGCAGTCATGGCAGTTCTCATGACCGTTGAGAGCAGCCCTGCATCCGTGAAACGTGAGTTTTCGTTCTACCTGAACGAGCATCAATGTGAAGGAATGCACCGCTAATACAAAATGAACAGAATCATGCAAGAACAACCACCGCCACCACCATGATCATAAAGAGGAAGAGGACGAGAAAGATATCCACTTACTGCCGTCTCCAGGCAGGGCCAGTTCTCATGAACGCTTCGCTCAGCTTCTCATGATCCTTGAAGCCCAGTTTGGCGACACAATGACACCAATTGAGCGGCCGCGTCTAGCGTCCAAGGCACCAATCCAGAACGGCACTACTGAAGAAGATAAGAATCCCGAAAGTGACGAAGATGAACAACTTTCTGAGAAAGAACTCGCCCGTGCCGAAGCAGATGAGGTTTCCAGACTACACGCACTTGGGATCCCCTTTCCCGGCGTCGAAATCAAGATTGACAAACACGTTGCTCGTGTATGGCTTGAAGATCTTGAGGTCGATTGTGCGTATGCCGTGCTCAGAGACCGTGTTAGGGTTGTGCTCGAGCGGGCTGTTGAGACAGTCGCGAGTATGTGGACTGAGGAAGTTGGAGGATCTCGCGGTAAGCTGATTACAAATGGACATCATGATGCTGTTGGTGAGAACAACTTTGTCGAGAAGAGATTGGCTATGGTTGGGGCGTGATCTTCTTGATTTTTCTATTTCCATACTCACTATTCAAGGATGAACTGGCGCGGACGCAGGAAACAGGCACGCCGCAATGTTTCAATTATGTACTTGTATTTCTAACTAAAACATGAGCTTCTAGCGTATAGATGATGTATGGGCAGATACCGCTATGGATCTGAATAATGGATTTTCCATACTTATAAACACTCTTTTCACCAGGATAGTGCGGAATACCGGATACCATCACACATCTGGCACTTATATAGAAGCGTCTACCTTGGAAAACATGTCGTTGATAACACGCTGTACCTGTTCCACGAACAGTACGATCTGGACTTTATAGGAGGGTGCAAGCAAGACATGAGCTCCTCGGATTCCGTCAGCTGTGCCCTGTCACCATCAAGATAGATGCCGTATTTCCTGCGATGGAGCTGTCTTCCGTAAGAGACTGCCAGTGTAGGCACATGTTGAAGTTCCCGATGCAGGGCTGCAGAAGAGGATTTTTGTCCTATTTCTCAAGGATCATTTTGTTCGGCCAGCGGAGTGAATGAGGATATAAACAGACGTTTGGTTGCAGCAAAGGCAGTGCGGGCAGAACAAACAAACCCCCACCAGCGTCCGCTCCCGCACAACAACCAACTTCCAAGTCTCCCCAAATCCAAGAGGAAGCTGCATCCTCCGCCAATTCAATCGCACACCACTCCCCATCCCTCATCATGTCGCGCCAGGCTCGTGTAGAAGAGCTTTCCGACTCGGACCCAGAGGAGGTCGCCCCTTCCGACGGTGTCTTGCCCCGAGACCATATCATTTCTCCGTCGATAATGCACCCTCCTCCGGGCATGGCTCCTCCGCCGGGCATGGCCTCACGACCGCCGCCTCGACCGCCGCAGGAGATCCCCAAACATTTCCACTGCTTATACGCTGTCTACTTTGATAGATCCCGATCTCGCGCAGAGGGAAGGCAGGTCTCGAGCAAGCTGGCCGTGGAAAACCCGCTTGCCAGGGATGTGCTCGATGCATGCCAACAGTTGGGGCTGCGGATTGGTTTTGAGCCGGAGAAACTGCACCCCAAGGATTGGGCAAACCCAGGCCGTGTACGGGTCCTGCTCAAGGATGAAGACGGGAACCTCTTGAATCCTCGCGTCAAGAACAGTATGACCACCTTGGGACATGGGTTCAATCGATGGGAGATTTTTGCGCTGTTTGCTAACCATGCTCTTGTTGTATGCAGAGCACCATCTACAGATCCTAGTCGCACAATATCTACAAGCACATCCAACCGACGAGAAAGCGCCATTTCGACTTCGCATCCATGGCCTACCGATGCCGGACAAGCTTCCCGAGGCCCCTGCAGCTCCTCGCGGCTGGAAGATTGGAAAGATATTGCCTCTCCATTCTCCTGCGTACTCAGGCGGCGGCGTGAGCGAGAACCCGTTCAAGGAAGCAATGGCCGAAATGGAAAAACTCGGTGGAATGCCTGGGATGCCCGGTCTTCCCGGGATGCCCCCTGGCATGATGGGCATGGGAGAGTCGTCTGGAGCCGGGGAGCCGAAGAAAAAGAAAGACAAGAAAAAGGCAAAGGCTTGAACATGGTTCTTACTCTTCTGCTTTGGCCTGTATATACCAACTTTGCATGGCTTCGGCGTTGTGTGCTGTTTCTTTGTTTGCTTTACATGATATCATGGGAATTGAAGTGGGAGATAAATAAACATCGAACGACGGCAGTCATCTAAACGCCCGTTAATAATTCCAGCTGATATGCTCATTCTCCGTAAGCCATACAAAAAAGAAAGAAAGAAGAAAAAAGAAAAAAAGTATTAAGTAGTGACTGTGCCGGCCAATCAAGACGCGCTCGCAGCCTCCGCATTTGACAGCTGCTTCGTTCCCCCGCGCAAGACCAAACCATCGCCGCCTTCCTCTGCAACGCCGACAGCAACCTGCGCTTCTTTCTATTCTTCTTCTGCTCCCTCCTAAGACACGAAGAGGCGATTCAATACCTCTGCTGCATTTTCGTGTTTGCAATCCGCCAGTGGCCCCCCTCCCCGACATGAGGCAACGGATTATCATCAGCTCAGTCGCGCCCTCGCTGTCGAAGAAGTGCTGAAGCGACGAACAATGAATGCCTCACGTCCGACGCCGTAATGTCTGAATCTACTTCTTCGGTCAAGTCTCCAGCCAGCCGACAGGCCAATGTCGGCGGTGGGCGTCAGATTACTCGTAATCGCACAAGTTACAGTTGCCATACGTGCCGCAGGAGGAAAGTCAAATGCGACAAGGTAGGTAGAGCCCGTGCGATTGAATTACGTGCCAAATCCGCTTCATTCTGACCCTACTTGTCTGTAATCAGGTCCATCCAATCTGCGGCAACTGTTTGAAGAATGAAGCCGAATGCGTCTACGATACCGCAACCCCCAAGAAGAATGGTGACGCTGGCCCTGATGGCGAATATTCCCCTCGGCACAAAGCCAAAAGGAGAAGACGTATATCACCATCAATTGACGGTGACGGTGATGATCCACACTCGGTCATGAGTGAAGCGGAAAAATCCGCTCCACGCACTGGCTCGCACGCAATCGAAGCACGACTGGACAAGCTTACCAACATGATCGAGAGCCTGAGCAAGGCCAAAGGACCTCTGCCGGTGAAAGAGATGAGTCGACAGTTGCAGACAATAAGTCAAGAGGTTGACGTACGGCTCCCTGTTGAGGCTTCTACGCCACAGACCTCCGCGTCAAAAACCAAGCGTGGCTCTCGAGCTGCTAGTCCTCGTCGCACAGCAGAGTCTAGCGGTGATGAATTTCCTATCCCAACAGGCAATGCGACAGATCCTGTTGACCCAGTTGGAAGTTTGAATCTTGGCCATCTGAGTATTGAGGATGGCAAATCCAGGTAAATTGCCAATACAATCTGTCTAAACCCCCTTTTCTCTGACATGTGATAGATACGTCGGCACCACTTACTGGGCTTACATTTCAGATGAGGTGGGATATCTTGAATTGAGTATACTTGGAGCCTTTAGTTACTGATCCACAATAGATCAATGAACTCAACCAACTATTACGCGAACAGAACAGATCTCATGAAGATCCACCATCTAATAACAGTGACATCGATATCACGATGTCCACAGACGAATCCCCTCTGGCAAAGGATGTAAACTATCACCAACGGCATCGATCATCAACTGGAGGTCATCAACTGAATAGAGCGCTTTTGCTCGCTTCAAATGAATCTCCGATTGCTTATGATAGGGCCGTTGAGCCGTACATGCTCGAGGATATGCCGACTAGAAGACAAAGCGATATACTTTATAAAGGCTTCATGTCTGGTGTTCATGCTATAAGCCCAGTACTGCATCCACCATCTATCTTGCGATCTTATTTGGCCTTCTGGAATTGGTACGAGCACAGCAGCCATTCCGGCGAACGATATGCGGATCCTACTTTTATTCCACTGCTTTATGCTATATGGCACGGCGGATCAGTGACAATATCCATTCACACAATCAAATCCGAATTCCCCGACTTTTCTTCTCGCTCTTCACTGTCCGACGTACTACATGAGCATATGATAGGATGGCTCGATAGGGTTTCATTTCCACGCAATCCTACCTTGCATTCACTTGTTGCTTTTCTCATCACACGGACGATTCTTTCTCGTGAAGAAGAACCTCTGGCCAGCAGTCTTTTCATCAGCACTGTCCTCAGAGTAGCTCAAACAATGGGCCTCCACCGAGATCCGGGGCAATTTGGCATTAAGTCAAGTGAAGCGGAGACACGACGAAGGATTTGGTGGCATATCATTCATATGGATGGGGTTGTGTCGATGTCCAGCGGCTTGCCGCCTCTAGTCTGCGACGAAAATTATTGGGATGTCTGCGAACCCAGCGAAGTGAAAGACACGTTACTAGGGACTCCGCAAGCCGACCAGTACACTAGGCTGGTGGAAAATAACCTGAGGCCACGGGATAACCCTGATGATCCCACTGTCTGTGGCGGCAATTCGATGGTCAATGTTTTCTACCTTTGCGCCAGAGGCAAGTATGTTATGGCACGTAAGTACACCCGCGAGTAAGCTTCCATTGCTTAAAGCTCTACTAAGAAAAGAGACACTAGGTGCCGTCAGGAGAATTATGAGGGTTCAGCTGGGGACAAAGCCAGTGACAGGGCGCGATATGGAAGAATTGAGATCGATTTTGCTTGATCTCCAATTCCAGTTGAACTCGCTCATCAATCGCATTCCGCTTGCGCAACATCCAAACTATACCGTATCGGACATTCCTAATACGGCATCATCGTCTGCCTCTCAAGATCGTCCAGAAGTCGGTGAGGGTGTGCTACCCGGAGACGGACCAGGTGGCTGCTCAGAGCAGTATCACACCCCAATCCTAGTGGCATTTCACAAATGGGCTAGAATCTTGCTTTCCTTGTTTGTTGATAAAGCCTTTTGTGTTGCCTATCAGCCGTTTCTCAAGAATGCGAAAAGCCGAATATGGCCCGCAGCCAGACAAGGCGCCTTGCGGCATTGCCACGGCTTCATGGAGAAGTTCATTGCGCTAGCTACAGACCCCGACTTCCAACCTTTTCAATGGAGCTGGCCTGGAAATCATCAGCCTATGCATGCGACCATGATTATGCTGATTGATTTATACGAGCGGCCTAGCAGCCCCCAGGCACTCCGGTCAAGAGCCTTTATCGATAAGATATTCTCCATAAGCGGACCAGATGGGGGCGTAGTTGGCGGAGAGGACGGCGTCACAACAGCACGGCCCTTGAAATATGGAGGTCGAGAGGCATGGGATATGATGCGACGGTTGCGGGAGAAGGCATGGCAGAAAGCCGGTCTAGATCCGCAACAGCTATGGACAGAGCAGGCGCAAATACAGGCTGGTATTGTTCAAGATCAGTCCTCTCGGATGAGAAAACAAGGATATGAAGGAAAGCAGCTTGCAAAGCCAACCGCTGATTCACAAATCAAAGAATTCAACAGGAGGTTTTATGACATGACGAGAGCTCATACTTTGCCCAGTCCAGTCATCTCGTCTTTACGACAAGCCTTGCGACAAGAGACTCAAACCCCGGCCCGATACTCGCCCGATCTATCTGGATTCTCGTCTATGCCTCCTTTGTTTCCTACGCAATCGCGTCCAACTAGCATTATGTCCAACAATATGCCCCTGCCATTGGATCATCAAAGTCTCGATGCAACGCTTACTCTCGCGAATCTAGCAACGGGGACGACCGTCGGCAGTCCAACAACGATCTCTCACAATCTGCTCCAGCAACGGCAACAACAGGAAAATAGAAACTCCTCTCATAGCTATCCTATGATCTCAGTCCCACCATCAGCACCAAACTTTTCCCCCATCAACTCCCCCGAAACGAAATCTGTCACTAGTTCATCAGCAGGCGCAGCTGCAGCCCTAACACCGCCATCAATGGTAGATCCCAATCTAGCCTTCGACTGGGACCAATGGGACGCGGTATTTGGACAGCAATTACCTATGGCCGACGAACTTTCCGAGCTGGACCCTGTCGCCGGTGGGATGGGGCTAGGTTTAACAGATCTTGGAATCGATCTACTAGATCCTATAACTAGCAATACAATTATTGGTAGTGGTGAGCAGCATCCAACCAATAGTGATCCATGGCGTGATTTTGAACCGTGGCTATATTAATGAATCTGTCGTATAGATAATGTGTGTATATGTATTCATGAACATAGTCAGACTTATTTTGATATTAATGTACTTTCTAAAGTTCGAGGCACATGGATTTGAAGGCATAACCTTCGCACACCTGAGGACCCGATTGATTGCCCAGATGGGGATTCGTTGTGTGCGTGCGTGTGTATTTTCTCGTAGCGACATTACATCTTGAGTAGGTCTCAATTGATAGATAGATGGATGGACATGGCTGATCGTGTGATAATAAGAAAGGGAGAACTAGAAAATGACATTCGGAAATATGCAAATGTGGCAATGAATGAAGATATCTTTCCGATGTTTGTTTTCCTTTCCTTATTTTTTTTGATTATGATTTGCCTTTCCTTTGCTTGAACCAGCAAGAGAAAAAAAAATTTTCATTTAAACCTTCATCTCCTCAAGACCGTGCTTCCAGACGGTGGCAAAGGGGGTAACACCATCGTCACGGAAGTCAATAAGGACGTGCATGGCATTGCCATCCATAGATTGACCCATGAGGACATCGTAGTTGTCGTAGTTGCCAAGGATCTTCTTAACAGCGGCAGCAGCACCGGATTGGAATTCCTTGATGGTCTCCTCGGAGGCACCCTTCTCCTTGAGCTTGTTGTTGACGGCCTTGACGTAGGCTATGGTAGGGGAGGGTGAAAAGTTAGCATGGAATCCAAATATATATTGGTCAACGGACTAAATACGTACTCTTCAAGTGGGACTTGTAGGCTTCCTTGGAAGGCTTCATTCCCTCGTCGGTCTTCAGCCAGACAAGACGGAACTGGTCCTCGATGTCGTGGACCATGGTCTGAGCACCCTCACCACCCTCATCCTCATCACCACCCTCAGCGGAAGGGTTGGCACCCTCAAGCTGGAAGCTCTCAGAGCCCTTCAAGTATTTGCGGCAGTCGGCAGTCCAGAGGACGGGACCTTCCTCCTTGAGGTTGAAGGTATCAGAGATGATCTCATCTCCGGAGATAATGTCCTAAGAGCAGGATAATGTTAGTGGGGGTTGTAATCTTGTCAACATGCCGAACAGAGGGAGGCGGGAAAAAAACAATGGAGCGGAACAGGGGAACAGCAAGCCCCGCCTCCATGCGATAGATTATTGAACAGGCGCATACGAACCTTGTAGATAATCATATTGAAGAAGCGAAAACGCGACGGGTTGTATACAAATTGAGAGAGCGGCAAGAAAGGCAAGAGGGAGTGTGTCGAGAAGTGCAGCAGAGAGAGAAAGGAAGAGTTGCTGGGAGGGGCAGCGTGTGAAGTTTTTATCGCCTCTCTTTGGCTGGGGGAGGGGTGTCGCCCGATTGGGCTTAGTGCCGCCACATGGGTTTTTTTTTTTTTTTTTTGGTTTGTTTCGGCCTTCTTGGTGTTATTTACTTTTTCACAATGATAACAAACCAGACTTAAAGTAATGTAAGAAAATGGTAAAAAGACACAACGTCAACGGTGTATATTTCCTATAGATATAGAGGCATGCAGGACAGTGCAAGAACAGAGTGTATAATCCTGCGAGCATTACTCTATGTTACATCTGATAGTCCACATTGGTAGAAGAAGGGACGAAAACATATCATACGCCTCTCCCCATACCCAATCTTCCTGCAGTTTGAGAATCCACATACAACCATTTCTATATGCAAAATACAAAATACAAAATACATTATATATAAAATATATAGAATACAAAATCAAATCAACTGTATAGTCGTCGGAACGAGCAACCCGACGTGTCGCCACCTGCGCCGGCCGCTGATTGGCTGGGCCAGCGAAGCCTTTCCTATTCAGGGGCTGATTAGATAATCCCTGCGTTCTTTGCTCGCCAGCTTTTCTGTTCGCATCATGAATCATGAGCATATTCATATTGTTTTCCTTCTACTTGTCCACCATGGCTGCATGAACCGTGCAAGCACATAGTCCATTCATTTGACTTCCCATCCTTCTAATCCCGGTCGGTTTCCCATGCTTCGAGCGGCCGCGAACACCGAACGACACCTGCAGCACCGAGTTGCATACTCGAATAATAAAGAGTCGATGTTAACCACCTGCTAACTAACGCCTCTTACTACTGCCTAATATTAACTTCGCCGCCGAGAGCGATTTTGTCTCGTGACTGTCGCTCCTTCCTCTTTATACTTGCTTGCTTTCCAACTCTTCCTTCGTCCTTCGTCCGTCGACCCTCGACCCCTTGACGGTCTTGCTTGTGTTCGCCATCGCACCAACTCTGCTTCTGCTGATCCTATTACTTGCACCCGCTGAACACCAAATCCTACATATTATTAATTCGTCCTCCGTCCCGTCTTCCGCCATGGCGGTGAACGCTTCGTTCGTCGCTGATGATCTCCCCCCTCTCCCGTCGTACGTTCTAACGCCACGGGAACCGCTCTTTCCGCCGGTTCCAGACAATATCGTGGCATTGATACTGCCCATCCTCGCCTACTGGGGCGTGTCTATGATCTTCCACTGCATCGATGTCTACGACTATTTCCCACAATACAGACTGCACACGCCAGCCGAGCTGCTCAAACGGAATCATGTTTCTCGCGCTGACGTCGTCCGAGATGTTATTCTGCAACAGGTGATCCAGACCATTGCCGGGTTCAGCGTCACCTATTTCGATGGCCCGGAGTGCATCGGCAGAGAGGAATACGATGTCGCGGTTTGGGCACGACGCATTCGCATGACCCAGAGAATCGTTCCCGGCTTCTTAGGGCTTTTAGGCGTTGATTCGCTTGGACTGTCAAAGAACCTATCTAATTTCCCCGCCTTGTCCGCGGCTCTGGCAGGAGGATTCTACCCGGATTTGTGGCAGACTTCGGTTTTGGAGAACGGGCGTGAAATAGTCACTCCGGCTTTTGCTGGCTGGGAGCTTACTTTGGCCCAGTTCATATACAGTTATTTCATCCCAGCATTGCAGTTCCTGATTGCCATTCTCATTGTCGATACATGGCAATACTTCTGGCACCGCGCTATGCATCTCAACCGCTGGCTTTATGGTGAGTTTACGCTCTTTGCTGTCTACTCGGACGTTAGTTTCTAAACGCGCAGCAGTGAAATTCCACTCCCGTCACCACCGCCTTTACGTGCCGTATGCCTTTGGCGCTCTGTACAACCACCCAGTGGAGGGGTTTCTGCTGGATACTGCGGGCGCCGGTGTGGCATTCCTTATCACCGGACTGACCCCTCGCCAATCAATGTGGTTTTTCACAATGTCGACCATCAAGACCGTTGATGATCACTGCGGCTATCACTTCCCATGGGACCCACTCCAGTTAATAACATCGAACAACTCCGCGTATCACGACATTCACCATCAGAGCTGGGGAATCAAGACAAATTTCTCGCAGCCATTCTTTATTTTCTGGGATCGTCTCATGGGCACTCGTTGGGAGGGAGACGTCACATTGAGATACGAGCGGGCCCGTGCAGCGGCCGAAAAGCAGGTCGAGCGCGAACGACAGGAGAACAACGGGGAAGACATTAATTGTGTGCTCGATTCAGAGCCCGGTCCATTGGATGCCGGCTCTGAGGACATGTCGAGTCAGGAGAAGCCTCCCTTGAAGATCATCCCTCGAGCTACGCGTTCAGCTTCGAGAAGAGTGCACGGCGTGAATGGTAGTATTCGCCAGAAATAATAACCTCCTTGGCATGGCGTCTCTTGGGTGTGTTCGCGCGCGTGTGTGTATGATGACTATGTACGACGGTTTCAAACGGAGGTAGCTGGCTACCCTCATGTTCTTCAACCTTTCCCTCCTCTTTTCTCCACCGTTCTCTTCTGTTCTCTTCATTGGCTATACACTCTTTTTTGTATTAGTATAGATTTTTAATATTGAGGGGAGTGATGGGAAGCTGTTCTAGCACACTGAACGTCATCCTCCTTCGGTCTTTTTTTTTTGTACATCAATTGAAGTTCTTTTCTTGTATCAATCAAGTCGGTCTACTGTTCGACATCTTCGTCTTTGACAAAAAAATTTTTCTACTTTCACATTCACAGTAAATATCCGCCAACTGCCAAGATCAGTCCCCCGACATCATGTCAATATCTCAATCTCTCCGGCGAGCTGTTTCCTGGTTCTTTGGGGAATATAAGTTGTACTGGCTCTTCGCCATGCTGGATGTGAAACGGTATCCTGTGCGAGGATAAACGTAAATCCAGATAGGGCGGCACGATTCTTTCAAAGGTGGTGTGGTTCATAGCAACGACTCAAGTTCTGGACTGCCAGTGACAAAGGATGCCGTCGTCTATTTCTGCAATGTGATGACTGCGACTAAACAGTGTTTGTATTCGGCTGCTCTTTTCATGTCGTTTCTCCGTCCTTTTCAGCCCATTTGTCTCTAATAGCTTTGACCAACTCCCATACACTCTCCCTTGCACTCTCTCGATCAATGCCTTCGCGCAGCAGCTGCTCATATGGAGTATATTTGTGTCTGATGTGCGCCTCTACGGCAAGAATAGCCTTGACCTTTTCCGGCCGCGTGGCAGTGCGTCCAACTCTGCCAGAGCCCTTGAGGAAAGCATGCTGCAGAACTTCCTCGACGCATGCATCTGGCATACTAGGGAATGTCTCGCTGAGGATTATTTTGGCTTTTCTCTGATCTCGTGCATCGCGTACTTGGACTGCCACTCTGCGGTTTTGGGCTGTCTGCTGCGCGGTTTTGGTCACTTCCTTGTAGATGTCTTTTTGGACTCTTATGCCAAGTTGGGCTCGTTCTTTGTTGTCCTGGAGTATGATGATGTTATTAAGGCTTATTTTAGACAAAACATATATAAATTGACTCACATAAACAATATACACAGTGCTAGCTGCGTCTTTGCTGCGACTTTTGCAATTCCTGGTAACGTAGGGATCGCCCCTGGGGACGAAGACAAAGTCCTCGGGCATGGGATCGGCTTGGATGCAAATCTGCTCGGTTAGTCCGATACTGTCATGATGCCTTGCAATGCTCGTTTGTCTACCTTCTCGTGGGGATTCTCTGGCGGATTGCTGCGCACACGTAGAGCAGTCGACTTCTTCGCGGACTCTCTCCGTCTTTTCCTGAGATTGGAACGGCGCCTCTTCGTCTTCTTCACACCGACGACCTTTGCCTTGGATGCCATGTTTCCTCTCGCTGTCTCTCTGTCTCTCAGCAAGGAAAATGGCGAGACCATCAAGAGAAGGCGCGGTAGGGCACGTGGGAGGTTGGCTTGGCATGCGGCGCAGCTCACATTCTCAGTCTTCTTTGTGCATCGATGCGTGTTTGAGTGCTGTAGCCTGAACCAACAGAATCAACCACGGATTCTGCTCCTCCTTTCGCAGAACCATGAGATGCTGATGGACCCCTAAAATTCAGACTGACCAAATCTTAGTTTCTCCGCTCGGCCCGTCAGGGGGGATGACGTCATATATTTCTTCCATATTAACGCAGATGCAGATGTCCGAAGCAATTCCAGCCGAGATTCTCCTAGTCGCAAAGCGCGCAGCGATTGAAGATGCGAGTATAGCTCCTAACGCTAAACGAATCAAAAGTCTTCATGATGGGTTGGCCAAACCGGACGTTAAAACGCCGCCTATTATAGCCCGGAGGGTTCCCTTCCCAGACAAGGTATCTCGTGCCAGAGCCTCTTTTTTGAATGTCAGGAAAGGATCATTTTGACCCTTCTGAAGCCTGCAGTTTTGGAAGAGCGAAATGGCGAGATCGGATTCCGAATGATTAATAATGATGGCTCTAGAGAGAGTACGATCATCCATACGGGTCTCAAATGCCTGTTTCAAAAAGCCTTCCGAAAATGCCCAAGGACTACATCGCACGGCTCGTCTACGATCTCGTCCGACCAGCAGGTGAAAGGCTACGGTGCACATCTCATGGCGCATTTGAAGGATTATGTCAGGGCTACTTCCCCAGTGATGCATTTCCTAACTTACGCCGATAACTATGCCACCCGGTATTTTCAAAAACAGGGGTTTACCAAAGAGATCACCCTCGAAAAGTCTATCTGGATGGGGTATATCAAGGATTATGAAGGAGGAACGCTTATGCAATGAATGCTCCATGGTCCCCCGCATACGGTACCTCGAAGTTAGCCGTATGCTTCTTACGCAGAAGGAAGTCGTTCGGGCCAAAATGCGCCTCTTAAGGAAAAGTCACATCCTCCATCCGCCGTCCGCTCTCAATCCCTGCCATTCGGGCAACAGGCTGGTCTCCAGACATGGACGAATTAGCACGGGCACCACGCCACGGGCCACATTTCAATGAACTGCGGCGTTTTCTGAATCAGATCCAGAACCACAAACAAGCATGGACCTTCCTCAGCCCCGTCAATAAAGACGAAGTCCCCGATTACTACAATGTCATTACATCACCAATGGATCTGTCGGCCATGGAGCAGAGGCTGGGGCAGGATTCTTATACTGCCCCGAAAGACCTTGTCGCCAATCTGACGCTGATATTCAGTAATTGTCGACCATACAATGACGCAACAACGGTCTACGCCAAGTGTGCGAACAAGCTGGAGAAGTACATGTGGAGTCTCATCAAAGAGATTCCGGAGTGGTTTGACCTGCTTGAGGAATGATTTGTCTATTCGCTCCATTGGCGTTTCCAACTCTTACTATGTGTCTGTAGTTTGTCATGGTTCTGTCGGAGGACAAACACGACAGAGCAAGTCTGGACTTCCTCTCATTGGCCGGGGGAACATGAAGAAAACGATGCTATTCACCTTCTTACCTAGATAGCCTCAAGTTCTACAGACTATAACTCGTATGCATACTATCCTATGAAGCATTTGCATCCCTCAGTATTCCGCTGTCAATATTGAAAAGTCATTTAAGTCGGCGCTCTACGTTGGTCTAACTTCACATCTCTGGGCATTACTAATATCAAAGCACACGTCGAAGAGACAAGTATAAAAATTATGGACGAAAATATGCCAGGTTATGTGAAGTCCAAGGTCTAATACTTGCCGCCATGGTTCAAAGACGAAGCCTTTTGGCAAGAAAAGGTTGGGAGTTATTTTTTTTAAATAAATAATACCGCCGGATAAAAGAAAAGCGGTTTTTTTTTTTTTTTTTTTTTTTTTTTTTTTTTTTTTTTTTTTTTTTTTTTTTTTTTTTTTTATTTTTTTTTTTTTTTTTTTTTTCCCCTTTTTTCTTCTCTGAAGAAAAGAAGAAAAATAAATAAAGCAAAAGAAAATTTGCCGGTCCATTATTACTGCATAAGAATTGCGCAGTGGAGCTCCCCTCCCCAAAATTCCCAACTCAGCAAAACGAAAACACTCTTTTTTTTGGTTCCCGTCTTCTTTTAATAACCTCGTCTTTCTTCTCATCGTCGGCTTTCTTTCTATATCCTGCATGGCATAAGCTTCCCTGCTCGTTCCTGCAGCTAAATAAATAGTTCACTAGTCGGGTTGCTGGCGGCAAGGAGAGCTCGGCATTCTTCTGCTCTCTGGCTCTCTCTCCCTTCTTTCCCCTCCTGCTTCTGCTTCTTCTTCTCCTCCTCCTGCCTATCCCGCTCTGCGCGTCTCCGTCTCGACTCCAATCTCAATTCCAATATCCATAGCCAAGAGAGAAAGGAGGCGGACCATGCCCTAACGTGAGGGTCTTCTTGTATCTGCTGCCTGCTCCATTTGCTTGGCTGTACGAGCCTCGGCCGAGCACGCAGACGGCAGAGAGAGGATACACAGGGGCAACAACTTAAAGCTTAGTCCTTTCCTTCAGCATTCCTCCAGCTTGCTACGCTCCGCACTGATTTCATGGTTGCCGGGCTGCCTTATCTCTGCGGACATGAATTGGGATCGCCCGGTCCATAGGTATGTTGGCGTCTGATAGCTTTGTTTGAAGTATCTACCCACCTGCTCTCGACGCAATTGCTCTCACGCACTGCTCTGTCTACATTATTGCACCATGATGAAGAAGCTGATGGACTCCATCAACTCGTTTAGCTTCAGCTATTCCAATGGCGAGCCGCAGACCCCAACAAGAACCCCGACCTCCGCAGCCTTCGCCGATGCCGCTTTTCGAACCCCCAAATTCGAGTCGAGCTTCTACGATCCTCGCGTGACATGGGATACTGCAGATCCGTATGCCTCCAGTCCGGAGCTGCTCAAGACGCCCCAGAGGTTTATCTTCGGCGGTACCCCGTCCAATGCCATGCAACAACAGCCTCTAGACGCCTCATTCGGACAGCACCTATCGCCCAATGCTGCAGTCAAGGGACCCGGGGACACAGACACTGCCAAGCGAAGACAGATCTCGAAGCCCACGGATGCTGAGGACGAGGGTCCAGGGTCCGTCAATTCCGTCCGCTCAGCCGCTACTATACAGACTCCTCCGCCCACCAGGACGTCCCGAAGGAAGGCTCTCGATGCTGGAAATGAGGGAGGCCAAGGGCACATGGGCAGCGCCAGAAGGCTGCCTGAGCCTCAGTTGGAAACTCCCAGCAGGATAATTGCATCTTCGCCGCAACACCTATTTGCCAATTTTCAAACCTCCCCCGATTTCTTCCACTTCTCGAATATCAATTCTTCCGCATCACCGTTCTTCCCGCAACAAAAGCTCTTTGTCGACCAGGATGTCCCGGCAGATCCGTTCGCTGACACGCCCAATGCTTTCGCAACATCTACTGCTGGGGCCGTATCGCACGCACATGCGCTTGATGTTCCTCCGCTTCCCGCCATACAAGGCTCTTTGGATCTGCCTGATTTCAGTATCAGTACGGATGTCAGCTTTGGCATTGGACCAACCGCACCAGCCGATGCTGCTTTATTTCCCACTCCCTTTTCGACATCACCTCGTGTGTCTTTCACCAAGACCGAAGATCCCAGCCTTTTCTTGAGTTCGCCCGCTCGACGATTCGGCCCTCCACAGCCCTTTTCAGAACCAAAAAGCGCTCCTCGCCCTAGAATGAGGCAACCGTACTACCACCAGACGGAGGAAGCTAAAAGAGAGCAACAACGCCACACAAGTAGAACAAGCAACCAGTCCCTATCTGGCTCATTATCAGACGATAACGATAACGATGATGATGGTGATGACGACGAGGACTTTACTCCGCGTGCTGTATCCATTTTCAGACCAGGATTGGCCAGAAGCAAAACAACTACTGCCATGTCATCTCTAATTCCCCATTCCCGGTCGCAAAGTCAACAACCCTTTGCCAACAGCCTGTCTTCGACAAGTGGTATCAAAAAGACGCCGTCCAAGGGCCGTGTATCTCCGGTCAAGAGCTTGCGATTGCCAAGAACAAACTCGTCTTGTCTTCCCTCACGCTCTCAATCGTTGATCTTGAAGATTGACAAAGATGGCCGGGCAAAGACGGAGTTTCAACCTGAGAGAGGTTTCACCGGACTCACAGACCCCATTTCTGAAATGGATATAGCTAGATCTATTACTGGAAGTGAAGCTGACTCTACCGAATATTCTAACTGCCTCGCTGTACAGAATAATCTCTTTGGATTTTCAGCAATGAGTCTAACAAGGCCGAATTCAAGCCGGGCAGAATCTCAGTCACGGCCAAATTCGAAGAGTTCCTTTGCATCCACGGTAGCCTCATCGGCTTCGGGACGTCGATCACCGTGGGCGGAATCAAAACCAAGACGACCACAATCAGCTATGATACCATCAGAGTGGCTAAGCACGCCTCGAAAGCTCTCCGCCTTATGCAACGCCAACTTCACAGGCCAGTCGTCATCTACGGATAGTACGCTACCCGACCCAGAAGAGGATTCAGGGGATGCGCAACATGCCCTAAGACAACTTCTCGCAGGACGGGCAAGGAATACTAGTACTATTAATAATAGAAGAATGCGAATACCTATTTCGCAGTCCATGCATCATCTGCAATCATCGCCTCCCGGTCTCAACGGAGCGTTTGGGCTGCGATCTAGTGAAGCTACATCGCCGACAACACTGACCGATCCTGATCTTGCTACACCGAGCACAGGTCGACGCAGCAACCCAAGCAACGGTACGAGATGCATTTGCAAATCAATGGACAATGGCGGCCATCTCATGATTCAATGGTAAGTTTGGGTCTCCTATATGCGCCCTTAAAATGCTTCAAGGCTAACAATCTTGCGTGCGTTTATAGTGAATCGTGTAACCACTGGCTACATACAAAATGCGTTGGCCTCGACCGAGCTAACCTGCCACCGGTGTATATATGTATATACTGTTCTTCAACACCGATGCGAGGCGGTCGTTTACGAGATCCATTAGCTGGGGTTCCTCAAGCAGGATCGTCACCTCTCGCGCGTAAATCGTTTCGATACCGATAAACATTTTTCCTCTTCTACCGTCGCTGGACGAAATACAGCAAGGCCTCTTATTGATCATATAACGACATTTATTTTCATCCTTCCGCCTACCCATACGTTCCATGCCCTTGTTTCTTTTTAATTGGTAAACAGATAGTGTACTCAACCTTCGGTTTCATTACAGGATACCCATTTCCCTTATTTCACATCTGTTACTGTTACTCCATTTCCAAAGGGAAATTTCATACTGTACAGAAACTGTTCTTTGATTTTGCCGATGATACTTCATTCATAAATGAGCGAAAAGAATGTCAAATTCGTCCTCATTTTCATTTCCCGTTTTCTTTTGTGTGAAACTGCATTATTACTGCCCAATATTTACAAGGGCTATGAACTAAATGTCCTTTGTTTTCCTCGTCTTATCTTATACCTCTGTATGTTTTGTGTGTTTCAGAACATATCCAAACAACAACAACAACAACAACAACAACAACATTACGTCCGCCAGACGGGACTGTACCTGTACAAGACTTGACATGTATGATGACGATTGATAAGTTATTATATTTTAAATTCTCGAAAGGGATCAGATCAGGCCATTTGATTTATCCTGTATTTTTGTCTTTGGTATCCACCGTTAGATAACATAGTTTCTATCTCCAGACCACTGAGGATATTTCAAGAATAAGAAAAACACTGCCGTTCATTATTTTCATGTCAATGTCATCTCACCGATGTCCACCCACTCCTATTCGCGGATTGCAGATCAATCGACCACTACGAAGTGAGACCGCGAGTGTCGTCGTTATGCGCCGAATTCTCAAGTGGGAACCCTGCCAGCGGTGTCGTAGTCTGACGCAACACACGGTTTTTCCAAGTCGCGGGTGGGAATTTGATTTGTTGCGCATACGTGCGAGGAGCAGGGTCGGGGCTGGTATCAGCATCGGTCAGTACTGAGTTGCTCTCCTCGAACACATATGGAATGTCCCATGGGTGAATCTTGTGGCCGATCAGGAACGCATAATCGGTGAGCTGTTCGTTGATTTCTGAGAGGAGGCGGTATGCATTGGTAGTATGGTCTTCTTGAGCTTGATCGCTGTTGTTGAGCTTGTGCTCAATTCGGTATTTGTGTAGAGCATGGTCGATGATGAAGAGCGTTTCGTGGAAGTCGTTGAAGAGCTTTTGTATTTCTTTGACGCTTTCTTCCCCCTGGCAGGATTGGAATGCGAGAGAGCGTAGGAAGTGCTCGCAGCGAAGGAGGATGTTGACTGCAATGTCAAAGGGTAATTGCTGTTGAGTGCTTGGAGGTGGTCGTTGGCGCTTCGTCATCCTTTCCCACTGTCCGATGCTCGTGGATCCAGGGTTCTTTGGAGAGAAGGTGCGGGTCAGTATCAGGAGTCAGATAGGTAATTTCGCAAAGTGAAGTCGTACCTATGGATCTTTCGACTGCGAAAGAGTGGTTGAAGGGAGAATTTGGGCCCCGGGGCGGGGGGGGAGAGGAAGGTTAGAGAAAGGTCAATTGCCCAGGTGCCCGGTGAACATCTGCTTCGAAGGTAGGCTGTCCAAGATGAGATAGACGCATAACCAATTAACCTCAGGGAATTTTTGTAACCGGTTTGCTCGTTTGCATAACTATATAGGTAGGTAGGTCGGCAGCCATTTTTGTCCAGTGGGAGGAATACTGTAGGTATATATATATGTATAGAATACGGGCAACTCTGCAGACCATGCCTATGCATACAAACATAATTCTAACGTGTCCTTGCCCAGACTCAACAGTCCAACATTGCATTTTCATTAGACAACACTGGACTACAAAAATCAATAATGTCAATAATCAATAATAGAAAGATATAGATGTTGTAGCTTAAAGTTAGTATAGTAGTATACGGTTGAACGCGCTAAACCATTCTGGACATCGGCTCCCCGTAACGACAGCGGCCAATCACAAATCGTCATCCAGCAATCCCGCCGAATCTCCGAAAGAAATTTAATGTCAACATTTCCACTTCCACCACCAAGACCCATTGCTTCAGACCATGGAGGGAGACGAGATCGTCGAGTCGCCGCGCAAGCGACTAAAGACTGACAATGTTCACACCACAGACAATGACATAGCTGCCGCAATTGCCAACGCCGACAGCTCGGCAAACTCTTCGACCCCCTCAGGAGCAGCAAGGGAAGTCGATGTCGGGATCACGGAATTCGTCAGCGCAGAAATTCCTGGCTTTGAAGGTATACTTAAGAAAAGGTTGGCAGCTCTGGTCTCGGAATTGCTGTAGTATCTTCATACTAATCATTGCTCAAACTGCAGGTATACCGATTTCCTGGTGAACGAAATTCTCCCGTCCGGAGAGGTGCTTCACCTGCAAAATCTCAAAGTACCCAAGTCGCTGCAGTCTCGACCTGTCAAAGATACAAAGCCGGATGTGCACGGCGCAGAAGATGCAGACCATGCCGAAGGCGAAGCAGCTGCTTCCAAGGATGCAACTCATCAGACGGCCGCAGCCGAGTTTAAGCTATCAGAAGATGACCGAGCACAATTTGAATCACTCTTCGGAACAGAGTCCTCAAAAATCATAGAATTTCATGCTCGGATCCTTGCATCTCCAAAATCGCCGCCTAAAAGGTTTGGCCAGATCGAAGCCGGTATTGTCGATGACAAGGATGTGCGCACCAAGATGCATATGACGTTGCGACGTGTGTTCAATTCTCTCTTGGAATCCAAGACAGATAAAGAGAATACTATGATCATATCTGCTGCACCGAACAGACATAAAAACTCCGCAAGAGGTTTTCGTGGCGAAAGTGGCCGACAGTCTGATAAGTCTGCCTGGGCTGAGCGAGCCGGCTCCTACCTCCATTTTACCATCCACAAGGAAAACAAGGATACCATGGAAATTATTTCTTTCCTTGCTCGCCAGATGAAAATGCATGCCAAGAGCTTCAAGTTTGCCGGGACAAAAGATCGCCGCGGTGTCACAGTCCAGAGAGCCTGTGTCTTCAAAGTTGTTGCGGAACGTCTTGCCGGCGTGAACAAAACTTTGCGAAATGCCGCATTGGGCGATTTCACGTATGAGAAGCATCCATTGGATCTCGGAGATCTCGAGGGCAATGAGTTTGTTATTACGCTTCGAGACTGCCAATTTCCCAAAGACACTGATGTCTCGTCTATCAGCAAAGCAGAAGAGATTGTGGGTCAAGCCATGTACAATTTGCGTCAACGTGGATATCTTAATTACTATGGAATGCAACGATTTGGGACCTTTTCAAAGGGAACGCACGAGGTAGGCACCAAGATGATCCAGGGCGATTTCAAGGGTGCTGTGGATACTATCATGCATTTCTCTCCTCAAACTCTCGCAGCAGCTCAGAACGCCGAAGCCGGTCCAGTGGTTGGATCAGACGATAAGGCTCGGGCTGAAGCAATCCATATTTTCCAGACGACTCGAAATATGCATAATGCGCTTGAAAAGATGCCGAAGAAGTTCTCAGCCGAGTCAGCTATTATTCGTGTACTTGGCCGTTCAAGCAACGACTATCTTGGCGCGCTGCAAAACATTCCTCGCAACTTGCGTTTGATGTATGTGCATGCCTACCAGTCTCTTGTCTGGAATTTCGCTGCTAGTGAACGCTGGCGCCTCTACGGTGACAAGGTTGTAGAAGGAGATTTGGTCATTTCCAACCAGAAAAAGACTGTCGCAGAAGAAGAGACAGTCGATGCTGACGGCGAAGTCATTGTTACACCACAGTTTGACGATAGTTCTACCGCAGTAGACGATGCCATTACCCGCGCGCGCCCACTTTCGGCTGAAGAAGCTGCCAGCGGGGAATACACAATTTTTGACATCGTTCTTACGCTTCCAGGCTATGACGTTGCGTATCCGGAAAACCAAATGAAGGAGTTTTACAAAACCTTTATGGCTAGTCAGCAGGGAGGAGGCCTGAATCCATTTGATATGCGTCGTAAATGGAAAGATGTCAGTCTCCATGGCGGCTATCGCAAGTTGCTCAACAGACCGGGCCCTACCTACTCTTATGAAGTCAAGGCTTATTCGAAGGAGGATGAGCAATTCACAACAACGGATCTGGAGCGCTTGAAAGCTGCAGTGGCAACAAAGGAGGCGGACAACAAAACAGACAATGGAGAAACAGCAGTATCTGGCGTGTCCACACAACCTGGTGGTGGCAATGGTGCAGATGCTAAGAAAATTGCCGTTATCCTGAAATTCCAATTGGGATCTGGTGAATATGCGACGATGGCGTTGAGAGAACTGATGAAATCCGGAGGGCTGAAAGAGTATAAGCCAGAATTTGGCGGACGATGAAGAACGCCTCGCGTTTATAGGCCATTGGAAATTATGATTAGCTTGACGCCGTAGATAAAATTAGTTATATATAAACATGCGTCCACAAATTTCACCAATGAAACTGTCTTGGGCTATTGCAACCGTATGTGGAATAACTGGTGGGAGTCTAGGAACGTCTCAGAAATTGTCTAAATTGAGGATCATTGAGATTTCTGTTTTCGCCTGATAGTATGCTCGCCGAGTCTTTTATCTATCGAATCCATTTTTCTAGATATTCTGTAGAGGTTAGTAGTTATCGCGAGAAAGTTAGGGCACGGCCGAGGTAAGTTTTCCAGCCACCGAATTCATTCCTGGGGCAACAACGAGACAAACACGGCAAACATACCAGCCGCGGCGCGGGCAGAAGCTCCAGCCACATGTTTTGGTCCCTCCAGCGCTTGTCTTCCGAGGTCACCCACTCGCTCTTTCAATCTTGCAATCACTTCCAGTTGGCCTCGCCGAGACCTGTGCCTCTCGCAAAATTCTTGAGATGAGAGACACACTTCGACCGATTCGCATCTATCAACATTGTTCGACACGTGCTCTAGTACACGCCTAGAAGGTTAAGGAGTGTTCGTCGCGCAATGTCCTTTCCTCAAGACCGCCGGCGCCGGGTAGGGCCAGCCGGGCTCGGTTTCAGCTCCACGGGCAGACGAACGTTTATGGGCTACTGGGTACCATTGGCAGTGACTGTTGGTGTCGCGACAATCAGTATAGCTGCTTGGATTTGGAGCGAGAGGCAGGAACATGAGGATGATGGTGATGACGAGGGCCACGGCCATGATTATCCAGATGACTTGCACCAACCCCCATACCCGCCTCCGCCAGCAGGTTATGAAGGTGGACCATCAGCAGACTTTGCGAGATCAGCGCCCACCGATACGCACCAGGATGATGGAAGTGTCATTGCGCGAATGCAAGGCGCATTACGCCGAACGCCCAGTCCGCAGCAAATCTTTGATGGCGCAAGCAAACGAGTCGCTGCTGGAATGGCAGCCGCGGGCGCCATGGTTGGAGGCGCGCTGAGCTCCATCAGAGAAGAACGTGGTGATTTCGAAGACCACTCGCGTTGGTCTGAAGAGGCCGATTTGCGGGCCGTAAGTGCAGCTGATGCCGGCGCTCAAAGTGCGCCTTCCTCTTCTGCAAAGGCGAAGAAGACAGTCGCTATTGTCGTTTCATCCGTGTCCTTGTCTGATGACCCGGATGACATTACCTTGTCTGAACATGCGGTATGTTTTCTTTCTTTTTCTCGAGGATGTCCCATGTAACATCCCCTCAACTGATGCTCGTAATTTTCTAGTCCATTCTTTCTCACCTCCCTTCGCACGTCGACTCGGATGTCGCTCGAGTCTTTGTTCTCATCTACGCCCCAGAGCTAAAGCACACTATTGGTCTTCAATCATCCGCCCGACCTACGCCATCCGTGGACTCTTCATATTCTAACATTGCACCCGAAGAAGCAGCCGGAGCTACTGATGCATCCGGAAGTGAATTGACAAGCGTTGAACCTCGGGCAGTTGCCGACGAACTCGAATCTGCCGGCCGCCTCTTCAAAACTCTATACACACAAGCCCAAGCACTTGTAGATAAAGAAAGCATGATTATGCCGTATAGCACCCCCAACGGCCACGTGCATATCTTGCGCCATTTGTCACCAGACATTGTGTACATTCAGGAATCATTATCAGGCGCCGAGGGCGATTCCGTCAAGCAGCTCTCCGACTGGGTGAGGTACGTGGTTGTCGTTGTCGGCGACGAAGGCGGTCGTGGTGGCTTGATTGATAGCGAGGATGAGTCGGCGCTTGCAGGAGAGCACCGCGAGAAGTGGTGGCACAAAGAAGGTGTGACAGGTATCGGAAAACATATCGATATCGTTGACAGTCTGAAAGCTGGCGACGATTGGAGGCGACGAGTCTCGGGTCATGACTAACGGGTTGACGACGATGATGAGGAGGGCTATTTTTGTGTACTGCAGTAATGATTTACTGCACTTGTCTCATAATTTTGGTTTATTTGTATCCAAGGGCTTTTTTTTGATATCCGGTATCTTTATCTTTTTGGGACTTCTTGTATGGCGACAATTCTTTGTACGTACGTGTTGGTATATTTTTTTACTTTCTAAGTAAATATAACATGATTGGCAGCATCCAAGCTCTCTGTTATGTGTGTACCTCTGTTATGTGCATACATATGAAAAAAAAAGGCGTTGTCGCTCTGTGCCTGGAGACAGAAAGATTATTACTGTAAGCGGCAACAATCCGGGGAGATTCCCGATGGGTGCCCCAGGCACTAACCCGATGGGTGGTGGTTTCCTCCGACCACACCACGTGACCGAGGTGGCACCCGCATCATGGGAGAGTCTCAAAGGGCATGTCGGAGAACATCACCTGCCGACACGAGACGAGCCTGCCACTGTCTACCAGTCGCCCACCGCGTTCCCAATCCTCCCCCAACGGTGCTTGCCAGGTGCTCACTGAGCGTGTCTGCTCGCAAGGCAGCGCAGTCGCTTGCCGTGCCCACTTGGACTCTTGGTGATGCATACTTCCTGAAATCTCTCCTCCGTCACCCGCCCTATCATCACCAACCAACGGCGTTCCCCACATGTCTCGCGCGTCGGTGCTAGTGTCAATCTTTGGAGCTTGGGGTCTGTTTCTTCTATAGCAGAAGCCGTGAATTTGTGAGAGGGCCACGCTTTTCGATTGCTGGGCTGCGCGCGCGATCTGGGGCCCCGGCCAGCAACTCCGCCCAATATGGCTACCGCTATCTCCAAGCCCGCCTCTCAGCCTCCGAAAATGAAGCGTCCGCCGCCCTCTTTTCCACAAACGGGGGTCAACGGTATAAAACAGTCACCTTCCGCATCCTCCTCTCCGTCCATTACCTCGAAGCGCCTTCCTGGTGCCAATCAATCGTCCTCTGGGAATCCCGTTGCCGCTCCTATCGCCAATGGTGCAATCGCCCGCCCTGCCAATCGGCCACGGAAAGATGTCCAGAAGCCCGGAGACCTTCCAGCCCGGCCGCAAAGGTCTACAACTAGAAACTCCGTTGTGGAGGCAGATCGTCGAGCGACACAACTTCCCCCAGAGCCATTTGGTTAGTGTTCGACATGGGTTTTGTATCTTGCGCGAGCTTGCTGCTAATTTTTTTTTCTCTGCTGGATATATAGTCAAAACCACGTCGTATATACTTCGAAAGTATTCGAAGTCGCCGCCTTCTCTAATTCTCCATCTTCACCCTACTCACTTTCGCTTTGATCAACAAGATGGAAGTTTCCCATATAATTCAGAGATGAAGGTTATCATCGAACATATCCGGTCCCAGACTATTCCTCACGACATGCTCGAGGAGCTTCTTCGTGCAGGGGTGAAGTTTTATGAAGGTAATTACAGAAATCTTTTTTAAATTTTGTCAGAAAATGGTGCTGACTATCCGCGCAAATAAAAGGTTGCCTTATAGTAAAAGTTGTTGATCACAAGTCGGTCTCAGCTCAGACAAGCAAGGCAGCTGTCACATCAACTGATGAGAAAAACACCCCATTTTCTATCCATAATTACAATCAACATGTCACACCGTCGCCATACGTCCCGTATCCAAAGCAGAATCAGATCAAATCTGAGAATGTTGACTTGCTCAAAACGGATGCTCCTGAAAAGAAATTGAACGCAGATGTACCTGAAGGTTCTAGCAATGGAACGAATACCGCTGAAAATGCTTTGAATTCAGCCAATAACGGTTCTGACAAGCAGTTTGCACCCAAACCTAAAGTTTTCACCACAGTGCTCCACCCAACACCACTTTCTATACAGGCGGAGCTTACGTTTTTATCTACCACACCGCATCCACATGCTAATGGTAATTCGGCTGCGAATAAGAAGCAGGCCCCTTCTACGCAGTCACAAACGAAGACTCCAACCTCGTTATCCACGGCGGGACCGCCTCCACCCAAGAGACAGAAGATGCTAGTCGAGCCGGAGGATCTCCCTAAGTTTGAAGCTACATTAATCAGAGCTGTAGCTCCCCCGGTGTATTTAGACCCAGTGGATAGCCTTGAGTCGGCACAGCAGCTTCTGCATTTCATGGAAAGTCCGCTACATTGCGCCAAACCACCTTCGCCCAAGAGGAGGAAACGTACAGTGGCAGAGCTGGCTGCAGACGAAGCACTTGCTGCCGAAGAAGAACGATTCATGCTTATCATGGATGAACGACTCGAACCTGCTACATCAGGTGCAGTTGCTGGCGCTAAGGTTGCCGTTGATGATACCGCAGGCGCAGTACCGTTTGAACCACGCTTTTCTAGATTCAAGACAATTGAAAACATTCGCATTCAACATGAAGAGAAGGCGAAACGGGAACACGAAAGGAAGCTCCAACAGGAGCAGGCCAAGAGGCAACAACAAGAACAGGAACGAGAGAGACGCCGTCTTTTGGAGCAAAGACAAGCAGAAGAACATGCCAAAGAAGAACGGCGCCAACAAGCGGTTGCCCAACACGCACAAATACAAGCTCAGGTACAGGCTCAAGCTCAAGCTCAGTTGGCCGCTCAACAACAGCAAAGATTGCCCAATGGCCTTTCTCAAGTGTCACAAGGTCAGATGTCATCTCCTGTAGTACGGAACCAGACTCCACATAATGCCTCTTCTCCGGTGGTTGGGAATGGCATGGGTACTCAAGGTGGCGTTTCAATGAGCATGACAGCGTCTGCCCAAGCGGCTGGTAGTCCACCTAGACCTCCTTCAACCATGCAACACGCCCACCCAGGAATGATAGGCCATCCAATGGCGCCTTCAAGGAGCCAACAAAGCCAGAGCCGAAATGGCACTCCTCAAATGACTCAAGGAACCCCAGCAATGTCGCATGCTACTCCTGTCATGCGCAATGTTACTCCTACACAACGCATAGGTCACGGTAGTCCGCCAAACACGTCTCTAGCACAAACACCTGTCATAGGCCAAACCATTATGGGTACACCGCAGATGGGAACCGGGCTTGGTCTAACGCCTCAGCAACAGCAGCAGCTACTTCTTCATCAACGTCAGCAGCAATTAATGGCGCAACAACAGGGTCTAACACCGCATCAGTTTGCGCAGTTACATGCCCAACAAAACATTCAAAACCATCAGCAACAGCTGCTGCATCAACAACAACAAGCACAGCAAAATCAGCACCCTCAACAACAGCAAATCCAGCAAATACAATCCCATCAAGCCTACCAAGCCCAACTTTTGCGGAATCAAATGGCGCAAATGCACATGGCGCAGCAGAAACAGAACCAGCAAGGCACTATACAAATGACACCGCAGCAGCAACAACAGCAGCAGATTCTTTTGGCGGCCGCTCAGGCAAACGGAGGCCAGCTTCCGCAAAACCCTCAAAATATACAGGCGAACAATCGATATACGCAAATGTATCAGCAGCGGTTAACTGCTTTGCGACAAGACATGTCAAAACGATTACTTCAGCAATACGGACCACCTCAGCAATATCCACCACATATCGCTCAGCAGTATGGAAATGGCTTAGAGAAAAGTGCAAAACAATGGGTTGTGGAGATGATGAAGCGAGAACGTGAAATGATGCAACAGCGGGCTGCCCTTCAACAGCAACAACACCAACAAATGATGGCTAATGGGATGGGCAAATAGGACGACACATCGGATTTTGGCGAAGGTGAACTTCTCTAAATGGATTGGAGATACTACCATCGTCCTCGTCATTATACACAACTTGGAGCACGGCGTACAGGACGGCACTTGCTAATATTATTCATTGACGTTTCTTTTCTTTTCTTCCCGCCCCCCTTCCTTTCTTCTAACATTTACATGCTTTCCTCTCCTGCATTTAACGAGGGCAACGCAGATGAGCAATATGATGCTTATGAATCGGGAGACGGCAATCTTTTTTCTCACCTGCGTTTATGGAGTTTCTCTTTCATCTTGGGGCAAGAGTCATCGTTTTTACTTTGGGTTTAAAAGAGGGCGGGAGAGTGAATTTTTTTGTATTCTTATACACTGTGTTTTTCTCTTCTTTTTGCCTTTCATTCACATAGGGTTTTGAAACGGTACAAGTTGAGCCGTCTGCTTGATTGGAAGAGAGGTATGCCATGCTTACGCCATCGAATATACAATTGATACCACACTTTTATTTTATTGTTGCATTGGATTAAATGATTCAGTTTTCTCATTTTTGCCTGTGTTGCTTTTGGTTTGTATTACTGTCTGCACCCATGAGCACTTTCACTAGATGTTCATATTTCTTCTTCAGAATGAGAGGTGTTCTGCGTCTTATTCTTCTTCTTCACTTTACTCCTATGAATCATTTATTCTTCAGTTTCTGCTGTTCTGTGGTTCAATTGAAGTGCTGCTTTTCTTTTTCAATAATGTTACATATATGCACTTCTGTCTTCTCTTTGAGCAATCGAGGAAAGGAACATGGTTGTACTTAATTTTTGAATCTAAGATTTATCGTGACAACAACTCTAACCCTATTTTGCCTCTGCAAGCATCTTAGGCTATTAACCGGAGCTCTTATGCATTCTAAGCCTTAAGCCTCTCGCAGCTTGAATCAGCTTATATCTTATCGAAGCTAAGGGCGAAAAAAAAAAGAAGCTCAAGCCAGCCACGGTGAGATGATGGACACTTTGACCAAGAAACCGGAACTAGAGCAGAACCAACACATCGAGAGCGCTGACACCGTATATCCTCGTCAGATAAAATTGCTCAACTTGTCGAATCTAAGACCAAGGAGAATGCTCGGACTGAATTACAAGCAATCAATTCCTCCTGTGTTGATCAAACCCTCGAGCGACTCTCTCAGCAAGGGGAGTTGCTGTCTTCGCGGTCCGCAACCGAGTCTGCACGCTCGACCGCCGTGACCAATGTGGCTCAGTGCGAGAGACCCAAGGATGTCATATTGGAGGAGATCACGACTAGAAATTTCTTGCAGACCCCAAATTGGGCGGAATGATCATACGTTTATCCTGCCGCTTTCTGTCTATTTCGGTCATCGCAGAAGCTGCTCCGGGCTGCCCTAGGAAGCTACTCTAACACAGGAGCATTCAAAGGACCATACTGAGAGCGAGGAAACAGCGATGCGGAAGTATGCTTAACGGATGAATCATTTGTCAATACCATCTCGAAGATGAAATGCGGAAGGGGCAGCAACAACCATCCTCTGATGGTATTCTCAAAACCCCTACAGAAAGACCTATGCGCAGTCTGTGATTGACAACAGAAAACACAAGAAACTTCCAAAACCGGGATATGCGCGGCACCAACATAAATTAGCTGAACATCGAAATTTGCGAGAAAATGGTATCGATATACTATGCTTCTTATGCGGCGATACGGAGCCTGAGACAGGCAAGAATCGCCATACCCTCTCCAATGCTTAGGCTCAAACCGTCTAGCTCCATCATATTTAAAGGGAGAAATATCTTAAATAGGCACCTTTAGTATTTTGCGGTAAAATAATAATAGTTAAATACTACACAGAGGTCAAAAAGCATTCGGAATACGCTAATGCAGCCAAGCAGGCTAGTAAAATAATAGTTTTTGTCATACCCCAAATAACGATAATCTTAGGGTCAAACCCTCTAGCTCCGTCATATTTAAGGGGAGAAATACCTTAAATAGGCATCATTAGTATTTTGCGGTAAAATAGTTACCTACTAGTGTCTATTTAGAGACTAGTAACTAGCTTTTGACTCCCACCTCCGTAGTAATTCTCTTAAATATCTTAGAGCATGCACGGCAACAATCATCAGCACCATCATAGTTGAGTACACTACGGAACTCGAAATCTGATTCCAGGCGCTAGCAAACGATGCATGCATGGCTAGGATCTCCCGGTTTCTTTCACCGTTGCACAGACGATAAGAAACTTTGAACATCTTCGTCGTCACGATCCGTTTCATCATTTTCTTGTCTAAATGCGAAACATGGCCTGCAGATATTACCGGAACCATCAATCCGGAGAGGACAACGATTCTTGCATTTCGACTCTTGTCTGTGGCAAACTTTGCACGCTGGTTCAGTGAATTCACGTTGCTCGCGCAGCTCACGATCATTGGTGTTTTTTCAACGAATTCCTTGTCAGGGAGAAGATGATCTGGTTCCTTCTATAATCAGCGCAGTATACGCAAATATAACCCTTATTGGGGTCCTTACGATCATACAGAGATCGTGAAAGTCTCTTCACACCCTCTGGTATATAGTATATTGGGTATCTTATTTGAGCACGTGCGTCATTCTGACAGGCCAAGATATGGTCGCTTAGAGGATTTGGCCATATTTCAGCGAGTGACCAGCTCATATTCAAGCCGACGAATGGCGAAGTGATAGCGAATTCGTTATATAAGTCATAAATCAATTCAAATACCGCTTGTGTCAAATGACGACTAAAGAAACCCGGATATTTCACAGTATGAAAGGGCACCATAAGGACAGATTATAGTAACATGAGATGTCGTTTTTCAACGAAGCTATCAAATCATGCTAAATTCTTGAAATGAAATTTGACACCCTCACCAGTGCTGCAGGCTCGCTGGTAATGGAGGTATTGGTGACGGCTCGGTAGCTTTTTGCCGCGATAATCCTTGATAATGGCAAGGTGCTCGTTGGCACGCCGACTTAGCTCAGCTGTATATCCGATATATACTATTGATCGAACTCTGGTCTCTATGGCACTGTGGTTGTCAACGACATAGTCCTCCTTTGCAGGTGCATACCCTCTACTAAAATATTTATATGGTTTGGAGCTGGGCTCCTGTTATTTATAGATTAGATATATAGATACTTAGGGTTTGCATAGAGGATAATATGTCTTCTGGTATTTCTAGTTATTAGGCTAACATCTATGCTAACTGTGATTTTGTTATTTAGGCAAAGGATAAGCATATAGTTAAAGATATCAGCGAACAAGGCTTGATCTTCTATTTCGAGGCTGTCAATAGGGTGAGGTGAGGTGAGAGGTCTAGATCGACCTATTCATAGATGCACGTTGTTATACCTTAGACTTTGTCATTATCTGCTCAATACATTCTTTCACTCGATGAAAATCTTCGTCCTCGGCACCAAGGAATTTGATCATCTTCCCGTGAGTTTTTCGCATTCGTACCAACTTCCCCTGCTCGTTATCTGTAGGGATAGATGAATTTCCAGTATCATGCCCTCCTTTTTGACCGGGACTCTCAGAGAAATAAATAACATCAAATTCTCCTAACTTCTCCAACTCACTGTAGTCAGATTCAGTCTTCTGGAGCCATGTTAAATCCTTCTGCATGGCTATGAAGTCAGGTGATGCGGATTGGGCCATTGGAAGCGAGGAGACAAGTCTCTGCAGCATATTACCAATATCTGGTGGTGATCCGAAGAACATTATGCCCCGTGTTGAAAAGATAATGCTACTGAATCCGGATGATGAGGACGTAGCAAGAGCCTTGGTAATAATGACTCGGGTTAGTGGTAGACAAGTTATAAGTGCATGATCATTTTTAAGATAGAATGACAATCACAAACCCCTTTCAGCAGAAGCACCCCGAAGCTATGTGCTAGAAATAAGATAGGTCTGTTTTCGTCCTACAGCCTTTGGTCAACCTGGCAGGGAAATCAAGGGACGGAATAAATCCCATAGGACTCAAGAGTTGAAAACGAACCGTTGTAGACCTCAATCTCGAAAGTTCCTTTATTAAAGTCCATGATACCTGTTCAGCTGGGAGATAGCTCGATTTTGACGCCGAGTATCCAAAGGATAGAATCCTCGAGTCGGGGACAACACGCGGGAGAAGATCGCGGAGCCAGAAGACTTGATTTTCAGGATGCGTCCATGATTTCTTATAATGGCCGCCATCGCCGTGAATAGCAACAATGCTAGGTAAGAAGATTAATACAAAAGTAGAAAAGAAGAGGGCAGCGCGCTCTCGTACTCGACACGGCAGCTTGTGGCTGCATAAATCACTTTCAACCCTGTATCGCCCGCATCGCTGTCAGTAGAACTTCGATGAGGGGATTTGTTACTGTCCTTCCGGCCATAGCCATGTCTGCGAGCAGTTTTGTTAATGAATCGTCGCATTAGGGCAGAAACAATGTCGGAGTGGAGGGTTGCCTTGACGGAAGATAGTTTCTCGGAGCCCGCCAGCCAGCCTGAGGCATGCATATACAGTAGCGGCCGCACCGTCTCGCCCTCGGACCGACATTCTTACCTCCAGTAAATCATTTTCACCAGATCAGCTCAGATTTCGTCCTTGATCGGATCAACTTGTCTCTTTGCAGCTGGTACCAGATTCAGATTCAGATACAAAGGATACAGCGCCCCGGCACCCATGAAAGCCGCCACAAGAATAAAGCAATTCGGTTCGCTTCTGGCCAATTTGACGGCACATCGAGCGAGATGGACCATGAACCCAGAAGAGGAGAACCCCCAAATAAATGAAGCATTCAAGCCCAGCCTAGACAATATGAGACGGCCTACCAGAAGCGTAAATGGTGCATAGCCCAGGACAAGTGCGACGCGGCTCGGGCCCGGCAGCCGACCCCCGACGCTCTCTACTGTTCACCATCCATCCAACGTCCACGCATGATTTATTTACAGAAACTATTCTTCGACACACTACCCTACAGTGTTGTTCCTGTACACCAGGACCATGGCAGATGCCCTTTTGAATTGACCAGCTTTGAAGCTGCAACTTCACTAAAACAGATGGCTACCCAATCAGGTTACCAATATGCTGGCTCGATATTACGCCAGAGACAACCATTCCAAGCAGCAATCTCGGAAAATCATGGTTCGGGCAAAGCCATCTCGGCGTTTGAGCCCTGGGTGCGCAAAAGAAGCGAACAAATATCCGTCATGTCCATATAATTCTCCCAGAGAAACTTATACCGACGAGTCTTGCCATCGAGACAGCACATACCTAGGTATTCTAGCTAACAAACTATACCTAGGTACCTCTGGAGATCTTTGGCATATCATTCATTACGAGAAAAGTTTTCTGAAGAAAGGAAAAAAGAAAGAGAAATACTTCTACACACTTCGCCTTTTACACGTTCTTTGGATATAATTTCCTGCATCACATGCCAAAAGCATGACTCGAGCAAGAAGAGCAAAGGGTCGGTCTAAATCCTCCAGGCCCACAAGCTGAAACCGGCACAAATACCCAGCTGGGTAAGCCCGGGGCGGAAGACTCGGCTAAGAAGCACCGGCTTCGTTGGCTGTATTTAGCCGTTGGCGCCTTCACACTAGCTGCCAAAGCTAAAGATGAGTTTGGCGAAATGCGCGAGATCGATAATATCGTGGGTACTCGCGGTGGGCTGACAGCCCGATCAGGCCGATAAATCTTTGGGTTCGGGATCCTCTCGCTCGGCTTCCAACGCCTTTTTTTCCACTCAGGTCTCAAGGTGTTGCTTACTAGTCCGGCTAGGTTCTTGGAGTGTGACCCAGCTGCCAATACTTTTGCAGAGGCTGAGCAGCACTTAAATGCCATGCTATAATTATCTCTCCCGGCGTCGTCATCCAGTGGGATGTGGTCGACATTCGACAATTCCTGTTGGCACTCTCATTGCCGCCCTCTTTAGGCGGCTGAAACCTTGGGCTGTGGCATGTGCTGCTCAATCAAAGAGAAGAATGCCTCGGATAATTCCAAGATAGGAAATTCCTTCGCTCAGTCAACTAGCCTCGTGGGCTCGTTTAAAGGATCTGGATAGACAGCACGCCCGCCTGGAGGACCCCGTTTTCCCATTGAAAACAGCTCTTTCAACTCTCTGCGATTTTCTCCTCCCTCTACCCTACTCTTCAGAAACCGTATCGAATCCCACATGGCATCCTACTCTTATGTCACCGATGAAGACACCCTGCCGACGACAATTCCGCTTTGGCGCCGGATCTTCGACCAAGGCTGTATCTCCAAGGAGGTTCTCATTCACCAATACAATGGCTCTGGCACCGAAGAGGATCCTTTCCAGGTCTCCTGGCTGGAGAATGACCCACGTGACCCGATGAATTTCTCTGCAGTGAGCAAATGGCTCGTCACGCTCCTAGTAAGCGTCAACACAATGGCGGTAGCCTTGGTGTCGTCTGCCTACTCCGGCGGTATCGTGGAAGTCATCCTTGGTTTTCAGATCAGTGAAGAAGTAGCCATTCTCGGAATCTCTCTCTTCGTCTTAGGATTCGCCGTGGGTCCGCTAATCTGGGCGCCGTTGAGTGAAATTTATGGACGTCGATATATCTTCATTGCTAGTGCAGCTGGCCTGACCGTGTTCGTAGCCGGTGCCGCCGGATCACAGAACATTTGGACTTTGATTATTCTTCGCTTCTTTGCAGGCTCACTCGGATCCGCCCCGTTTGCTGTAGCTGGTGGTGTTATCGCTGACTGCTTCCCTGCTGTTAGCCGCGGCCTGGCCAGCGGGCTGTACTGTGCTGCACCCTTCCTGGGACCGACACTAGGCCCTATTATTGGGGGCTTCTTGTCCGAGTCAGCTGGCTGGCGCTGGGTTGAGGGTTTGGTTGCAGCGATCGCTGGGGTTCTAGGAATTATAACCGTATTTACTTTGCCGGAGACATATGCCCCAGTTCTCCTGAGAAAACGGGCAGTACGCCTCTCCACCATCACCGGCCGCGTCTACCGCAGCAAACTCGATATTGAGCAGGGTGAGGCGTCCCTCACGGGAACCCTGAAAGTGGCCCTGTCTCGGCCGTGGTTGCTTCTCTTTCACGAGCCTATTGTCCTCCTCTTGTCAATTTACCTCTCTATCGTGTACGGCATGTAAGTTCTATTGACTGCTTCTAGACCTGTCAATCCAGTATCGATACTAATAACTCCTATTAGTTTATACATGTTTTTTGCGGCCATGCCCATTGTCTTTCAAGAGGGGCGTGGCTGGAGCGAAGGAATGGGCGGCCTCTCGTTCCTAGGGATTCTGATCGGTATCCTAATCACGGTGGCGGCAACAGTTCCCATGTATTTCCGATACAAGAAGAATATGCCCAAAGGTGGGCGAACCCCTCCTGAGGCACGCCTTCCCCCGTCCTTTGCCGGTGCTATCGCCCTGCCGATTGGACTTTTCTGGTTCGCAGTAAGTGTCCTTTGCTACTCTCCATTCTTCCAATGTATATATACTAATTTCAATCATTACTGCAGTGGACAAACTCCCCTTCGATACATTGGATATCTCCTATTGCGGCCGGAGTTCCGTTTGGCTTCGGTATGGTGGCGGTGTTCCTTTCTGTCCTGAACTACTTGGTCGATGCATATACCCTCTACGCGGCGTCGGTTCTGGCAGCCAATTCTGCCATGCGCTCGGTCTTCGGTGCTGCGTTTCCCTTGTTCACCACGTACATGTATAATAATCTGGGCATTCACTGGGCCTCATCTGTTCCAGCCTTTCTGGCCCTCGCGTGCGTCCCCATGCCATTTCTGTTCTATCGATATGGCGCGGCGATTCGTGCGCGGTGCCCTTATGCCGCGCAATCGGATGCATTCATGGAGAAATTGCTGGCACAATCTACAGCGTTAAAGCCGGATGCCTAGGACAAGGTTAACCAAAGATTCATTCATCTATACATCTCTAGAACCTAAGCACATATCGCCGAACAGCAACGCCTGCATACCTTAGGCCGCAGGAACGATTTATGACCTTTATAGAATGATATCATTAGACACTCGATTATATAGACCCAAAAAAATCTTAAAAAGAACAGGGGTCTGAGTAGATGCTATCATTGTAAAAAATAGCTGATTGTAATACCAATGAATTTTACTAAAACTGTGGTAAATATGAAAATGCCTAGGTATACCTTCATTAATTTATTAGGTATAAGTAGACAATATACTACAGCTATTATCTTCACCAACTTCCAACCTTGGAAGTTGGTGACGTTTACCTTGTAAATAAACATCAATAGTTATTACTCTAGCTACACTAGCTACTTTTCAAATATAGTGAAACCTGCGTCTATTTCTAGCGGTAGATACGTCACATCTAATTCACTCTTTCTAAAAGTTCCAAGATTTAACCTTGGAACTCTCTCAGGGGTCCAAACGGGGAAAGTATAGTAACCCATGTTCCTTGTCTAGCTTACCTTCATAGACTGACATGTATGGTAGTACACGTTGTATTGCCTTCAATACATATATGATCGTTAACTGCTTTCAACATACAATGGACATGTCATGAGTCCTCTTCCCTGCGAGGCTGCGAGTTACCGAAATAGGTAAGCATGCTAACACTGTCCAGGGCATGAAAAGCAGGACACCATTTGCTTTCTAGAATGAATATTTCTGATGCACTAGGCTAGAAGAACATTCAGCAAACATTCCCCAAGTTTTGAAGATCAGAAAACTGTTGAAAAATGGCCCGCTTGCTACGAGTCAAATTACACTACTAATGCACGTCCGCGGGTGCTTGCTTGCAATTGTTTATATAGAGGTGCGATGCTAAAAATTGCTTTATATTCTATATTATTAGGACATTGCTCTAGCAGTTCTTGAGCTAAGGTGCTGGGAGTCCGATTCCCATACTCGAACCTTAATGTGTTGGCCACGAATTAGCTGAATATCTGAGTACGAACCTAACTACGGCGGGATCACATTGACAGTAGCACGGATAATTATAAATACTCAGCTCTTTACTACTTAAGGGCATTCGTATGTCCCTGAATTTCCCCGCTCAAAACGAGGCCGATGTGATTCATCGACAATGCTGTGTTCCAGAAGACTCCGTGAGAGAAATCACACGAAAAAATACACACATCAGATCATGCTACGTATAAGATAGGCAAATATAGTGGGAAAAAGGGGAATAGTGGGGATTGACACTTGGTCGAGAAACAAGCTCGAGCGTCAGTAGAATAGCTACTAAAGGAAGGCTGGTTTACTCTCGGTTGACATGAGGCGTTATGGGGAGAAAAAAAGAAAAAAAGAAAGAAAGAAAAAGGAGAAATAAATAAATATCTACTACGTTGCAGAGCTTATTCTGCTACATTTAGGACCAATACGTCAACTCCTGACATGCATCACATTTCGGGACAACCCTAATCCCGGGGCCAGTGTAGTGCATGTTACACGTATAAGAATTCGCCGTTAAAACATGGTTGGATTCCCTTTTTTTTCTTTTTTTTTATATTTGCTTCTTCCTCTCTCTGCCAACATTGGATTGCATAGTTAGTACTACACAAATTCGGGTAAGTACAGCATGCCTCATGTTCGAGCCGGGGACAACCATGTCTATATAACTCTACCTACATGAAAAGACAACGCACGCAGCTCAGCTTTCACGGCTGGTCCACCACTTGGTGATTGATCACCAAGCCGTATCTCACTATTTCAGGAGGGATCAGGGAGTTAAGAGACGAACATGCGAGAGCCAGACCGTGCCCACAGACCTCATCAAGCATTCGTCCCATAGCTTCATATGTCTTGTGTTTTATTACCCCGAGGCGATGTAACTCCCCATTTCTCCGTCGGACTGCGTTGTTGCTAGAAGCATGTCCCGATCTTCATCCACCGCACATTATGCCCGCATCTGATGACTCGGGTGTGAAGAAATGGATACCAGTTATTCGTATTGTCAAAAATAAGTGCGTGCGATATTAACGTCTCAGGTAGCATCCGGGTCTGAGTAGAGACCAGTACGTGCTATGACTTTTAACTGATCAACAGACACGTTGTCGGCTTTTGACTTGGTATGCATGCTTATGGAAGGATAGACCTAAAAACAGCTATTGGAATTAGCATTCATCTTCGAAATAGAGATTTTAGGAATGCAGGATGACACCCCTATGATTCCTGACTTCGACCGTACACCTATGAAACCGACGCTGAAGTTCCATGGACCGGCGGATGTTTGTATTGCTCGCTATATTCATCATGAGCTTCGAGGTAGCTAGCTTTTCGAGTGTGCGTTTTTTAGATGTTCAAAGGCTGGTAATAGCTTCAATTGAAGACGAGGAAACGTGAATATTCAAAGAGCTCTCTCAAATTGCATTGACGCAGTCAGTAACTGGGCAAGGTAACACTCTGTTAGCTTTGACTATCGTAATATTGATCCAAAGAAATCTCACATAACCAACTCACCAGTTCTCTACACTTATTTGAGGGCCGATGACCATAGTAGTCTTGAGGATTATTGCTTCAGACAGAGAAATCTGTCACCAAAGCCGAGCCTGAGCCAGGACTGATATCCCTAATACCCGAACTTTCACAAGATCGATATGACTATGATTTGCGAACAGTTTACTGTACGATGAAGAGCAAAGATTTCCAATAATTGATTTCAAGATCCTGGAAGATCTGATACTAGTTCTCTCTTGGCAAGCCTCGACTGGAGTCTGTTATTTCGTTGTTCAATTATCCTAATACTACTTAGAATTAGCAATAGCAGCCTTATATGGAAATGTAAGGGGTAGGGGGTTCATAGTAAATGGCTGCTTCTTAATTGCATTGCTAGGCGACTCTCGAAAGTAAATCTCGCAGAGGGTATCCGGTATCCGCGTACTACTTATCTAACTAATCATGTATGAGGCTCAATAAGGAAACGACCATTGCTTGTGTGGTATGGAAGCATGTAATAGCAGATAGTGAAATCCACCAAAGCGCGCAGGTACCAGGCGTCGAGATAGTAGACGGAAATGCCAATGTGAATGATCCGAATAAGTCGAAAGTCAATCATCACCACGTAACTCGAGCATTTCAGCTATTGCATGCAGATGTCTCGAACCAATGTAGATCTTAACAAGAAGAAAGTTAGATTTGGGGTGGGGGCTTTTCAGAAAGCCTATTCGATCTATAGGGTTACTACGTGCTAATCCTACTAAACGCCTACTAAATTGATACAGTGGTATGAAAAAATGACTTTGGTGAATATCGAGATGAGGCTTTGACCCGCCTCCACATTTTTGATTTTCTTCAATCGAGGCAAAAAGTTGGGTCATATGCAAGAAATAATGATAGTTCGAGATTTTCGATCTTCAAGATATGTTTCATGTTGTTGATGGTAGTATGTAATAGTTGTTCGGTCTATCGAGCTTGGACATTCAGGTACACAGAAACCTGTCCATAGCCTTCAATATACTTTCCTCGAGCAAGAGAAACTTGGAATGGAATCCGATAGAGTTCCAATAGTTTCGTTGTCAATTGATTGTTGACAGCTGAATGTGAGAGGGGAAAGAATGTACTATTGCTTGACTGACGCCCTCTGCGTAGCGTTGTACAGCCTTAGCAGAGTGAGATCTCTCTCCCCCCTGAATAGAATTCAAGAGTAAGTTTGTGTGGTTTTGCACTTAGGTATGACACAGACCACTCACTCTTGGAAGAGCAAAATAAGGAACTGCTAATCTGATGATAAGCTATTTTCGGTGCCGACAATATTCTGTTCAAAAGTGCTGGTGAAATCGTTAAGCTTTTCTAGGCTTTTTTCTTGTATTAGCGTATCACGTCTTCGCGACTTGAGTAGCCAGGGGGATTTGACACGTCCCAGGTACACGTTGACAAGAGCCCTCACAGTGACCTCAGGGCCACGAGAGGAACTAGAGAGGAGGCCAGGATCTTCGTAATACCAAGAAACCCTAGAGACTGGCACAATCTTGGTATTGACTAAAGTCGTGAAATGATATCACTAGAGCCCTACATGGCTGATTGAGTAGAAAGCCCCCCCGCTCCGGATCGAGATAGGAGACCTGAAATCATCTTCCGGTTCCTCACGCCTATGTGAAAGGCTCGATGGAAATATTTTCTTGGCGGAATGCAGGGACCGTCATAGCATCAAAACGTAGCCTTTTCTGGGGAGGCGATAAATCATCCCTTGCCGCGGATTATTTGCTCTGATCTTCGAGGACTAGGAACCCATGAACCCAGCAAGACAATGAGTATTCATTCCATCGGATTACGATCTGGACGCCGGGTAGGATCTTATTTGTGAATTATTGCACGCCATATCAACTGTTCGGTCGTGTATGTAGAGCTAAGACCTGGAGGTTCTGTTGGCATTGATAATAGTGGCGGGATACTCTCATTGTAACTGGAAGATCAATGTTTGTAAACTTTGAGCTCCAGCCTAATCTAGAGGCGAGCTGAATATTATCTTGCTGACGCGGGAATGAGCAATAGATGGAAAATATTCCCATACGAAAGTTCATTGGTACCAAGTTTCTAGACAAATTCCTCTCCATGTCTTGCAATTTTTATTACTAGTCCCAAATGGATGGATAGTAAGCATAACTAGATGTTGTGCCTCTAGACAGATTCAAGAGGGACTAATCACTAGTACACTTGGCGATAGTGCGAGTGCTAGTAACTAGTAACGAGGCAATTCCAGGTGGAATGCCGATTATCAGGGGTTCGAGCATTTCATGATCCATCGTCCCTGAATCATGCGAACCAGAGCTTAAGTTCGATTCGGTGAGAAGGCAATGCAGCAAGCCGGTTTGTTCAAATGAAGTCCGTCTAAGAGCCCTGGCCTTCTAAGAAAGCTATAGCGAACATTCGAGGCTGAATCGAAGCAGCCGATAGTATACGAGGCAATAGCTGGGCGGTTGATGAGGCTAGGTTATTCAGGCAGCTGGTAATATTCAGTGTGGAGTGGGAGGAGTGATTAACTCCAAAACATAAAGTACTGTATGTAGGCCAGTTATTATCCAAGACCAAATTTACCTTTTTGCTTCGACTGGGGAGTCATTTGGTCCTGCCTAAATTAAGTACTGGTACCCACTGCAATGGTACCAATCTATTATTACAACGTAGACCCCGTAGTTAGGTGAATTGCATTTAGCACCCCTGTAAGTGGACCCTGTGTAGCCAGTGGCGACTACCTGACTGGGAAAGGGACAGTGCAGAATGACTAAGGTAAATACTGATATTGAGGTGAACTGGAATGTGGAGTGAGTTTCCAGGCCTCGATAATCGCTGCCACTTCACAATGTATGGCATTCATACTAGGATGTGAGCTCGAACGCCAGAAACCGAAAACCAGGTTAGACCACGAGCCAGGATAGCATGAGGACGAGCATACGTATCAGAAGACAACAGGCTCGATGCTGCAGCCAAATATCTTCGCCATGTACCTAAATACTTTCAGACAGTAGAGAAACAAGTATCATGACGCATGATATTTTGGAAAATGAGACCTGTTATCATATGCCAAGGTTATGTCGACGCAGGATCATACTGCTCCACTCGAATGGTCCGGAAGTCAGTCTCTTATTCCGCGGGGTCCCAATTCCCCATTTTAGCATCGTCCGCAGGCTTGCACTGCTAACCTGTTCGGTCCTAGTGTTGAATGGAAGGGCTTGCAGATTGCCAGATACAGAAGTGCTTGGCACATTTCGATGGATAAATGCCGCGATCGAATGATGGGCGAGCGTTGAGGAATCCATGGCTTTGCATTGCTGCATGTATGGCGTTGTGGGTGCTACCCAAATATTAGACGTGCAGTTGTGCGACCTGACAGATCATAAAAGCTGAGACAGAACCGTTGGCATGGATTAGTTGCCGTTCATCGTCCCACCGAGCCAGTCAGCCAGCTAAAAATTAGCAGCCTCCGTAGTAATTCTGGAGCACGGCCGTGGATACCGATGGTATGGCTATTACCAACTTACTATGGCCTAGTAAATACATGAAATACGTACAGTGCGCCATATCAGAGGAATGAGGCTCACGTCAAAGATTTTATGCTAGCTCCGCCGCTGAGCACATACCCCAGAGGGTAACCTAGCTGTAGTATCATGCCAAAGTCGTGGAGACGAAAGGCGGTCGGTCGATGAATGATACTACTCATGGTCAGGCCTTTCGGCGTAAGCGAGCTGCGGCCATACGTACATGTTACATACGTGCTGTCTGTTGACACCAACGGTTGAGTCTAGCGTCCTAGACCGGTACGGCTATGCAGACGACATCTGAATCCTCTCGAGGCGCGCCACATTCCGCACCATGCATAGACGAATAGGCGACGGCTCTAGTATGCGCGACATCGAGACGTGCATGGAGCGGGACACTACACGACGGTGTAGAAATGATACAGAAGGAAGCACAAGAGGCCTTGTCTTTGCATCGCGCATACACATCGGTGAGCGGGCGGTGTTGAGTTGAGTTGCGTTGGGTGTTGTATGAGGAGAGAGAAGAAGAGAGGAAGAAGAAGTCGCGGACAACGTAACGTAATGCTCGTATTGGTTGTATTATGGACAGCGGGTAATTTACGTATTGTAATTTACGCCCGCCGCCAGCCTGGGTCCTTCCGAGTTCCGGCAAGCCTCCTCCTCTTCACCATCCATTCATCCATTCATCCGTTGATTGATTCATCTGCGCAAGAACGAGATCGATGCCATTGTGTATGCAACTAGCTGCCTACCGCCAGTCCACATAGTCTGTGTCCGTCATGCCATCAGGCTCGCTCTACGGAAGCCAACTCCGGCCATCCACCCGGATTCTGCAATGGAATGGCAACACTGCTTCCAATATGCTTGCTGCTCCTCCTACAGCGCACGGCCGATGACCGTGCGTAGATCAGATCACTGCAAATACTCACTGTACTTACTACTAATAGTATCATAGCGTACAAGGTTCGTTTACGGTCCACATTGTCATCTACTGCGCGTTTAGACCTGAATTGGAGATCCGCACGGGCCATTGAGCAAGATCACTCTCAGGTCTGTCCATTCCTGTCGCTGCAGCCCACTTGCCCAGAGGTATAGAGACGAAAAAGCCAGATCCGTATCTGATTCATACGATAGGTACATCGAAACTTGATTTGCATACCTAAGCTATGCGAATAGTTTGAACTTTACAAAGGTATCATTGCTTGTGTCTAATGTGCGCCGATTATCAACTGTCCACGCACACACAAGGAAAAGAAAGAAAAAAAAAAAAAAAAAGAAACACGGTATTTTGGCGTATACTCTCATACAAGAAATTACCTGAAACAGCCTCTGCCAATGTCATTGGTACACTCTTTCCATATTCGACCAAGATAATTTCCTCGACAGTGGCGAGGGAACCGCAAATTACTAGGGACCCATACATCATATTCTGCTGCTCCTGATTAGGGAATACGTATAGTGTTACTGTGGCGGGCCCTCAGAAGTTAAGCTCGGTTCCCACAATCTCAAGCCCATCGATAGCAATGGGTCGATCAGCTTGACCCCTACTCATTTGGTCCAAACGCAGGTCCCAGGTGTCGATCCGGGAGAGCACAATTGGGGTACAAGCTAGACTGTCAGATGCCAATTGAAGTAGCACAGACGACAAAGCTAGACAAGGTTTAAATGAGCAATTGTCCGAGATTTTCTTTGAGTGACTCGACTAGTTAGATGAAACCGTCCCTGAAGGTTCCAACATACTGGGAGATCAGTGAGCTGCAGCCCAAAGTCTAGCTTGACCTGGAGCATTCCATTGCCTCCCCATTCTTGAGGAGACAATCGCCTCTTCCCAGTAGATCTTGATCTGACTGGGAGTTACGTCCTAATTAGGACACCTGCAGCGTACCCTATGGAGTCACTAACGGTCTAGTGAATTACCGGCATTGACCTCGATCCACTTCTCAGGCAACTTCTTGAACTTGTCTAAAAGGGTATTGGTAGCTGCTAATAAATCCTAAATACAGGTAGTGCTTGACTGTGAACCGCACGCGGCTGCAAGGCAAGCCAGCTGCAAAAAATCGAGAGCTTCCCAAAAAGCTATAAACCAAATCCACCCTCCTTTGCTCAGTACTCTTTTTGAGGTTCAGAGGTCTATATACAAGCATCCCCTTGCTGAGACTCCTGGTTAATACAGCAACGAACTTCTCATCCCGATTTGGTGTGCGCGTTGAAGGGAGGTTCCTTCATACAAAATTACACTTACACACGAGGTTTTTGGCCCATTGCTTCTCGCCTTTAATCACCTCGATTCCCTCGTGAGAGCCAGCCAGCCCTTTCTGAGGGGGCTAATAGGTTTTCACTGCTAATCGAGGCACAACTGAGGGCGGTCTTGTCGGCAGTGGTGGTTACCAAGGAACCCATAATCCACATTCCAGGCCTTGCATTTGCATCGCAGGCACGCGTCGCGTTGACTCTAGTTGTCTACCTTTTTCAATCCCACGAAGCCATGGCGTTTCAGGGTAAGTGCGATTATCCTCTTCCAGACTGGTGTCACCCATTGTCAGGAATTCTGATATTTGATCTCGCTGCCACCCTCGTTCCTGATCAACTCTTTTCCCACTACACTCGACATTCTTTACTCCTCCCTGGTCATTACTTTTTTCCCACCCACGTTCACTCTTTTAGCACGACTAGTAAAAAAAGAAAAGAAACATCTCATAACAATTGTCTCTCTTTCATATCTGCCCTTCCATCCGCCCTTCGTTTACCTTTCAACCTTTCAACACACGAGGGACAGATCACTCTAATACTCTTCTCTCTCTTGAATAGCAACAGAGGAGGTCCATATCGACCCCACCCTTCAGAATTTCGACTACCCAACCCCGGACAGTGAAGACATGCGGTCAGAGTACAATATGGCTGATTGTCTGACCATCGATGTTGACTGTCCACCGTTGGGCACCAGTACATGCTCAAGCTTTTCCCCCATGGACTCGCCGACCCCAACGCCTACGTCACTCTATAGTCAAGGGTCTCTAGCTTCTCCAGGTTGGCATGAAGGTCACGGTTACCATCATGGACTAGAAGCTCCGAGGAACTCGACTCCCTTGCGAAGCAGCTTCCGCATGGCTGATATAACAGCCGGCGAGGGTATAATCCCACACTACGATAACGTCGACGGACATGAGCGTGTTCCGCTTTTTGACTATATTCCCGGCTATACCGACAATGTCGACCAATTCTGGATTCCCCAAGACATGTCAAAAAGCTTTGAGCAAACAAACAACTTCTCTTGCCAGCAGCCTACAATGGCGCCCCAATACCCCCAAATGGCGCGCAACTATTACCGTAATAACCAACCTAGCTATCTACCAGAGTCAGCATCCAACCCGTGTCTGTCTCGGCCAATATTCCAGCAAAATGAGCGACTACCGAGCTCCATGTCGATGAGCAACATGGCCCATTGGATGCCATCGGCTGATATGATGCAACCACAGACAATAACGCCAGCTCAGGCTTTTCCTCAAGTACCAATGACACCGCCATCCTCATACTCGGGCTTCCCCGGTTCAGCTCACACACTGCGGACACACACACCAGTCACACCTGTGCGATCATGCTCCATGGGTTCCGGAACTGAGACCCCCATGACGCGGCTTTCGGGCGGTCCCAGCGATCAGACCGACGAGGAATGGATTTCCCCGGGCATGCGAGAGAGTTTACGGCACAGACAACTACAACGGCAACCATCGAAGAAAACAATCAAGAAGTCGCTGTCGAAGCAAAGTTTAAAACTAGAAAACCTTCCTTCCATTATCAAGCAAGTACAGTTCCGATGCAAAGAGCCTGGCTGCAAAGGTCGGTTCAAGAGACAAGAACATCTCAAACGACATATGAAGAGCCACTCCAAAGAGAAACCCCATGTCTGCTGGGTCCCGGGCTGCAACCGAGCCTTTTCTCGCAGCGATAACCTCAATGCTCATTACACCAAGACTCACAGCAAGCGTGGCGGACGCAATCGCTACGTTGCTACCCTGGACGAGGCCAGCCCAGACTATGACCCCGAATTCCGTGGCCAATTGACCCCAGATGGACGTCCAATCTACGGGTCAAAACTAGATGACCCAATTCCGATGGATAACGACCTGGACGCGGAGTCTTGGGATGAGTAAGTCAGGAGTCGAGTAGGTAGTGCAGGTTCTATACCCTTGAGAAGGATCGGATTTTTTGTTTTCCTTTTTTCTATTTTTTGCTCTATACACCATATGGGCCGTCAAGATACGAGTCTTATCAATGCTTCACAGCACCCTCTTGTACAATTATCGTGTGAAAAATCAAATGGCCCAAAGCTCTTATACGAGTTGGGGCACTTGACTCTTTTCGTTTGGCTTTACTGCCGTTGCGTCTTATTTCTGTTGATGCTGTTTTTCTTATCCTCGCATCCTGGAATTGGAGATATAGGTTGGGCTGGCATTTTGATGTTTTTTTTTTGTCCCGCTTATCACTATGTTAATGTCTTCTTTTCGTGTTTTGCCTCTTGCCACTTTGTACTACCACCGGCGACATCACGCTGTCATTGTTCCTATTACTTACTACTATTCGCACTTGTACGTGCGTCCTAATCTATAAAAACGGACTTGAACATGAAGACTTAATCCTACTCTCTTAAAGACACAGTAACGATGCCTAGGTAACCAGATCCAATAGTTAGTAGTACTTCTGGTTACCTGTGAGATGATAGTCGTACACAGCGAGGGCTAAATATCTTACTGCAGCTATTTGCAGCAATAATTAGCACCATTTTATGCACTTGAAATTAAATGCAAGTTTGATGTGAATAGTAAATAGTGCCATTGTGTCTCCCTTGCCTCGGAATAATGGAGGTGGCTGGGGTTGCACAGTATCCAATCAGGCGAATAGCCCTGGCTGGGACAATTCTCTTCTACTATTCTGATGAGAAAAACATGTCTTTTTTAAATACAGAAGAAGTAGAAAATATCTTTACGGAAGACAAATGCAAGATGGGGAACCTCTTATCGTGTTCGTTGGACGGAGCCCTAAGAATGAACCCTAACCCTAAGATAAGCCGCGATAGGCAACCAAGTTTTTGCTTTAGCTCTCGGAGTTCGACCACGTTGCAGTTCAACTCCGGCATTCACAAACACCAAGAATCGGCGTCGACTGTCTCCACCCGGAAACGCGGGAGCCTAAGTTAATCAATGGCAACAATCAGAGAGCTGCTGTGAGTGGGTGTGCGCTAGTCGGGCTCGAGGTGGCGTGCTCTGATTGATTGATATTTCGATCATGAAATATTAGACTTACGGAGTTGAAGCTTACATTCCTATCCCTTATCTCATTTCTGATATCCCTGTTTTATTCCTTCCAGGCTCCAACATTTATATTTTATATGCTATATGCTTTATGTTTCTTCTTTGTACTTTCTTCCTTCTGCTCATGTGGCTCGCGTTGTCAATTGCAATTGTTGAAGATTGTCGGAGCTGGTTCAATCAGGCGCACCGCAATACTTGAGAATACACGCAGACAAAATGGACCGCGACGAGACAACGCCCCTTCTCAACAGCGAGAATCAACACACGCCCGAGCCGGGAAGCACTACGAGATTACCATGGAAGCTTCTTCCTCAATGGTCCCAGTCCCAATGGCGCGTGATCCTTGTATCAGTTTTGCTCATGCTTGCCCTCAATTTCGGCAACAACTTGGGAGCCCCTGCGCAACTCCAGGTCATGGAAGACATCATTTGCAAAAACCACTTGCGATCAATTAATCCAAACGCAACCGTCACAGCCATGGCGGTATACGACGACATCTGCAAATCGCCCGCCGTGCAGAGCGAACTTGCGCTCGTAAACGGGTGGAAATACACCTTTGATGTTCTGCCATGTAAGTTAGAGACATGCCAGGAGAAAAGGAAGTTTGCGCCGTCATGAATGATAACACTTAAGTGTAGCCATCGCTTTGGCCCTACCGTACGGTGTGTTGGCAGACAAAATCGGGCGAAAACCAGTATTGATAATGGCACTTTTCTCGTTGGTGGCTTGCGAACTTTGGACGAGAATAGTCTGTGAGTAAATTCATCGTATTCTCATTGGCATTATCTATGACATGAGCATGAACATGAACATAGGGGGGGGG